CTACCACAACCACTGAAGCCCCAACAACCACTGAAGCTGCCACAACCACCGTAGCTCCTACAACTACTGAGCCCCCAACAACCACTGAAGCTGCAACAACCACTGTAGCTCCTACAACTACTGAGGCCCCAACAACTACTGAAGCTGCAACAACCACTGTAGCTCCTACTACCACTGAGGCCCCAACCACTGAAGCTGCAACAACCACTGTAGCTCCTACTACCACTGAGGCCCCAACAACCACTGAAGCTGCCACAACCACCGTAGCTCCTACTACCACTGAGGCCCAAACAACAACTGAAGCTGCCACAACCACCGTAGCTCCTACTACCACTGAGGCCCCAACAACTGAAGCTGCAACAACCACCGTAGCTCCTACTACCACTGAGGCCCCAACAACCACTGGAGCTGCAACAACCACTGTAGCTCCTACTACCACTGAAGCTGCCACAACCACCGTAGCTCCTACTACCACTGAGGCCCCAACAACCACTGAAGCTGCAACAACCACCGTAGCTCCTACTACCACTGAGGCCCCAACAACCACTGAAGCTGCAACAACCACTGTAGCTCCTACTACCACTGAAGCTGCCACAACCACCGTAGCTCCTACTACCACTGAGGCCCCAACAACCACTGAAGCTGCCACAACCACCGTAGCTCCTACTACCACTGAGGCCCCAACAACCACTGAAGCTGCAACCACTACTGTAGCTCCTACTACCACTGAGGCCCCAACAACCACCGAAGGTGCAACAACCACTGTAGCTCCTACTACCACTGAGGCCCCAACAACCACTGAAGCTGCCACAACCACTGTAGCTCCTACTACCACTGAGGCCCCAACAACCACTGAAGCTGCCACAACCACCCTAGCTCCTACTACCACTGAGGCCCCAACAACCACTGAAGCTGCCACAACCACTGTAGCTCCTACAACTACTGAGGCCCCAACAACCACTGAAGCTGCCACAACCACAGTAGCTCCTACAACTACTGAAACTCCAACAACCACTGAAGCTGCCACAACCACTGTAGCTCCTACAACTACTGAGGCCCCAACAACCACTGAAGCCCCCACAACCACTGTAGCTCCTACAACTACTGAAGCCCCAACAACCACTGAAGCTGCCACAACCACTGCAGCTCCTACTACCACTGAGGCCCCAACAACCACTGAAGCTGCCACAACCACTGTAGCTCCTACTACGACTGAGGCCCCAACAACCACAGAAGCTGCCACAACCACTGTAGCTCCTACTACCACTGAGGCCCAAACAACCACTGAAGCTGCCACAACTACCGTAGCTCCTACTACCACTGAGGCTCCAACAACCACAGAAGCTGCAACAACCACTGTAGCTCCTACTACCACTGAGGCCCAAACAACCACTGAAGCTGCCACAACTACCGTAGCTCCTACTACCACTGAGGCCCCAACAACCACTGAAGCTGCCACAACTACTATAGCTCCTACTACCACTGAGGCCCTAACAACCACTGAAGCTGCAACAACCACTGTGGCTCCTACCACCTCTGAGGCGCCAACAACCACTGAAGCTGCTACAACCACTATAGCTCCTACAACTACTGAGGCCCCAACAACCACTGAAGCTGCCACAACCACTGTAGCTCCTACTACCACTGAGGCCCCAACAACCACCGAAGCTGCAACAACCACTGTAGCTCCTACTACTACTGAGGCCCCAACAACCACTGAAGCTGCCACAACCACTGTAGCTCCTACTACCACTGAGGCCCCAACAACCACTGAAGCTGCCACAACCACTGTAGCTCCTACTACCACTACCACTAAGGCCCCAACAACCACTGAAGTTGCCACGACCACTGTAGCTCCTACAACTACTGAGGACCCAACAACCACTGAAGCTGCCACAACCACAGTAGCTCCTACAACTACTGAAACCCCAACAACCACTGAAGCTGCCACAACCACTGTAGCTCCTACAACTACTGAGGCCCCAACAACCACTGAAGCTGCCACAACCACTGTAGCTCCTACAACTACTGAAACCCCAACAACAACTGAAGCTGCCACAACCACTGTAGCTCCTACAACTACTGAGCCCCCAACAACCACTGAAGCTGCCACAACCACAGTAGCTCCTACAACTACTGAAACCCCAACAACCACTGAAGCTGCCACAACCACTGTAGCTCCTACAACTACTGAAGCCCCAACAACTACTGAAGCTGCCACAACCACTGTAGCTCCTACTACCACTGAGGCCCCAACAACCACTGAAGCTGCCACAACCACCGTAGCTCCTACTACCACTGAGGCCCCAACAACCACTGAAGCTGCCACAACCACTGTAGCTCCTACAACTACTGAGGCCCCAACAACCACAGAAGCTGCCACAACCACTGTAGCTCCTACTACCACTGAGGCCCAAACAACCACTGAAGCTGCCACAACTACCGTAGCTCCTACTACCACTGAGGCTCCAACAACCACTGAAGCTGCAACAACCACTGTGGCTCGTACCACCTCTGAGGCCCCAACAACCACTGAAGCTGCTACAACCACTATAGCTCCTACAACTACTGAGGCCCCAACAACCACTGAAGCTGCCACAACCACTGTAGCTCCTACTACCACTGAGGCCCCAACAACCACCGAAGCTGCAACAACCACTGTAGCTCCTACTACCACTGAGGCCCCAACAACCACTGAAGCTGCCACAACCACTGAAGCTCCTACTACCACTGAGGCCCCAACAACCACTGAAGCAGCCACAACCACTGTAGCTCCTACTACCACTGAGGCCCCAACAACCACTGAAGCTGCCACAACCACTGTAACTCCTACAACTACTGAGGACCCAACAACCACTGAAGCTGCTTCAACCACTGTAGCTCCTACAACTACTGAGGCCCCAACAACCACTGTAGCTCCTACAACTACTGAGGCCCCAACAACCACTGAAGCTGCCACAACCACTGTAGCTCCTACAACCACTGAGACCCCAACAACCACTGAAACTGCCACAACCACTGTAGCTCCTACAACTACTGAAGCCCCAACAACCACTGAAGCTGCCACAACCACTGTAGCTCCTACTACCACTGAGGCCCCAACAACCACTGAAGCTGCCACAACCACCGTAGCTCCTACTACCACTGAGGCCATAACAACCACTGAAACTGCAACAACCACTGTAGCTCCTACTACCACTGAGGCCCCAACAACCACTGAAACTGCCACAACCACCGTATCTCCTACTACCACTGAGGCCCCAACAACCACTGAAGCTGCCACAACCACAGTAGCTCCTACTACCACTGAGGCCCCAACAACCACAGAAGCTGCCACAACCACCCTAGCTCCTACTACAACTGAGGCCCTAACAACCACAGAAGCTGCAACAACCACTGTAGCTCCTACTACCACAGAGGCCCCAACAACCACTGAAGCTGCCACAACCACTGTAGCTCCTACTACAACTGAGGCCCCAACAACCACAGAAGCTGCCACAACCACTGTAGCTCCTACTACCACTGAGGCCCCAACAACCACAGAAGCTGCAACAACCACTGTAGCGCCTACTACCACTGAGGCCCCAACAACCACTGAAGCTGCCACAACTACCGTAGCTCCTACTACCACTGAGACCCCAACAACCACTGAAGCTGCCACAACTACTATAGCTCCTACTACCACTGAAGCTGCAACAACCACTGTAGCTCCTACCACCTCTGAGGCCCCAACAACCACTGAAGCTTCTACAACCACTATAGCTCCTACAACTACTGAGGCCCCAACAACCACTATAGCTGCCACAACCACTGTAGCTCCTACTACCACTGAGGCCCCAACAACCACCGAAGCTGCAACAACCACTGTAGCTCCTACTACCACTGAGGCCCCAACAACCACTGAAGCTGCCACAACTACTGTAGCTCCTACTACCACTGAGGCCCCAACAACCACTGAAGCTGCTACAACCACCCTTGCTCCTACTACCACTGAGGCCCCAACAACCACTGAAGCTGCCACAACCACTGTAGCTCCTACCACCTCTGAGGCCCCAACAACCACTGAAGCTGCTACTACCACTATAGCTCCTACAACTACTGAGGCCCCAACAACCACTGAAGCTGCCACAACCACTGTAGCTCCTACTACCACTGAGGCCCCAACAACCACCGAAGCTGCAACAACCACTGTAGCTCCTACTACCACTGAGGCCCCAACAACCACTGAAGCTGCCACAACCACTGTAGCTCCTACAACTACTGAGGCCCCAACAACCACTGAAGCTGCCACAACCACTGTAGCTCCTACCACCTCTGAGGCCCCAACAACCACTGAAGCTGCTACTACCACTATAGCTCCTACAACTACTGAGGCCCCAACAACCACTGAAGCTGCCACAACCACTGTAGCTCCTACTACCACTGAGGCTCCAACAACCACTGAAGCTGCCACAACCACTGTAGCTCCTACTACCACTGAGGCCCCAACAACCACTGAAGCTGCCACAACCACTGTAGCTCATACTACCACTGAGGCCCCAACAACCACTGAAGCTGCCACAACCACCGTAGCTCCTACTACCACTGAGGCCCCAACAACCACCGAAACTGCAACAACCACTGTAGCTCCTACTACCACTGAGGCCCCAACAACCACAGAAGCTGCCACAACCACCCTAGCTCCTACTACCACTGAAACCCCAACAACCACTGAAGCTGCCACAACCACCGTAGCTCCTACTACCACTGAGGCTCCAACAACCACCGAAACTGCAACAACCACTGTAGCTCCTACTACCACTGAGGCCCCAACAACCACTGAAGCTGCCACAAGCACTGTAGCTCCTACAACTACTGAAACCCCAACAACCACTGAAGCAGCCACAACCACTGTAGCTCCTACAACTACTGAAGCCCCAACAACCACTGAAGCTGCTACAACCACTGTAGCTCCTACAACCACAGTAGCTCCTACAACTACTGAAACCCCAACAACCACTGAAGCTGCCACAACCACTGTAGCTCCTACAACTACTGAAGCCCCAACAACCACTGAAGCTGCCACAACCACTGTAGCTCCTACAACTACAGAGGCCCCTACAACCACTGAAGCTGCCACAACCACTGTAGCTCCTACAACTACTGAGGCTCCTACAACCACTGAAGCTGCCACAACCACAGTAGCTCCTACAACTACTGAAACCCAAACAACCACTGCAGCTGCCACAACCACTGTAGCTCCTACAACTACTGAGGCCCCAACAACCACTGAAACTGCCACAACCACTGTAGCTCCTACAACTACTGAAGCCCCAACAACCACTGAAGCTGCCACAACCACTGTAGCTCCTACTGCCACTGAGGCCCCAACAACCACAGAAGCTGCAACAACCACTGTAGCTCCTACTACCACTGAGGCCCCAACAACCACAGAAGCTGCAACAACCACTGAAGCTCCTACTACAACTGAGGCCCCAACAACCACAGAAGCTGCCACAACCACTGTAACTCCTACTACAACTGAGGCCCCAACAACCACTGAAGCTGCCACAACCACTGTAGCTCCTACTACCACTGAGGCCCCAACAACCACTGAAGATGCACCAACCACTGTAGCTCCTACTACCACTGAGGCCCCAACAACCACAAAAGCTGCCACAACCACCCTAGCTCCTACTACCACTGAAGCCCCAACAACCACTGATGCTGCCACAACCAGTGATGTGCTGACAACTACTGAACGCCTGACAAGCACAGTAGCCTCCACTTCCACTGAAGCACTAACAACAGTAGAATCTACTAGTACTGGTAAGTATTTATCATTTATCATTTTGAATATACAAAAAGATGACAAGTATTTGTATATGATATCTGTGGTTCTGAATGTCCTAGGTTTGATTTGTACCTTTGTAAACCTAGGTTGCCATAATTTATTAATTTGACATTTAAGCTGCCCAAATTTCTCCCCATAGTAAATGCAGAACAATTAATGTTTTTAATTTTATTAATTTATTTCATATTTTATTTAATTTTCATTATTATTATCATCAAACTTTTGAGTTATTATTTACTTCAGTCTTCATGCAGAGCAACTACAGGAAAAAGCAAGGAATGCTATGTAAGCGCCTAACATATACAGTGGATTCTTCCTCCTTCTTTGTCAACTCTAATTTGCTTAAATCTGTAATTTCTCCCCAGCTGCAAATCACTGTTCTAGATAATCTATATATATATGAAACCTTTAAGAGCCTAAGGCCTATTTGGTCCATGTCTACAGCACACGCATTATCAGAAAAAAACAACAACTTTAAAAGTAGTATTAATGATAATTATAATATAGTGTTATATATATTATAATACTACATTAGAATATAGTATAAGTAGTATTGATGATATGTATAACTATAGTACTTGGGTTTAGAAAGACGATAATGCTAACCAACATCATGTTCACTACAACATCATCTTCAATCACTACAGCCTTCACAGAAACTCCTTCACCTTCCTCATCCACTTCAGTCTCTACTACTACTGAAGCTCAAAAAACCACTTCAGCTTCAACTACAATTTCACGCTACACTACCACTGAAGCTCAAACAACTTCAGCCATCACTGCCAGCAATGCTCCCAAAACAACTGAGGCCATTACCACTGAGGCACTAACAACCACTGAAACTGCAATAACCACTATAGCTCCTAAAACCACTATTAACCTATCAACAACTGAAGCTGCCTCAACCACTGTAGCTCCTACTACTGTTGAGGCTACAACAACCACTGAAACAGCAACAACCACTGTAGCTCCTACTACCACTGAAGCCCAAACAACAACTGGAGCTCCTACTACTGAAGCTGCAACATCCACTGTAGCCCCTACTACCACGGAGGCCCCAACAACAACTGTAGCTGCAACAACCACTGTAGCTCCTACTACCACTGAGGTCCCAACAACTACTGAAGCTGCCTCAACCACTGTAGCTCCTACTACCACTGAGGTCCCGACAACCACTGTAGCTCCAACTACCACTGAGGTCCCAACAACCACTGAAACCGCAACAACCACTGTAGCCCCTACTACCACTAAGGCCCCAACAACTACTGAAGCTGCCACAACCACTGTAGCTCCTACTACTACTGAAGCTGCAACATCCACTGTAGCCCCTACTACCACTGAGGCCCCAACAACAACTGAAGCTGCAACAACCACTGTAGCTCCTACTACCACTGAGGCCCTAACAACTACTGAAGCTGCAACAACCACTGTAGCCCCTACTACCACTGAGGCCCTAACAACCACTGAAGCCGCAACAACCACTGAAGTTGCTACAACCACTGTAGCTACTACTACCACTGAGGCCCCAACAACCACTGAACCTGCTACAACCACTGTAGCTCCTACTACAACTGAGGCCTTAACAACCACTGATGCTGCCACAACCACTGTAGCTCCTACTACCACTGAAGTTGCAACAACCACTGAAGCTGCTACAACCACTGTAGCTCCTACTACCACTGAGGCCCTAACAACCACTGAAGTTGCAACAACCACTGAAGTTGCTACAACCACTGTAGCTCCTACTACCACTGAGGTCCCGACAACCACTGTAGCTCCTACTACCACTGAGGCTCTAACAACCACTGAAGCCACAACAACCACTGAACCTCCAACAACCACTGTAGGTCCTACTACCACTAAGGCCCCAACAACCACTGAAGCTGCAACATCCACTGTAGCTCCAACTACCACTGAGGCCCCAACAACCACTGAAGCTGCAACAACCACTGTAGCTCCTACTACCACTGAGGCCCTAACAACCACTAAAGCTGCCACAACCACTGTAGCCCCAACTACCACTGAAGCCCATACAACCACTGATGCTGCCACAACCACTGTAGCTCCTAGTACCACTGAAGCTGCAACATCCACTGTAGCCACTACTACCACTGAGGCCCCAACAACAACTGAAGCTGACACAACCACTGTAGCTCCTACTACCACTGAGGTCCCGACAACCACTGTAGCTCCTACTACCACTGAGGTCCCGACAACCACTGTAGCCCCTACTACCACTAAGGCCCCAACAACTACTGAAGCTGCCACAACCACTGTAGCTCCTACTACTACTGAAGCTGCAACATCCACTGTAGCCCCTACTACCACTGAGGCCCCAACAACTACTGAAGCTGCAACAACCACTGTAGCCCCTACTACCACTGAGGCCCCAACAACCACTGAAGCTGCAACAACCACTGAAGCTGCAACAACCACTGTAGCTCCTACTACCACTGAGGCCCCAACAACTACTGAAGCTGCAACAACCACTGTAGCCCCTACTACCACTGAGGCCCTAACAACCACTGAAGGCGCAACAACCACTGAAGTTGCTACAACCACTGTAGCTCCTACTACCACTGAGGCCCTAACAACCACTGAAGCCGCAACAACCACTGAAGCTGCCACAACCACTGTAGCTCCTACTACCACTGAGGCCCCAACAACCACTGAACCTGCTACAACCACTATAGCTCCTACTACAACTGAGGCCCTAACAACCACTGATGCTGCCACAACCACTGTAGCTCCTACTACCACTGAAGTTGCAACAACCACTGAAGCTGCTACAACCACTGTAGCTCCTACTACCACTGAGGCCCTAACAACCACTATCGCAACAACCACTGAAGTTGCAACAACCACTGTAGCTCCTACTACCACTGAGGCCCTAACAACCACTGAAGCCGCAACAACCACTGAAGCTGCCACAACCACTGTAGCTCCTACTACCACTGAGGCCCCAACAACTACTGAACCTGCTACAACCACTGTAGCTCCTACTACAACTGAGGCCCTAACAACCACTGATGCTGCCACAACCACTGTAGCTCCTACTACCACTGAAGTTGCAACAACCACTGAAGCTGCTACAACCACTGTAGCTGCCACAACCACTGTAGCTCCTACTACCACTGAGGCCCCAACAACCACTGAAGCCGCAACAACCACTGAAGCTGCCACAACCACTGTAGCTCCTACTACCACTGAGGCCCCAACAACCACTGAACCTGCTACAACCACTGTAGCTCCTACTACCACTGAGGCCCTAACAACCACTGAAGCCGCAACAACCACTGAAGCTGCCACAACCACTGTAGCTCCTACTACCACTGAGGCCCCAACAACTACTGAACCTGCTACAACCACTGTAGCTCCTACTACAACTGAGGCCCTAACAACCACTGATGCTGCCACAACCACTGTAGCTCCTACTACCACTGAAGTTGCAACAACCACTGAAGCTGCTACAACCACTGTAGCTCCTACTACCACTGAGGCCCCAACAACCACTGAAGCCGCAACAACCACTGAAGCTGCCACAACCACTGTAGCTCCTACTACCACTGAGGCCCCAACAACCACTGAACCTGCTACAACCACTGTAGCTCCTACTACAACTGAGGCCTTAACAACCACTGATGCTGCCACAACCACTGTAGCTCCTACCACTGAAGTTGCAACAACCACTGAAGCTGCTACAACCACTGTAGCTCCTACTACCACTGAGGCCCTAACAACCACTGAAGTCGCAACAACCACTGAAGTTGCTACAACCACTGTAGCTCCTACTACCACTGAGGTCCCGACAACCACTGTAGCTCCTACTACCACTGAGGCTCTAACAACCACTGAAGCCACAACAACCACTGAACCTCCAACAACCACTGTCGGTCCTACTACCACTAAGGCCCCAACAACCACTGAAGCTGCAACATCCACTGTAGCTCCAACTACCACTGAGGCCCCAACAACCACTGAAGCTGCAACAACCACTGTAGCTCCTACTACCACTGAGGCCCTAACAACCACTAAAGCTGCCACAACCACTGTAGCCCCAACTACCACTGAAGCCCATACAACCACTGATGCTGCCACAACCACTGTAGCTCCTACTACCACTGAAGTTGCAACAACCACTGAAGCTGCTACAACCACTGTAGCTCCTACTACCACTGAGGCCCTAACAACCACTGAAGTCGCAACAACCACTGAAGTTGCTACAACCACTGTAGCTCCTACTACCACTGAGGCCCTAACAACCACTGAAGCCGCAACAACCACTGAAGCTGCCACAACCACTGTAGCTCCTACTACCACTGAGGCCCCAACAACTACTGAACCTGCTACAACCACTGTAGCTCCTACTACAACTGAGGCCCTAACAACCACTGATGCTGCCACAACCACTGTAGCTCCTACTACCACTGAAGTTGCAACAACCACTGAAGCTGCTACAACCACTGTAGCTGCCACAACCACTGTAGCTCCTACTACCACTGAGGCCCCAACAACCACTGAAGCCGCAACAACCACTGAAGCTGCCACAACCACTGTAGCTCCTACTACCACTGAGGCCCCAACAACCACTGAACCTGCTACAACCACTGTAGCTCCTACTACAACTGAGGCCCTAACAACCACTGATGCTGCCACAACCACTGTAGCTCCTACTACCACTGAAGTTGCAACAACCACTGAAGCTGCTACAACCACTGTAGCTCCTACTACCACTGAGGCCCCAACAACCACTGAAGCCGCAACAACCACTGAAGCTGCCACAACCACTGTAGCTCCTACTACCACTGAGGCCCCAACAACCACTGAACCTGCTACAACCACTGTAGCTCCTACTACAACTGAGGCCTTAACAACCACTGATGCTGCCACAACCACTGTAGCTCCTACCACTGAAGTTGCAACAACCACTGAAGCTGCTACAACCACTGTAGCTCCTACTACCACTGAGGCCCTAACAACCACTGAAGTCGCAACAACCACTGAAGTTGCTACAACCACTGTAGCTCCTACTACCACTGAGGTCCCGACAACCACTGTAGCTCCTACTACCACTGAGGCTCTAACAACCACTGAAGCCACAACAACCACTGAACCTCCAACAACCACTGTCGGTCCTACTACCACTAAGGCCCCAACAACCACTGAAGCTGCAACATCCACTGTAGCTCCAACTACCACTGAGGCCCCAACAACCACTGAAGCTGCAACAACCACTGTAGCTCCTACTACCACTGAGGCCCTAACAACCACTAAAGCTGCCACAACCACTGTAGCCCCAACTACCACTGAAGCCCATACAACCACTGATGCTGCCACAACCACTGTAGCTCCTAGTACCACTGAAGCTGCAACATCCACTGTAGCCACTACTACCACTGAGGCCCCAACAACTGAAGCTGCAACAACCACTGTAGCTCCTACTACCACTGAGGTCCCGACAACCACTGTAGCTCCTACTACCACTGAGGTCCCAACAACCACTGAAACCGCAACAACCACTGTAGCCCCTACTACCACTAAGGCCCCAACAACTACTGAAGCTGCCACAACCACTGTAGCTCCTACTACTACTGAAGCTGCAACATCCACTGTAGCCCCTACTACCACTGAGGCCCTAACAACAACTGAAGCTGCAACAACCACTGTAGCTCCTACTACCACTGAGGCCCCAACAACTACTGAAGCTGCAACAACCACTGTAGCCCCTACTACCACTGAGGCCCCAACAACCACTGAAGCTGCAACAACCACTGAAGCTGCAACAACCACTGTAGCTCCTACTACCACTGAGGCCCCAACAACTACTGAAGCTGCAACAACCACTGTAGCCCCTACTACCACTGAGGCCCTAACAACCACTGAAGGCGCAACAACCACTGAAGTTGCTACAACCACTGTAGCTCCTACTACCACTGAGGCCCTAACAACCACTGAAGCCGCAACAACCACTGAAGCTGCCACAACCACTGTAGCTCCTACTACCACTGAGGCCCCAACAACCACTGAATCTGCTACAACCACTGTAGCTCCTACTACAACGGAGGCCCTAACAACCACTGATACTGCCACAACCACTGTAGCTCCTACTACCACTGAAGTTGCAACAACCACTGAAGCTGCTACAACCACTGTAGCTCCTACTACCACTGAGGCCCTAACAACCACTGAAGTCGCAACATCCACTGAAGTTGCTACAACCACTGTAGCTCCTACTACCACTGAGGCTGCTACAACCACTGTAGCTCCTACTACCACTGAGGCTCTAACAACCACTGAAGCCACAACAACCACTGAACCTCCAACAACCACTGTAGGTCCTACTACCACTAAGGCCCCAACAACCACTGAAGCTGCAACATCCACTGTAGCTCCAACTACCACTGAGGCCCCAACAACCACTGAAGCTGCAACAACCACTGTAGCTCCTACTACCACTGAGGTCCTAACAACCACAAAAGCTGCCACAACCACTGTAGCTCCAACTACCACTGAAGCCCATACAACCACTGATGCTGCCACAACCACTGTAGCTCCTACTACCACTGAAGTTGCAACATCCACTGTAGCCCCTACTACCACTGAGGCCCCAACAACTGTAGCTGCAACAACCACTGTAGCTCCTACTACCACTGAGGTCCCAACAACTACTGAAGCTGCCACAACCACTGTAGCTCCAACTACCACTGAAGCCCAAACAACCACTGGAGCTGCCACAACCACTGTAGCTCCTACTACTACTGAAGCTGCAACATCCACTGTAGCCCCTACTACCACTGAGGCCCCAACAACAACTGAAGCTGCAACAACCACTGTAGCTCCTACTACCACTGAGGTCCCGACAACCACTGTAGCTCCTACTACCACTGTAGCTCCTACTACCACTGAGGTCCTAACAACTACTGAAGCTGCAACAACCACTGTAGCTCCTACTACCACTGAGGTCCCGACAACCACTGTAGCTCCTACTACCACTGAGGTCCCAACAACCACTGTAGCCCCTACTACCACTAAGGCCCCAACAACTACTGAAGCTGCCACAACCACTGTAGCTCCTACTACTATTGAAGCTGCAACATCCACTGTAGCCCCTACTACCACTGAAGCCCTAACAACAACTGAAGCTGCAACAACCACTGTAGCTCCTACTACCACTGAGGCCCCAACAACTACTGAAGCTACAACAACCACTGTAGCCCCTACTACCACTGAGGCCCCAACAACCACTGAAGCTGCAACAACCACTGTAGCTCCTACTACCACTGAGGCCCCAACAACTACTGAAGCTGCCACAACCACTGTAGCCCCTACTACCACTGAGGCCCTAACAACCACTGAAGCCGCAACAACCACTGAAGTTGCTACAACCACTGTAGCTCCTACTACCACTGAGGCCCTAACAACCACTGAAGCCGCAACAACCACTGAAGCTGCCACAACCACTGTAGCTCCTACTACAACTGAGGCCCTAACAACCACTGATGCTGCCACAACCACTGTAGCTCCTACTACCACTGAAGTTGCAACAACCACTGAAGCTGCTACAACCACTGTAGCTCCTACTACCACTGAGGCTCTAACAACCACTGAAGTCGCAACAACCACTGAAGTTGCTACAACCACTGTAGCTCCTACTACCACTGAGGGTGCTACAACCACTGTAGCTCCTATTACCACTGAGGCTCTAACAACCACTGAAGCCGCAACAACCACTGAACCTCCAACAACCACTGTAGGTCCTACTACCACTAAGGCCCCAACAACCACTGAAGCTGCAACATCCACTGTAGCTCCAACTACCACTGAGGCCCCAACAACCACTGTAGCTCCTACTACCACTGAGGTCCTGACAACCACTAAAGCTGCCACATCCACTGTAGCTCCAACTACCACTGAAGCCCATACAACCACTGATACTGCCACAACCACTGTAGCTCCTACTACCACTGAAGATGCAACAACCACTGAAGCTGCTACAACCACTATAGCTCCAACTTCCACTGAAGCCCAAACAACCACTGGAGCTGCCACAACCACTGTAGCTCCTACTACTACTGAAGCTGCAACATCCACTGTAGCCCCTACTACCACTGAGGCCCATACAACAACTGTAGCTGCAACAACCACTGTAGCTCCTACTACCACTGAGGTCCTGACAACTACTGAAGCTGCCACAACCACTGTAGCTCCTACTACCACTGATGTCCCGACAACCACTGTAGCTCCTACTACCACTGAGGCCCCAACAACTACTGAAGCTGCCACAACCACTGTAGCTACTACTTCTACTGAAGCTGCAACATCCACTGTAGCCCCTACTACCACTGAGGCCCCAACAACAACTGTAGCTGCAATAACCTCTGTAGCTCCTACTACCACTGAGGTCCCGACAACCACTGTAGCTCCTACTACCACTGAGGCCCCAACAACCACTGAAGCCGCAACAACCACTTTAGCCCCTACTACCACTGAGGCCCAAACAACTACTGAAGCTGCAACAACCACTGTAGCTGCAACAACCACTGTAGCTCCTACTACCACTGAAGTTTCAACAACCACTGAAGATACTACAACCACTGTAGCCCCTACTACCACTGAGTCCCCAACAACCACTGAAGTTGCAACATCCACTGTAGCTCCTACTACCACTGAGGTCCCGACAACCACTGAGGCCCTAACAACCACTGAAGCCGCAACAACCACTGAAGTTGCTACAACCACTGTAGCTCATACTACCACTGAGGCTGCTACAACCACTGTAGCTCCTACTACCACTGAGGCTCTAACAACCACTGAAGCCGCAACAACCACTGAACCTCCAACAACCACTGTAGGTCCTACTACCACTAAGGCCCCAACAACCACTGAAGCTGCAACATCCACTGTAGCTCCTACTACCACTGAGGCCCCAACAACCACTGAAGCTGCAACAACCACTGTAGCTCCTACTACCACCGAGGTCCTAACAACCACTGAAGCTGCCACAACCACTGAAGCTGCCACAACCACTGTAGCTCCAACTACCACTGAAGCCCAAACAACCACTGGAGCTGCCACAACCACTGTAGCTCCTACTACTACTGAAGCTGCAACATCCACTGTAGCCCCTACTACCACTGAGGCCCCAACAACAACTGTAGCTGCAACAACCACTGTAGCTCCTACTACCACTGATGTCCCGACAACCACTGTAGCTGCCACAACCACTGAAGCTGCCACAACCACTGTAGCTCCAACTACCACTGAAGCCCAAACAACCACTGGAGCTGCCACAACCACTGTAGCTCCTACTACTACTGAAGCTGCAACATCCACTGTAGCCCCTACTACCACTAAGGCCCCAACAACAACTGTAGCTGCAACATCCACTGTAGCTCCTACTACCACTGGGGCCCCAACAACCACTGATTCTGCCACAACCACTGTAGCTCCTACTACCACCGAGGTCCTAACAACCACTGAAGCTGCCACAACCACTGTAGCTCCTACTACCACTGAAGCCCAAACAACCACTGGAGCTGCCACAACCACTGTAGCTCCTACTACTACTGAAGCTGTAACATCCACTGTAGCCCCTACTACCACTGAGGCCCCAACAACAACTGTAGCTGCAACAACCACTGTAGCTCCTACTACCACTGATGTCCCGACAACCACTGTAGCTCCTACTACCACTGAGGCCCCAACAACTACTGAAGCTACCCTAACCACTGTAGCTCCTACTACTACTGAAGCCGCAACAACCACTGAAGTTGCTACAACCACTGTAGCTCCTACTACCACTGAGGCTGCTACAACCACTGTAGCTCCTACTACCACTGAGGCTCTAACAACCACTGAAGCTGCAACAACCACTGAACCTCCAACAACCACTGTAGGTCCTGCTACCACTAAGGCCCCAACAACCACTGAAGCTGCAACATCCACTGTAGCTCCTACTACCACTGAGGCTGCTACAACCACTGTAGCTCCTACTACCACTGAGGCTCTAACAACCACTGAAGCCGCAACAACCACTGAACCTCCAACAACCACTGTAGGTCCTACTACCACTAAGGCCCCAACAACCACTGATTCTGCCACAGCCACTGTAGCTCCTACTACCACTGAAGCCCAAACAACCACTGTAGCTCCTACTACTACTGAAGCTGTAACATCCACTGTAGCCCCTACTACCACTGAGGCCCCAACAACAACTGTAGCTGCAACAACCACTGTAGCTCCTACTACCACTGAGGTCCCGACAACCACTGTAGCTCCTACTACCACGGAGGCCCCAACAACAACTGTAGCTGCAACATCCACTGTAGCCCCTACTACCACTGAGGCCCCAACAACAACTGTAGCTGCAACATCCACTGTAGTTCCTACTACCACTGAGGTCCCAACAACTACTGAAGCTGCCACAACCACTGTAGCTCCAACTACCACTGAAGCCCAAACAACCACTGGAGCTGCCACAACCACTGTAGCTCCTACTACTACTGAAGCTGCAACATCCACTGTAGCTCCTACTACCACGGAGGCCCCAACAACAACTGTAGCTGCAACAACCACTGTAGCTCCTACTACCACTGAGGTCCCAACAACTACTGAAGCTGCCACAACCACTATAGCTCCAACTACCACTGAAGCCCAAACAACCACTGGAGCTGCCACAACCACTGTAGCTCCTACTCCCACTGAGGTCCCGACAACCACTGTAGCTCCTACTACCACTGTAGCTCCTACTACCACTGAGGTCCCAACAACTACTGAAGCTGCCACAACCACTGTAGCTCCTACTACCACTGAGGTCCCGACAACCGCTGTAGCTCCTACTACCACTGAAGTTGCAACAACCACTGAAGCTGCAACATCCACTGTAGCTCCAACTACCGCTGAGGCCCCAACAACCACTAAAGCTGCAACATCCACTATAGCTCCTACTACCACTGAGGCCCCAACAACCACTGAAACCGCAACAACCACTGAAGATGCAACAACCACTGTAGCTCCTACTACCACTGAGGCCCCAACAACTACTGAAGCTGCAACAACCACTGTAGCTCCTACTACCACTGAGGCTGCTACAACCACTGAATCTGCTGCAACCACTGTAGCTCCTACTACCACTGAGGCCCTAACAACCACTGAAGCCGCAACAACCACTGAAGTTGCTACAACCACTGTAGCTCCTACTACCACTGAGGCTGCTACAACCACTGTAGCTCCTACTACCACTGAGGCTCTAACAACCACTGAAGCCGCAACAACCACTGAACCTCCAACAACCACTGTAGGTCCTACTACCACTAAGACCCCAACAACCACTGAAGCTGCAACAACCACTGAAACTGCAACATCCACTGTAGCTCCTACTACCACTGAGGCCCCAACAACCACTGATTCTGCCACAACCACTGTGGCTCCTACTACTACTGAGGCCCCAACAACCACTGAAGCTGCAACAACCACTGTAGCTCCTACTACCACTGAGGTCCTAACAACCACTAAAGCTGCCACAACCACTGTAGCTCCAACTACCACTGAAGCTGCAACAACCACTGTCGCTCCTACTACCACTGGGGCCCCAACAACTACTGAAGCCGCAACAACCACTGTAGCTGCAACAACCACTGTAGCTCCTACTACCACTGAAGTTGCAACAACCACTGTAGCCTTTACTACCACTGAGGCCCCAACAACCACTGAAGCTGCAACATCCACTGTAGCTCCTACTACCACTGAGTCCCTAACAACCACTAAAGCTGCAACATCCACTGTAGCTCCTACTACCACTGAGGCCCTAACAACCACTGATGCTGCCACAACCACTGTAGCTCCTACTACCACTGAAGTTGCAACAACCACTGAAGATGCTACAACCACTGTAGCTCCTACTACCACTGAAGCCCTAACAACCACTGAAGCCGCAACAACCACTGAAGCTGCAACAACCACTGAAGTTGCAACAACCACTGTAGCTCCTACAACCACTGAGGCTGCTACAACCACTGTCGCTCCTACTACCACTGAGGCTCTAACAACCACTGAACCTCCAACAACCACTGTAGCTGCAACAACCACTGTAGCTCCTACTACCACTGAGGTACCAACAACCACTGAAGCTGCCACAACTACTGTAGCTCCTACTACCACTGAAGTCCTGACAACCACTGTAGCTCGTACTACCACTGAGATCTCAATAACCACTGAAGGTGCAACGACCACTGTAGCTCCTACTACCACTGAGGCCCTAACAACCACTGAAGATGCAACAACGACTGTAGCTCCTACTACCACTGAGGCCTTAACAACCACTGAAGATGCAACAACCACTGTAGCTCCTACTACCACTGAGGCCCTAACAACCACTGAAGCTGCCACAACCACTGAAACCGCAACAACCACTGAACCGTTAACAACCACTGTAGCTCCTACTACCACTGAGGCCCTAACAACCACTGAAGATGCAACAATGACTGTAGCTCCTACTACCACTGAGGCCCTAACAACCAGTGAAGCTGCAACAACCACTGTAACTCCTACTACAACTGAGGCCCCAACAACTATTGAAGCTGCAACAACCACTGTAGGTCCTACTACCTCTGAAGCTGCAGCAACCACTGAAGCTGCCACAACCACTGTAGCTCCTACTACCACTGAAGCCCTAACAACCACTGAAACTGCAACAACAACTGTAGCTCATACTACCACTGAAGCCCTAACAACCACTGAAGGTGCAACAACCACTGTAGCTCCTACAACCACTGAAGCCCTAACAACCACTGAAACTGCAACAACCACTGTAGCTCCTACTACCACTGAAGCCCTAACAACCACTGTAGCTCCTACTACCACTGAGGTCCCAACAACTACTGAAGCTGCCACAACCACTGTAGCTCCTACTACCACTGTAGGCCGTAGTACCACTGAAGTTGCAACAACCACTGTAGCTCTTACTACCACTGAGGCCCAAAGAACCACTGAAGCTGCCACAACCACTGAAGCTCCTACTACCACTGAAACTACATCAACCACTGAACCTGCAACAACCACTGAAGTAGCAACAACCACTGTAGCTCCTACTACCACTGAGGCCCCAATAACCACTGTAGCTCCTACTACCACTGAAGTTGCAATAACCACTGAGGCCGTAACAACCACTGAAGCCGCAACAACCACTGAAGCTGTAACAACCACTTTGGCTCCTACTACTACTGAAGACCTAATAACCACTGAAGCTCCTAATACCACTAAAGCTGCAACAACCACTGAAGACCTAACAACCAATGAAGCTGCCACAACCAGTGATGCACTGACAACTACTGAACACCTGAGAAGTACAGTAGCCTCCTCCTCCACTGAAGCACTAACAACAGTAAAATCTACTAGTACTGGTAAGTATTTATCGAGTTTATTTTGAATATACAAAAAGATGACAAGTATTTGTATATGATATCTGTGCTTCTGTCCTAGGTTTCATTTGTACCTTTGGAAACCTAGGTTGTCATAATCTATTCCTTTTAACCTGCCCAAATTCCTCCCTAATGTAAATGCAGAACTATTGATGATTTTAATTTCATTAACTTATTATTATTATTTTTTATTAATTTATTTATTTATTTTAGTAAATGAGTGAAACAGGTAATGAAGCCTATTTCCTTAATGTGCTTAAAGGGAGAAGCTGATAATGAGACCATTACAGTATATTTCACTGGAAAAAAAAACAAACTTTTGAGTTAATATCTACTCTAGTCTTCATGCAGAGCAACTACAGGGAAAAAAAGCGCCTATTATATACAATGGATTCTTCCTCCTTCTTTGTCAACTTTAATTTGCTTAAATCTGTAAATTCTACCCAGCTACAAATCACTGTTCTAAATAATCTAAATATATGATGTTAGAATTCTTAACAACACACACATTATCAGAAAAAAAACTTTAAAAGTAGTATTGATAATAATTATAATATAGCATTACATATATCATAATATATTAGCATTGTACATATTATAATACTATATTATAATACAGTATAAATAGTATTCATCATAAGTATAATTATAGTACTTGGGTTTAGAAAGACGATAATGGTAACCGACATCATGTTCACTACATCATCTTCAATCACTACAGCCTTCACAGAAACTCCTTCACCTTCCTCATCCACTTCAGTCTCTACTACTACTGAAGCTCAAAAAACCACTTCAGCTTCAACTACAATTTCACGCTACACTACCACTGAAGCTCAAACAATCACTGCCAGCAAACCCCCCAAAACAACTATGGCAGTTCCAACCACTTCAGCCCCCACTAACACTGTGGACCCCACAAAAACCCTAACAACTACTGTAAGTCATATAACAACTGAAGATCAAACAACCACTGTAGCTCCTACTACGACACAAGTCCCAACAACCTCTGAATCTCCAACAACCAATGAGGCCCTAACAGACACTGAAGCTACTACAACCACTATAGCTTCTACTACCACTGAAATTGCCACATCCACTGCCGCTCCAACAACCACTGAAGGCGCCACAACCACTGAGGCCCAAACAACCACTGAAGCTACCACTACCACTGAGGCCCCCCAAATCACTGAAGCTGCCACAACTACTGTTGCTCCCACTGAGGCCCTAACCACCACTGAAATTGCCACAACCACAGTAGGTTCTACTACCACTGACGCCCCAACAACTACTGAGGCCCTAACAACCACTGAAGCTCCTACTACGACTGACTCCCCAACTATCACTGAAGTTCTTACTACCACTGAGGCCCCAACAACCACTGAAGCTGCAACATCGACTGTAGCTCCTACTACCACTGAGGTCCCAACAACCACTGAAGATGCAACAACCACTGTAGCTCCTACTACCACTGATGCTCAAACAACCACTGAAGCTACCACAACCACTGTAGCTCCTACTACCACTGAGGCCCCAACAACCACTGAAGCTGCAACAACCACTGTAGCTCCTACTACCACTGAAGCTGCAACAACCACTGTGGTTACTACCACTGAGGCCGCAACAACCACTGAAGTTGCTACAACCACAGTAGCTTCTACTACCACTGAGGCCCCAACAACAACTGAAGCTGCCACAACCACTGAAGCTCCTACCACCACTGAAGCCCCAACAATCACGGAAGCTCCTACTACCATTGAGACCCTAACAACCACTGAAGCTGCCACAACCACTGTAGCCCCTACTACCACTGATGCTCAAACAACCACTGAGGCTACAACAACCACTGTAGCTCCTACTACCACTGAGGCCCCAACAACCACTGAAGCTGCAACAACCACTGTAGCTCCTACTACACTGAAGCTGCAACAACCACTGTGCGTTACTACCACTGAGGCCCCAACAACCACTGAAGTTGCACAACCACTGTAGCTCTACTACCACTGAGGCCCCAACAACAACTGAAGCTGCCACAACCACTGAAGCCTACAACGAACCACCACGTCCCGAGCTCTACTACCTGAGGCCCCAACAACCACTGAAGCTGCAACAACCCTGTACTCCTACTACCACTGAGACCCTAACAACCACTGAAGCTGCCACAACCACTGTAGCCCCTACTACCACTGATGCTCAAACTACCACTGAAGGGGGCAACACATTGTTAAAAAAACCACAACCACTGTACTCCTACTACCACTAGAAGGGCCCCAACAACCACTGAAGTCTATCACACAACCACTGTAGCTCCATCCTACCACAGAGGCCCCCAACAACCACCCGAGATGCAACAACCACTGTAGCTCCATCTACCACTGGGGTCCCAATAAACCACGAAGCTGCAACACCACTGTCAGCCCCCTACTACCACTGAGGTCCCAAACAACAATGACGCTGCGAACAACCACTGTAGCTCACTACTACCACTGAGGTCCAACAACCCCTGAATATGCAACAACCCTGTACTCCAACTACCACTGAATCCCTAACAACCACTGAAGCTGCAACATCGACTGTAGCTCCTACTACCACTGAAACCGTAACAACCACTTAGCTCCTACTACCACTGAGGTCCCCACACCACTGACCTCTGCTGCAACAACCACTGTAGCTCCTACTACCACTGAAGCCCAACAACCACTGAAGCTGTAACAACCACTGTGGTTACTAGCCCTATGGAAGGCCAGCAACAACCACTGAGTTTGCTACAACCATTGTACTTCTACTACCACTGAGGCCCCAACAACTGAAGCTGCCACAACCACTGAAGCTCCTACTACCACTGAGCCCCAAAAACCACTGAGCTCCTACTACCACTAAGTGTCCGAACAACCACTGAACTCCTACTTACCACTGAGACCCAACGACCACTGAAGGTTGCTACAACCACTTTAGGTCCTACAACTGAGGCCCCACAACCACTAAGGCTCAAACAACCGCTGAAGCTGCCACAACCACTGTAGCTCCATCTACCACAGAGGCCCCAACAACCACCGAAGCTGCAACAACCACTGTAGCCCCTACTACCACTGAAGGTGCAACAACCACTGTAGCTCCATCTACCACTGGGGTCCCAACAACCACTGAAGCTGCTACAACCACTGCAGTTCCTACTACCACTGAGGCCCAAACAACCACTGAAGCTGCGACCAACCACTGTCGCTCCTACTACCACTGCAGGCCCACACAACCATTCTGATCTGCAACAACCACTGTAAGCCCCTACTACACTGAGGCCCCAAACCACCACTGAAGCTGCAACATCGACTGTAGCTCCTACTCCCTGAAACCGTAACAACCACTGTAGCTCCTACTACCACTTGAGGTCCCAACACCACTGAGCTTTACAAACACTTTAGCTCCTACTACACTGACTCCCTAACAACCACGAAGCTGCCACAACCACTGTAGCCCCTACTACCACTTGATGCTCAAACAACCACTGAAGCTGCTGCAACACCATGTAGCTCCTACTACCACTGAAGCCCTAACCACCCTGAAGCTGCACAACCACTGTAGCTCCGACTACCACTGAAGCCCTAACAACCACTGAAGCTGGTAACAACCACTGTGGTTACTACCCCTTGATGCCGCAACAACCACTGATGTTTGCATCAGACCCTAACAACCACTGAAGCTGCCACAACCACTGTAGCTCCTACTACCACTAAGGCCCCAACAACCACTGAGGCTCCAACAACCACTGAGTTGTTACAACTACTGAAGCTCCTACTACCACTGAGACCCAACGACCACTGAAGTTGCTACAACCACTTTAGGTCCTACAACTGAGGCCCCAACAACCACTAAGGCTCAAACAACCGCTGAAGCTGCCACAACCACCGTAGCTCCTACTACCACTGGGGCCCCAACAACCACTGTAGCTCCTACTACTACTAAGGCCCCAACAACCACTGAGGCTCCAACAACCACTGAAGTTGTTACAACTACTGAAGCTCCTACTACCACTGAGACCCCAACGACCACTGAAGTTGCTACAACCACTTTAGGTCCTACAACTGAGGCCCCAACAACCACTAAGGCTCAAACAACCGCTGAAGCTGCCACAACCACCGTAGCTCCTACTACCACTGGGGCCCCAACAACCACTGAAGCTGCCACAACCACCGTAGCTCCTACTACCACAGAGGCCCCAACAACCACCGAAGCTGCAACAACCACTGTAGCCCCTACTACCACTGAAGGTGCAACAACCACTGTAGCTCCATCTACCACTGGGGTCCCAACAACCAGTGAAGCTGCTACAACCACTGTAGCCCCTACTACCACTGATGCTCAAACAACCACCGAAGCTGCAACAAGCACTGTAACCCCTACTACCACTGAGGCTCAAACAACCGCTGAAGCTGCAACCAGTGAAGCTGCTATAACCACTGCAGCTCCTACTACCACTGAGGCCCTAACAACCACTGAAGCCACAACAACTACTGAAACTGCAACAACCACTGTAGCTCCTACTACCACTGAAGCTGCAACAACGACTGTAGCTCCTACCACTGAAGCCGCAACAACTACTGAAGCTGCAACAACCACTGTAGCTTCCACTACCACTGAGGCCCAAACAACCACTGAAGCTGCCACAACCACTGTAGCTCCTACTACCACTGAAGCTGCAACAACCACTGTAGCTCCTACTACCACTGAAACCGTAACAACCACTGTAGCTCCTACTACCACTGAGGTCCCAACAACCACTAAGGCCCCAACAACCACTGTAGCTCCTACTACCACTGAAGCCCCAACAACCACTGAAGCTGTAACAACCACTATGGTTACTACCACTGAGGCCGCAACAACCACTGAAGTTGCTACAACCATTGTAGCTTCTACTACCACTGAGGCCCCAACAACAACTGAAGCTGCCACAACCACTGAAGCTCCTACTACCACTGAAGCCCCAACAACCACTGAAGCTCCTATTACCACTGAGGCCCCAACGACCACTGAAGTTGCTACAACCACTTTAGGTCCTACAACTGAGGCCCCAACAACCACTAAGGCTCAAACAACCGCTGAAGCTGCCACAACCACTGTAGCTCCATCTACCACAGAGGCCCCAACAACCACCGAAGCTGTAACAACCACTGTAGCCCCTACCACCACTGAAGCCGCAACAACCAGTGAAGCTGTCACAACCACTGTAGCTCCATCTACCACAGAGGCCCCAACAACAACCGAAGCTGCAACAACCACTGTAGCTCCATCTACCACTGGGGTCCCAACAACCACTGAAGCTGCTACAACCACTGTAGCCCCTACTACCACTGAGGCCCAAACAACCACTGAAGCTGCCACAACCACTGTAGCTCCTACTACCACTGAGGCCCCAACAACCACTGAAGATGCAACAACCACTGTAGCTCCTACTACCACTGAATCCCTAACAACTACTGAAGCTGCCACAACCACTGTAGCCCCTACTACCACTGATGCTCAAATAACCACTGAAGCTACCACAACCACTGTAGCTCCTACTACCACTGAGGCCCCAACAACCACTGAAGCTATCACAACCACTGTAGCTCCATCTACCACAGAGGCCCCAACAACCACCGAAGATGCAACAACCACTGTAGCTCCATCTACCACTGGGGTCCCAATAACCACTGAAGCTGCAACAACCACTGTAGCCCCTACTACCACTGAGGCCCAAACAACCACTGAAGCTGCGACAACCACTGTAGCTCCTACTACCACTGAGGTCCCAACAACCACTGAAGATGCAACAACCACTGTAGCTCCTACTACCACTGAATCCCTAACAACCACTGAAGCTGCAACATCGACTGTAGCTCCTACTACCACTGAAACCGTAACAACCACTGTAGCTCCTACTACCACTGAGGTCCCAACAACCACTGAAGCTGCAACAACCACTGTAGCTCCTACTACCACTGAAGCCCTAACAACCACTGAAGCTGTAACAACCACTGTGGTTACTACCACTGAAGTTGCTACAACCATTGTAGCTTCTACTACCACTGAGGCCCCAATAACAACTGAAGCTGCCACAACCACTGTAGCTCCTACTACCACTGAGGCCCCAACAACCACTGAGGCTCCAACAACCACTGAAGTTGTTACAACTACTGAAGCTCCTACTACCACTGAGACCCCAACGACCACTGAAGTTGATACAACCACTTTAGGTCCTACAACTGAGGCTCCAACAACCACTAAGGCCCAAACAACCGCTGAAGCTGCCACAACCACCGTAGCTCCTGCTACCACTGGGGCCTCAACAACCACCGAAGCTGCAACAACCACTGTAGCCCCTACTACCACTGAAGGTGCAACAACCACTGTAGCTCCATCTACCACTGGGGTCCCAATAACCACTGAAGCTGCTACAACCACTGTAGCCCCTACTACCACTGAGGCCCAAACAACCACTGAAGCTGCGACAACCACTGTAGCTCCTACTACCACTGAGGCCCAAACAACCACTGAAGCTGCAACAACCACTGTAGCCCCTACTACCACTGACGCCCAAACAACCACTGAAGCTGCAACATCGACTGTAGCTCCTACTACCACTGAAACCGTAACAACCACTGTAGCTCCTACTACCACTGAGGTCCCAACAACCACTGAAGATGTAACAACCACTGTAGCTCCTACTACCACTGAATCCCTAACAACCACTGAAGCTGCCACAACCACTGTAGCCCCTACTACCACTGATGCTCAAACAACCACTGAAGCTGCAACAACCACTGTAGCTCCTACTACCACTGAAGCCCTAACAACCACTGAAGCTGCAACAACCACTGTAGCTCCTACTACCACTGAAGCCCTAACAACCACTGAAGCTGTAACAACCACTGTGGTTACTACCACTGAGGCCGCAACAACCACTGATGTTGCTACAGCCATTGTAGCTTCTACTACCACTGAGGCCCCAATAACAACTGAAGCTGCCACAACCACTGTAGCTCCTACTACCACTGAGGCCCCAACAACCACTGAGGCTCCAACAACCACTGAAGTTGTTACAACTACTGAAGCTCCTACTACCACTGAGACCCCAACGACCACTGAAGTTGCTACAACCACTTTAGGTCCTACAACTGAGGCTCCAACAACCACTAAGGCTCAAACAACTGCTGAAGCTGGCACAACCACCGTAGCTCCTGCTACCACTGGGGCCCCAACAACCACTGAAGCTGTCACAACCACTGTAGCTCCATCTACCACAGAGGCCCCAACAACCACCGAAGCTGCAACAACCACTGTAGCCCCTACTACCACTGAAGGTGCAACAACCACTGTAGCTCCATCTACCACTGGGGTCCCAATAACCACTGAAGCTGCTACAACCACTGTAGTTCCTATTACCACTGAGGCCCTAACAACCACTGAAGCCGCAACAACCAGTGAAGCTGCAACAACCACTGTAGCCCCTACTACCACTGAGGCCCAAACAACCACTGAAGCTGCAACAACCACTGTAGCCCCTACTACCACTGAGGCCCAAACAACCACTGAAGCTGCAACATCGACTGTAGCTCCTACTACCACTGAAACCGTAACAACCACTGTAGCTCCTACTACCACTGAGGTCCCAAGAACCACTGAAGATGTAACAACCACTGTAGCTCCTACTACCACTGAATCCCTAACAACCACTGAAGCTGCCACAACCACTGTAGCCCCTACTACCACTGATGCTCAAACAACCACTGAAGCTACCACAACCACTGTAGCTCCTACTACCACTGAGGCCCCAACAACCACTGAAGCTGCAACAACCACTGTAGCTCCTACTACCACTGAAGCCCTAACAACCACTGAAGCTGTAACAACCACTGTGGTTACTACCACTGAGGCCGCAACAACCACTGATGTTGCTACAACCATTGTAGCTTCTACTACCACTGAGGCCCCAATAACAACTGAAGCTGCCACAACCACTGTAGCTCCTACTACCACTGAGGCCCCAACAACCACTGAGGCTCCAACAACCACTGAAGTTGTTACAACTACTGAAGCTCCTACTACCACTGAGACCCCAACGACCACTGAAGTTGCTACAACCACTTTAGGTCCTACAACTGAGGCTCCAACAACCACTAAGGCTCAAACAACTGCTGAAGCTGGCACAACCACCGTAGCTCCTGCTACCACTGGGGCCCCAACAACCACTGAAGCTGTCACAACCACTGTAGCTCCATCTACCACAGAGGCCCCAACAACCACCGAAGCTGCAACAACCACTGTAGCCCCTACTACCACTGAAGGTGCAACAACCACTGTAGCTCCATCTACCACTGGGGTCCCAATAACCACTGAAGCTGCTACAACCACTGTAGTTCCTATTACCACTGAGGCCCTAACAACCACTGAAGCCGCAACAACCAGTGAAGCTGCAACAACCACTGTAGCCCCTACTACCACTGAGGCCCAAACAACCACTGAAGCTGCGACAACCACTGTAGCTCCTACTACCACTGAAGCTGCAACATCGACTGTAGCTCCTACTACCACTGAAACCGTAACAACCACTGTAGCTCCTACTACCACTGAGGCCCCAACAACCACTGATGCTGCAACAACCACTGTAGCTCCTACTACCACTGAAGCTCCAACAACCACTGAAGCTGTAACAACCACTGCGGTTACTACCACTGAGGCCGCAACAACCACTGACGTTGCTACAACCATTGTAGCTTCTACTACCACTGAGGCCCCAACAACTGAAGCTGCCACAACCACTGAAGCTCCTACCACTGAAGCCCCAACAACCACGGAAGCTCCTACTACCATTGAGACACTAACAACCACTGAAGCCGCAACAACCAGTGAAGCTACAACAACCACTGTAGCCCCTACTACCACTGAAGGTGCAACAACCACTGTAGCTCCATCTACCACTGGGGTCCTAACAACCACTGAAGCTGCCACAACCACTGTAGATCCTACTACCACTGAGGCCCTAATAACCATTGTAGCTGCAACAACCACTGTAGGTCCTACTACCACTGAAGTTGCAACCAGTGAAGCTGCTACAACTGCTGTAGCCCCTACTACCACTGAAGGTGCAACAACCACTGTAGCTCCATCTACCACTGGGGTCCCAACAACCACTGAAGCTGCTACAACCACTGCAGTTCCTACTACCACTGAGGCCCTAACAACTACTGAAGCCGCAACAACAACTGAAGCTGCAACAACCACTGAAGCCGCAACAACCACTGAAGCTGCAACATCCACTGTAGCCCCTACTACCACTGAGGCCCAAATAACCACTGTAGCTCCTACTACAACTGAAGCCACAACAACTACTGAAACTGCAACAACCACTGTAGCTCCTACTACCACTGAAGCCACAACAACGACTGTAGCTCCTACCACTGAAGCCGCAACAACCACTGAAGCTGCAACAACCACTGTAGCTTCCACTACCACTGAAGCTGCCACAACCACTGTAGTTCCTACTACCACTGAAGCTGCAACAACCACTGTAGCTCCTACTACCACTGAATCCCCAACAACCACTGTAGTACTTACTACCACTGAGGCTCCAACAACCACTGAAGCTGCAACAACCACTGTAGCTCCTACTACCACTGAATCCCCAACAACCACTGAAGCTGCAACAACCACTATAGCTCCTACTACCACTGAATCCCCAACAACCACCGAAGCAGCAACCACTGTAGCTCCTACTACCACTGAGGCCCCAACAACCACTGAGGCTCCAACTGAAGTTGTTACAACTACTGAAGCTCTTATTACCACTGAGGCCCCAACGACCGCTGAAGTTGCCACAACCACTTTAGGTCCTACAACTGAGGCCCCAACAACCACTGAAACTCCTACTACTACCGATGCCCCAATAACCACTGAAGCTCTTACTACCACTGAAGCCCCAACAACCACTGAAGTTGCTACAACCACTGAAGCTGCCACAACCACTGAAGGTCTTACTACCACTGAGGGCCCAATTACAACTGAAGTTGTTACAACCACTATAGGTCTTAATACCACTGATGCCCCAACAACCACTGAAGCTGCCACAACTATTGAGGCCCTAACAATCCTTGAAGGAACCACAACCACTGAAGCCCTGACAACTACTGAACGCCTGACAAGCACAGTTGCATCTACAGTTGCATTATCAACAATAGAATCTGCCATATCTGGTAAGTGTGAAGATTTTTTCTTTTTTTAAGAATATATAAAATGCACTTTATTATTACAAGTATTTGTATATGATAACATCTATTGTTCTTAATGTCCTGGGAGTGATTTGTAATCCGAGGCTGTCCTAATTTATTTCCTTGACATTCTAGGCTGCCCAAATCTCTCCCCATTGAAAATGCAAAACCATTAATCTTATTAAATGCCATACTTTTCTAACAAAACAGAAAATGAAGCATAGTCCTTTAATGTGTTTAAAGGGAACGAATGTTAATCAAATCCTCATATTTTACTGGAAAAAAAAGATAAAAAGATTCAGTCCATACTCTAGTCTTCATGCAAAGCAACTACTGGGGAAAACCTAGCAATATTTTCTCTTTTATATAAGGAGATACTGGTATCTAATTTATCTATATAGGCATCTGATGTATATAATGAATTCTTCCCTAATTCCTTATTTATTGAATCTTCTATCAATTTACTTCAATCTGAAATTTCTTCCCAACTACAACCACCTCAGTCCCTACTAAAACATTGGCTCCAACTACCACTGAAACTATCACAACTACTGAGACCAAGACAACAACCACTTCCTCCCCAGTTACTACCAAATCCCTAACAACCACTTCCTCCCCAGTTACTACCAAATCCCTAACAACCACTTTAAGTTCTACAACCATTGAAGCCCCAACAACCACCATCACTTTTACTAGCGCTGATGTTGTAACAATTGCTATCACTTCTAATACCATCGAGACCCCAACAATACTGTATTTCTCTCAACCACCAAGGCCCTGACAACCAATGAAGCTGCCACAATCACTGTAGCTTCTACTATCACTGAGACCCCAATGACCACTGACACTGCCACAATCATTATTGCTCCTACTATCACTGTGGTTCCAACAACAATTGAAGCAGCCACAATCATTGATGCTTCTATTACCAATGAGGCCCAAATGAACTCTTTAGCAGTGAAAACCACCTCACTCCCCACTAAAACTTTGGCCCCAACTACCAATGGATGTATAATAAATACTGAGACCAAAACAACAACCACTTTTTCCCTAATTACCATCAAAACCCCAACAACCACTTCTTCCCCAATTACCATCAAGACCCCAACAACCACTTCAAGTCCTACAACCATTGAGGACCAAAAAAACATTCTACTACCACTGAGACCCAAACAAACACTAAAAACCCAACAACAACTGTAACTGTTCCTACAAATGAAGTTCATATTAACACTGGGCCGCTGACGACAACTGAATCTACAATTCTTATTATCACTAAGGCCATTGCAGCTTTTACTTCCACTGAGGCCATAACAACCACTGTAGCTCATATTGCCACTGATGTGCCAACTACTGAAGTTGAAACAACCACTGTATTTCCTATTACCACTGAGGCCCCAGTAACTGAAGCTGCAATAGCCACTGTAGCTCTTACTACCACTGAGGCCCCAGCAACCACTGAAGCTGCAACAACCACTGCTGCTCCTATTACCACTGAGGCCCTAATAACCACTGAAGCTCCTAGGCCTCAGCAACCACTGAAACTGCAACAACCACTGCTGCTCCTACTGCCACTGAGGCACAAAGAACCACTGAAGCTGTAACAACAACTGCAATAACCAGTGTAGCACATACTACCACTGAAACCCCCAACGACACTGTTGCTTTTACTACCACAAAGGCCCCCCATAACCACTGTAGCTCCCACTACCACTGTAGATGCGACAATCCCAGTATGTCTTACTACCACTAAGGTCCCAAGAACCAGTGAAGTTGACACAACCACTGTACCTCCTACTACTCGAACAACTACTTCTACTGAAAGGCCAAGTGTATATCAATATATATATTGCGGATATTGCCTCTGAAAAAAATATCAGAGTTATGATTTATTTTCTTTAAAGATAGTACTTTTATAAGACAAGTAAAAAGTACTATAAGTAAACCATGATAATGGTGGTCATAACACTACCGGGATCAGCTTTCACTGCAGAACCAATGCAAATCCAACCTCAGCTTTAACACCAGCACCTACAACTACCTCTGTTTTCAATAACACACCACCTGACAGTCACTCAGACTACTACAGCTACTCCAACCTTCACTGCAGTGAATTTATACACAAACTAAATCCCTACTCTGAAGATCACAAACATTCAATTACCCCTTTCTTCCCTAGTTTCTCTACTACTGTTTTGTTTTCTACTCCAGCTTCCACATTTGCCAACGCAAGCTCTACAAGTTTCATTACTTCTACAACGCTGGCAGCCTTTAGTACAACCACGCAATTTTCTACAGGTATTTAAGTTACTAAAGTATAATGGAATAATGATATATATATATATAATTTTGATTGAGGTACCTTGGTTTTATAATTCAATGCATTAGGTATTCATGTAGGACTCATATACATGGTTCCTGAGTGCCAGAAGTACCTTGAAATGTTTTGATATCTGAAGATTTTTTGGTGTAGGATCATTCCCAGGAAATTGCAAGATGACACTTAGCCATAAAAACAGGTATGTCTCTAAGAAACGACTTTGACAAGCAGATCTTACAATGCAACATCTGACTCGCCAGCCTCCAATTCAGCTTTTGTCTCCGGTATCACATTGGCCCTGTATACATATTCATATCGCCCATCCATACTGCTTCCATATCATATCCAGTCTCTGGGAAAAAAATGGTGTAATTTGATATGATAAAACCCTTTTCAAATGGTTTGTATGCAGTAAATTAACCAGTACCAAACGTTTTAAGTGTGAAATATGCTACATGCATTACCTTTTACTTGAACTTAGGCATTAATCAACCCCCAATGACCATGAAGCTTTTTACATTGGAGAGTTTCAAGTTTCATTTCTCCATCTTCAGTGTAATTCACAATTCATGTTATTATAAGCACTTTTTTCACCTTATCTTTTCTGAGAGCTGCTTGTTGTTAGAATCGAATCTTTAACTTATCTCTGTAGTTCTTAACCTGGGGGGCGTTAGTAATTTCAAAGGGTGCGCGAGCTCTTGGAAAAAAGCAGGAATTTGTCTTAATCATATTTGTTATTTTCTTAATAAGAGAATAAGCAGTGTCACATGTCTCATAAATAATGTGACTAATTCATACTGTTTTATTTATTTATTTCTTTCTCCAAAAATCAGTGCCAAGTATCCCACCAATAATGTGATTAATTCATACTAAGTAAAAAGACTGAGTATGACTGAGAATATGTTTTTGATTTCCTCTAAAATCTGGGAGGGACTTTAATTCATAGATGCAAATGGGGCATGAGGGGAAGACAAATTCCTAGGAAGCGTGGTACTAGAAAGTTCAAGAACCACTGGTCTGTTTCGTTGAAAACAGTGAAACTTTTCATGTGTCAAATCCTTAGTTCCACTCTTGCGTTTTCAGACTGTGTCTTTGATGGAGTCATGTACGAAGAAGGATATCTAATCCCTGATCAGTGTTACGATATTGTTTGCTCAGGAGGACAATGGAAAGAAAAAGGATTAAACATGGCGAGCTGTAAGCACATATATGTTTTATAAGTTTGTATGCAGAGAAATGCACATAACACAATAGCTCTCATTTGAAAAGCTGCCCATCGTTAGTAATCGCTCATTTCGATTTCCCAGGTAGCAAGTGTGCAATATTCATGGATCCTCACATTCAAACATTCGATAATGAGTTACTTACATTGACCACAAAGTGTAACTACTCCCTTGTGCAACCCGGTTTTAGTTACTCTCCGGACTTTGCTGTTTATACACAGTTTGAGTAAGTTCTAAGTTTTCATGTGTAATCATACTATTATAAGTCTACAAAAATAATTGGTACACCAGTGGCATGAAATGCTGATTCTGATTTTCTCAAAATTTCTTTGAATTCTAGAACTTGCTTTAATATCGGGTCTTGCGTAGGCCACATAACATATGTGGACAATGCCAACACCGTTATATCACGCGATATTGCTGGCTGGACAGACGATGAGACGGTAAATTACTGTTCTATATTATAATATCACTAGTACTTTTTTGTGCCTATAAGCTTAAAATAGTGACCTACCAATTTCATGTATAAGTGTGTGTGCGTGTGTTGTACACCGATATACTTTGCTGATCGTAATCTATATCTCGTCCAGCTTAACGTGAACGGCGAGGACTACTCTCTCCTGAACTACCCGACCCCCGTGACATCAGGCAGCACCCCGCACCCTGTCCTGGCATGGAGCAAGGGCAACAGCATTCGCCTTGTCGGTTCCAGCAAAGTTGCAGTAAGTCAAAGTTCTTATTTTTTCAGATTATTCTGCTGCTTGGAGAGCTTGCACTAATTAGGCTGTATAAAACATATAACACATTTCGAAGAACATCCTAAAAATAGAAGATAGTTATTTTTCCCGATGTGCATCGAAAATCTGACGACAGACTAAAGCCATTTATCTTGCAATGCAATGTGACTACAGATGCAGATATACAAGACCGTGACGTTTGTATTCATCCACGAGAGTGTAACAAACCTCCACGGCCTCTGCGGCACAGAAGACAGCTCCTCTGACTATGTTGATCGTTTAAATGCAACTTCCACACCTGACGCGTTCTACGATTCTTGGAAGGTAAGGTGCACCTAACTTTTTGGAGAGTGAGTGTGTGTGTGAGAAAGTGAATGAGTAAGTGTGTGTGTGTGTGAGTGTGTGTGTGTGAGAGAGAGAATGCGTGAGAAAAAGAAAAAGAGAAAGAGCATAGTCGAGGGCAATATAAAGAGAATGAATAAGAAAGAGAAAGAGTGAGTGAGAAAGAGAGTATGTAAGAAAGTAAGCGAGAGAGGAAGTGAGTGCGAAAGTTACAGTTAGAAAGTGGGAAAGAGTGAGTGAGAGAGGAAGAAAGTGCGAAAGAGGTTGAGTGATAAAGTTAGAAAGAAAATGAGAGTGAGAGAGAGATTTTATTTCTTTATATTTTAAAGTTTCGTTTGATTCCATTTGTTACAATGGATATTCTTGGTGTGGCATACTGTCTGTTTCATTTTGCTTCTAAGTTATCCCCTGTGTGCAAGGAATGGCCGGGGTTACCATCCACTGGCGGCGAGGAATTTAAACGCAGGTCAGCAAGATTGCTAGACGAGATCGCTACCGCTGCACCACACAGCACACAGAGAGAAAGAAAGAGAGAGAAAGAGAGAGAGAGATTTCAATACACCAAAAGAGAAGTTTTCAATTGATATTTCCAAATCTTCCTTGAGGTGGACTGCTTTGACGTTTCCAGTGGATGAATTTGAATGTTTTTTTTTTCTTTCCTTCTTTCTGATATTCACTATTATTTCATATATCATTTACCTTTGTGTGCTGATTCAGCAATACACATGCAATCTCTAAATAGGCTCAAATGTTTTTTGTAAACAGCCAACTTACTTATTCATTTTACAGAAATCTTTATTTTCTTGGATCATGATTTAGTGTGTAATGTATACATAATTGTTGTATTTATCTTCATACAGACACAAACACAACAGACTTCGTGCAATTCTCGTCGAAAGAAGAGGGCAACTACAGCGGTAAGTAAAAGCATGATGTGAGTGTGGTAGAGAGAGAGAGAGAGAGAGAGAGAGAGAGAGAGAGAGAGAGAGAGAGAGAGAGAGAGAGAGAGAGAGAGAGAGAGAGAGAGCAACTTTAACTTTAAGTTTTGGCTATATAGTTTGCATATGAGAGAGGGAAAGAGAAAGATACAGAGTAAGGGGCAAAGGGAATGAGGGAAAGGGTAAAAGAGACTCAGAGACAGATGCAGATCTCTCTCGAATAAACTTTCTTGTGAGTTTTTTTCAATCAACGTCTTGTAGATAGGATTTTCTCCTGACAAATAATTATGTAAGTCACGTGCTATTTCCTCATCACTAATAGCCAGAAAAAATAATGGTAATAGAAAAATAATAATGAAAATAAATAATTAAGAAGAAAAGGACTCACGGTAAGGGAACGTGGCACTATCGGCCACGCCACGTTTTTAAATTGGATGTAATGGTTTTCATTAGCTCATGATATCATGCTTCCTATTTGCCTTACATATAGCACACTGATTTACAGTTTTGAATGACATTTACTTGATCATGTTCCTCCATCGTGTATCTATGGCGCCCACTTCTGGCCTTGTTTCTGGCAGATTCAGTTGCTTGGTGTCGCTGGATGCACAGAGACGCGGTTGACTTCGAAATTACTAATCTTGATATTTCGTCTCTTGATCGTCCCTTAGAGTAAGGCGTAACTATATAAATGGTCTGTGAGGTCTCGCATTAGCATGATACGAGACCCAAGCCATATCAACTCCAAAACACTATTCGAACACATTATGAAGCTTCATCTGTTTCCATATTTGAAAACAACAAGTACCAACCTCCCGGAATCAATTCCTAGCAATCGCTTCGGGTTCATCTACTCCCGAGTAAAGATTTTTTTTTTTTTTTTTTTTTTTTTTTTTTTTTTTTTTTTTTAAAGCAAGCGTACATATTCATACCTCTGGTGTGCAGAAGGATTCTACTTATACTTACTAAAATGCACCACTGCTACTGCATAAGAAAAAATCTTTGTCTATCATTACCCAGTTCAGACGTAAACAAATGTAAATTGTTTAACAGGGTAACGAGTGTACAGTCGACGCCAGCAAAAGGGAGGAATTTAACAGCAGCTGCACCACTGTCGTCCTTTCCACAACGCATCTAAACTATTCAGTCCCTGAAGTGTCCTCCGAGAATCTGATTAGTAAGTTCGTGGGACGATTGATCTCATGAGTGCTCTTAATACTGATGTTGCTATTGTTCCTAAGGTCTCAAACATTACTGACAGTGTTACTATTGCATTATTCTAATTATGATTATTATAATGGTAGTGGCAATGCTATTGGTAATTGGTTATCATGGTAATATTCAAAATATTGTAATTACTGGTTCCATAATTCGTCATTACCACGGTTTTAGAATTTCTTCTATTCAGCAATACAGTCAGTCTTGTAATCTTTACTTTTATTTCCGTAATGTGCATCAAAATCATTATCATCTTTGTTTTCCCTAATTATTTGTTTTAGACCTGTCATGCACCTGGCCTGAGCTTAAAAATACCAATCTCTCATTTTCAAGATGCCTGTGTGTTCGATCTGTGCATGGTGTACATGAACACGAGCGATGATCAAGCTGTTTTAGATTATTTGTACGCCGATGTCGTTGACACAGTGCAAGCCTTCATCTTAACGAGTAAGTCATTCATACTGTTGCGAAGTTGGTGAATCTGGTGAAGAGATTTTGTCCTGCCATCATTTGATTAAGTAAACACTGAAAATGAAACTCCCATTTCAGCTATAAATGTCACTACATCATCGACTGCCTCACCCACAACCACCTTAGAATCTACAAGTTCGGCCACGACCTCAGGTTCGTATTTTTCTCAAAATATAATTTTCATTATTTCCGTTTCCAACACACACACACAAACACACACACATATGCATGTGTGTGTGTATATATATACATAAAGCTATTTATATATATAGCTACACACGTACACACACACACACACACACACACACATATATATGCATGTGTGTGTATTTATATACATATAGCTATTTATACATATGGCTACAAACACACACACACACATACAAACACACACACACGCACACACACACACACACACATATATATATATATATATATATATATATATATATATATATATAAACACATACACACATATATATATACTACAACAGCAGGTATAATTACGCCCGCAGTCCCATCAGCAACTACAGAAGTAGTTACTACTACATCCCAAGCTTCACCAGCAAATAGAAAGTAGATGCTTCTGTATCATCTCCACCAACAGTTACAGAAACAGCTATCGCCACAACCCCAGTCCTAATAACAACTGTTAGTCTTTCCCCAACCAATAGAACGTCCTCATCAATAAGCATTACTTTTACCAAGACACCCGCATACCTACAGAGGCAATGTACACTGTAGCCCCACCTCTCTCAAGTACAGCCTCAAGTATCATTGCATCCTCATTCCTATCAGCAGTACATCACCAATGACCAAATACTCAGTCGCATCAAGATGCAGTACAATTTAAGTAACATAATTAAATGCTGAAGCAGCTGCATTTGAAAGCCAACTAAAAATATAAAGGCAGCCAGTACATTTTCAGTTCCATCAACAACTGCAGAGATAGCAACCGCTTCAACGCCAGTCCCATTATCAAGGACAGAGGTAGCTACCACAGCAACTAAAGCTACTAAAAAGCTACTACTGCTTCCCCAATCACATTATCAAGTACAGAGATATATCAGTACATCTTCAGTTCAATGTCCTATCAACAACTACTACTTCAGCTACCTTTATATCCCCAGTTCTACATACACCTTCATAAGTAGCTAATACTACACTCCAAGTTTCATTAACACCTACAGAAGCTGGTGCTACTACTAATATTTCAGGTACATCAGTTACCGAAGCAAGTTGAACTTCAGTTTCTAGAATTACTATTTCAATTACCCATAACAGAAATTCCTAAAACAAGTACTATTTCAGGAACCACAACTTCAATTCCTGAAACAACTGTTTCACTTACCAAAACTTCATTTCTTGAAACAAGTACTACTTCAGGTACAACATCGATTCCTAAAACAAGTAGCACTGCAATTTACTGAAACAAGTATTATACTACGTACAACGACGTCAATTCCTGAAGCAATAATACTTCAACTACCACAACTTCAGTTCCTGAAATAGATATTGTTTCACTTACAGTTCGTGAAAAAATACTATTTCAGTAACCACAAAGTCAGTCCCTGAAACAAGTATTAAATGAATTACAAGTATTGTTTCACTTATCACAACTTCAGTTCTTGACTTAAGTACTACTACATTTAATACAACTTCAGTTCTTGAAAGAACTATTATTTCATTTACCACAGCGACTTTAATTCCTGAACTATTTTAGTATTAATTTACTTACTACAACATCACTTGCTGAAATATGTATCACACCACTTTAATTATATTTTCTGAAAAAGTACAACACATATTCCCGAAAAACCTATTCCCTCAGTTAGCACGATAAATGTTAATTCTACTCTCCCAATCACAATGTCACAAAACGACTAATATTTAAGGTATGACAATTACGTTAGTTAAAATAACTAATAACTAATAACTAACATTTCAGGTCCAACAACAAGTACTATTTCAGAAACTACCTCAGTGACCACAACTTCAGTTCCTGAGACAAGTACTATTTCAGGTAGGTTAGGTCCTAAAACAAATTTATTTTAGGACATCCTTTATCGTAATTGCACCCTTACCACACATGCACTTCCTGAAACTAGTACTATTTCAGTTACAACTTCAAAATCAAATAAAAACTATTTCATGTACCACAATAACACCAATCCATGAAAGAAACATGTCTTCGGTTACTACAACTCTACTTCTTAAAATAAGTACTGCTACAGTTACAATAACACCAATTCTTGAAACAATTACTGCTTCAGATACTACGACTCCACTTCCTGAGGCCGCAACAACCACTGAAGATGCCATAACATCTGTAGCTCCAACAACCACTGAAGCTCCTACTACCACCGATGCGTTTACAACCACAGAAGCTGTCACAACCACTGTGGTTCTTACTAAAACTGAGGCCCCAACAACTACTGAAGCTCCAACAACCACTGTACCTCTTACTACAACAGATGCCCCAACAACAACTGAAGCTGCCACAACCGCTGAAGCTGAGACAACCCCTGAAGCTGCCACAACTACTATAACTATTACTACCACTGAGACTCTAACAACCACTGAACCTGCCACAACCATTGTAACTCTTACCACCACTGAGGCCAAAACAACCACTGAATCTGCCACAACCACTCAAGCTGCCAAAACTACTATACCTCCTACTACCACTGAGACCCCAACAACCACTGAAGCTGCCACAACTACTATAGCTCTTACTACCACTGAGACCCCAACAACCACTGAAGCTGCCACAACTACTATAGCTCTTACTACCACCGAGGCTATAACAAGCACTGAAGCTGCCACAACCACTGTAGCTCCTACTACCACTGAGGCCCCAACAACCACTGAAGCTGCTTCAACCACTGTAGCTCTTTCAACTACTAAGGCCCCAACAACCACTGAAGCTGTCACAACTACTCTAGCTCCTACTACCACTGAGGCCCCAACAACCACTATAGCTGCCACAACTACTATAGCTCCTACTACCACTGAGGCCCCAACAACCACTGAAGCTGCCACAACTACTATAGCTATTACCACCACTGAGGCCCCCCAAACCACTGAAGCTGCCACAACTACTGTAGCTCCTACTACCACTGAAGCCCACACAACCACTGAAGTTGCCACAACCACTGTAGCTCCTACTACCACTGAGGAAACAACTACCACTGAAGGTGCCACAACTACTATAGCTCTTACCACCACTGAGGCCCAAACAACCACTAAATCTGCCACAACCACTGAAGCTGCCACAACAACCGTAGCTCCTACTAACACTGAGGTCCCAACAACCACTGAAGCTACCACAACCACTGTAGCTCTTCCTGCTACTGAGGCCCCAACAACCACTGAAGCTGCCACAACTAATATGGATCTTACTACCACTGAGGCCTCAACAACCACTGAAGCTGCCACAACTACTGTAACTCTTACCACCACTGAGGCCCAAACAACCACTGGAACTGCCACAACCACTGTAGCTCCTACTACCACTGAAACCCCAACAACCAGTGAAGCTGCCACAACCACTTTAGCTCATACTACCACTGAGGCCGCAACAACCACTAAAGCTGCCACAACTACTGTAGCATTTACTACTACTAAGGCCCCAACAACCACTGAAGCTGCACCAACTACTATAGCTCCTACTACCACTGAGGCCCCAACAACCACTGAATCTGCTACAACCACTGAAGCTGCAACAACTACTATACCTCCCACTACCACTGTGGTCCCAATAACAACTGAAGCTACCACAACCACTGTAGCTCTTACTACCACTGAGGCCCCAACAACCACTGTAGCTCTTACTACCACTAAGGCCCCAACAACCACTGAAGCTGCCACAACTACTGTAGCTCCTACTACCACTAAATCCCACACAACCACTGAAGTTGCAACAACTACTATAGCTCTTACCACCACTGAGGCGCCAACAACCACTGAAACTGCCAAGACCACTATAGCTCCTACTACCAATGAGGCCCCAACAACCATTGAAACTGCCACAACCACTGTAGCTCATACTACCACTGAGGCTCCAACAACCACTGAAGCTGCAACAACCACTATAGCTCTTTCTACTAGTGAGGCCTCAACAACCACTGAAGCTGCCAAAACCACTATAACTCCTACTACCACTGAATCTGCCACAACCACTGAAGCTGCCACAACCACCGCAGCTCCTACTAACACTGAGGCCACAACAACCACTGAAGCTGCCACAACCACTATAGCTCTTTCTACTGCTGAAGCCCCAACAACCACTGAAGCTGCCACAACTACTATACCTCCTACTACCACTAAGGCCACGACAACCACTGAAGCTGCCACAACTACTATAGCTCTTACTACCACTGAGGCCCCAACAACCACTGAAGCTGCCAAAACTACTATAACTCCTTCTACCACTGAAGCCCACACAAACACTGAAGTTGCCACAACTACTATAGCTCTTACCACCACTAAGACCCAAACAACCACTGAAGCTGCCACAACTACCATAGCTCCTACTACCACTGAGGCCCCAACAACCACTGAAGCTGCCACAACCACTGTAGCTCCTACTACCACTCAGGCCCCAACAACAAATGAAGCTGCCACAACTACTCTAGCTCCTACTACCACTGAGGGCACAACTACCACTGAATCTGCCACAACCACTGTACCTCCTAGTACCACTCAGGCCCCAACAACAATTGAAGCTGCCACAACTACTATAGCTCTTACCACCACTGAGGCCAAAACAACCACTGAATCTGCCACAAACACTGAAGCTGCCACAACCACCGTAGCTCCTACTAACACTGAGGTCCCAACAACCACTGAAGCTGCCACAACTACTATGGCTCTTACTACCACTCGGGCTTCAACAACCACTGAAGCTGCCACAACAACTGTAGTTCCTACTACCACTGAAACCCCAACAACCACTGAAGCTGCCACAACCACTATAGCTCTTTCTACTACTGAGGCCCCAACAACCACTGAAGCTGCCACAACTACTGTACCTCCTACTACCACTAAGGCCACAACAACCACTGAAGCTGCCACAACCACTGTAGCTCTTACTACCACTGAGGCCCCAACAACCACTGAAGATGCCACAACTACTATAGCTCCTACTACCACTGAGGCAACAACAACCACTGAAGCTGCCACAACTACTGTTGCTCCTACTACCACTGAATCCCACACAACCACTAAAGTTGCAACAACTACTATAGTTCTTTCTACTACTGAGGCCCCAACAACCACTGAAGCTGCCACAACTACTATAGCTCGTACCACCACTGAGGCGCCAACAACCACTGAAACTGCCACAACCACTATAGCTCCTAAAACCAAAGAGGCCCCAACAACCACTGAAGCTGCTACAACTACTGTAGCTCCTACTACCACTGAGGCCCCAACAACCACTGAAGCTGCCACAACTACTCTAGCTCCTACTACCACTGAGGGCACAACTACCAATGAAGGTGCCACAACTACTATAGCTCCTACCACCACTGAGGCCAAAACAACCACTGGAACTGCCACAACCACTGTAGCTCCTACTACCACTGAAACCCCAACAACCAGTGAAGCTGCCACAACCACTTTAAATCATACTACCACTGAGGCCCCAACAACCACTAAAGCTGCCACAACTACTGTAGCATTTACTACTACTAAGGCCCCAACAACCACTGAATCTGCCACAACCACTGAAGCTGCAACAACTACTATACCTCCCACTACCACTGTGGTCCCAATAACCACTGAAGCTACCACAACCACTGTATCTCTTACTACCACTGAGGCCCAAACAACCACTGTAACTCTTACTACCACTAAGGCCCCAACAACCACTGAAGCTGCCACAACTACTGTAGCTCCTACTACCACTAAATCCCACACAACCACTGAAACTGCCACAACCACTATAGCTCCTACTACCAATGAGGCCCCAACAACCATTGAAACTGCCACAACCACTGTAGCTCATACTACCACTGAGGCTCCAACAACCACTGAAGCTGCCACAACCACTATAGCTCTTTCTACTAATGAGGCCCCAACAACCACTGAAGCTGCCAAAACCACTGTAGCTCCTACTACCACTGAATCTGCCACAACCACTGAAGCTGCCACAACCACCGTAGCTCCTACTAACACTGAGGCCCCAACAACCACTGAAGCTGCCACAACCACTATAGCTCTTTCTACTACTGAGGCCCAAATAATCACTGAAGCTGCCACAACCACTATAGCTCTTTCTACCACTGAGGCCCCAACAACCACTGAAGCTGCCACACCTACTGTAGCTCCTTCTACCACTGAAGCCCACACAACCACTGAACTTGCCACAACTACTATAGCTCTTACCACCACTGAGGCCCCAACAACCACTGAAGCTACCACAACTACTGTAGCTCCTACTACCACTGAGGCCCCAACAACCACTGAAGCTGCCACAACTACTATAGCTCTTACCACCACTGAGGCCCCAACAACCACTGAAGCTGCCACAACTACTATACCTCCTACTACCACTGAGGCCCCAACAACCACTGAAGCTGCCACAACCACTGTAGCTCCTACTACCACTCAGGCCCCAACAACAAATGAAGCTGCCACAACTACTCTAGTTCTTACCACCACTGAGGCCAAAACAACCACTGAATCTGCCACAACCACTGAAGCTACCACAACCACTGTAGCTCCTACTAACACTGAGGTCCCAACAACGACTGAAGCTACCACAATCATTGTAGCTCTTTCTACTACTGAGGCCCCAACAACCACTGAAACTGCCACAACCACTGTAGCTCATACTACCACTGAGGCCCTAACAACCATTGAAGCTGCTACAACTACTATAGCTCCTAGTACCACTGAGGCCCCAACAACCACTGAAGCTGCCACAACCACTGTACCTCCTACTACCACTCAGGCCCCAACAACAAATGAAGCTGCCACAACTACTCTAGCTCCTACTACCACTGAGGGCACAACTACCACTGAAACTGCCACAACCACTGTAGCTCATACTACCACTGAGGCCCTAACAACCACTGAAGCTGCCACAACTACTATAGCTCTTACCACCACTGAGGCCAAAACAACCACTGAATCTGCCACATCCACTGAAGCTCCCACAACCACCGTAGCTCCTACTAACACTAAGGTCCTAACAACCACTGAAACTACCACAACCACTGTAGCTCTTTCTACTACTGAGGCCCCAACAACCACTGAAGCTGCCACAACTACTATGGCTCTTACTACCACTCAGGCCTCAACAACCACTGAAGCTGCCACAACTACTGTAGCTCTTATCACCACTAAGGCCCAAACAACCACTGAAACTGCCACAACCACTGTAGCTCCTACTACCACTGAAACCCCAACAACCGCTGAAGCTGCCACAACTACTGTAGCTCTTACCACCACTGAGGCCCCAACAACCACTGAAGCTGAAACAACCACTGTAGCTCTTACTACCACTCAGGCCCCAACAACAAATGAAGCTGCCACAACCACTGTAGCTCTTACTACCACTAAGGCCCCAACAACCACTGAAGCTGCCACAACTACTATAGTTCCTACTACCACTGAGGCCCCAACAACCACTGAAGCTGCCACAACCTACTGTAGCTCTTACTACCACTGAGGTCACAACAACCACTTGAAGTTGCCTACAACTACTATAGCTCCTACTACCTACTGAGGCCCATAACAACCACTGAAGCTGCAACAACTACTGTAGCTCCTACTACCACTGAATCCCACACAACCACTGAAGTTGCAACAACTACTATAGCTCTTACCACCACTGAGGCGCCAACAACCACTGAAACTGCCACAACCACTAGTAGCTCCTACTACCAATGAGGCCCCTAACAACCACTGAAGCTGCTACAACTACTATAGCTCATACTACCACTGAGGCCCCTAACAACCACTGAAGCTGCCTACAACTACTGTACCTCCTACTACCACTCAGGCCCCAACAACCAATTGAAGCTGCCACAACTACTCTAGCTCCTACTACCACTGCAGGGCCCAACTACCACTGAAACTGCCACAACTACTGTAGCTCATACTACCACTGAGGCACTAACAACCACTGAAGCTGCCACAACTACTATAGCTCTTACCACCACTGAGGCCAAAACAACCACTGAATCTGCCACATCCACTGAAGCTGCCACAACCACCGTAGCTCCTACTAACACTAAAGTCCTAACAACCACTGAAGCTACCACAACCACTGTAGCTCTTTTACTACTGAGGCCCCAACAACCACTGAAGCTGCCACAACTACTATGGCTCTTACTACCACTCAGGCCTCAACAACCACTGAAGCTGCCACAACTACTGTAGCTCTTATCACCACTAAGGCCCAAACAACCACTGAAACTGCCACAACCACTGTAGCTCCTACTACCACTGAAACCCCAACAACCGCTGAAGCTGCCACAACTACTGTAGCTCTTACCACCACTGAGGCCCCAACAACCACTGAAGCTGAAACAACCACTGTAGCTCTTACTACCACTGAGGCCCCAACAACCACTGAAGCTGCCACAACCACTGTAGCTCTTACTACCACTAAGGCCCAACAACCACTGAAGCCAACCACTGAAGCTGCCACAACCACTGTAGCTCTTACTACCACTAAGGCCCCAACAACCACTGAAGCTGCCACAACTACTATAGTTCCTACTACCACTGAGGCCCCAACAACCACTGAAGCTGCCACAACTACTGTAGCTCCTACTACCACTGAATCCCACACAACCACTGAAGTTCCAACAACTACTATAGCTCTTACCACCACTGAGGCGCCAACAAACACTGAAACTGCCACAACCACTATAGCTCCTACTACCAAAGAGGCCCCAACAACCAGTGAAGCAGCCACAACCACTGTAGCTCATACTACCACTGAGGCCCTAACAACCACTGAAGCTGCTACAACTACTGTAGCTCCTACTACCATTGAGGCCCAAACAACCATTGAAGCTGCCACAACCACTGTAGCTCCTACTACCACTCAGGCCCCAACAACAAATGAAGCTGCCACAACTACTGTAGCTCCTACTACCACTGAAGGTGCCACAACTACTATAGCTCTTACCACCACAGAGGCCAAAACAACCACTGAATCTGCCACATCCACTGAAGCTGCCACAACCACCATAGCTCCTACTAACACTGAGGTCCCAACAACCACTGAAGTTGCCACAACTACTGTAGCTCTTACCACCACTGAGGCGCCAACAACCACTGAAACTGCCACAACCACTGTAGCTCATACCACCACTGAGGCCCTAACAACCACCGAAGCTGCCACAACTACTGTAGCTCTTACCACCACTGAGGCCCTAACAACCACTGAAGCTGCCACAACCACTGTAGCTCTTACTACCACTGAGGCCCCAACAACCACTGAAGCTGCCACAACCACTGTAGCTCTTACTACCACTGAGGTCACAACAACCACTGAAACTGCCTCAACTACTATAGCTCCTACTACCACTGAGGCCATAACAACCACTGAAGCTGCCACAACTACTGTAGCTCCTACTACCACTGAATCCCACACAACCACTGAAGTTGCAACAACTACTATAGCTCTTACCACCACTGAGGCGCCAACAACCACTGAAACTGCCACAACCACTGTAGCTCATACTACCACTGAGGCCCTAACAACCACTGAAGCTGCTACAACTACTATAGCTCCTACTACCACTGAGGCCCCAACAACCACTGAAGCTGCCACAACCACTGTACCTCCTACTACCACTCAGGCCCCAACAACAAATGAAGCTGCCACAACTACTCTAGCTCCTACTACCACTGAGGGCACAACTACCACTGAAACTGCCACAACCACTGTAGCTCATACTACCACTGAGGCCCTAACAACCACTGAAGCTGCCACAACTACTATAGCTCTTACCACCACTGAGGCCAAAACAACCACTGAATCTGCCACATCCACTGAAGCTGCCACAACCACCGTAGCTCCTACTAACACTAAAGTCCTAACAACCACTGAAGCTACCACAACCACTGTAGCTCTTTTTACTACTGAGGCCCCAACAACCACTGAAGCTGCCACAACTACTATGGCTCTTACTACCACTCAGGCCTCAACAACCACTGAAGCTGCCACAACTACTGTAGCTCTTATCACCACTAAGGCCCAAACAACCACTGAAACTGCCACAACCACTGTAGCTCCTACTACCACTGAAACCCCAACAACCGCTGAAGCTGCCACAACTACTGTAGCTCTTACCACCACTGAGGCCCCAACAACCACTGAAGCTGAAACAACCACTGTAGCTCTTACTACCACTGAGGCCCCAACAACCACTGAAGCTGCCACAACCACTGTAGCTCTTACTACCACTAAGGCCCCAACAACCACTGAAGCTGCCACAACTACTATAGTTCCTACTACCACTGAGGCCCCAACAACCACTGAAGCTGCCACAACTACTGTAGCTCCTACTACCACTGAATCCCACACAACCACTGAAGTTCCAACAACTACTATAGCTCTTACCACCACTGAGGCGCCAACAAACACTGAAACTGCCACAACCACTATAGCTCCTACTACCAAAGAGGCCCCAACAACCAGTGAAGCAGCCACAACCACTGTAGCTCATACTACCACTGAGGCCCTAACAACCACTGAAGCTGCTACAACTACTGTAGCTCCTACTACCATTGAGGCCCAAACAACCATTGAAGCTGCCACAACCACTGTAGCTCCTACTACCACTCAGGCCCCAACAACAAATGAAGCTGCCACAACTACTGTAGCTCCTACTACCACTGAAGGTGCCACAACTACTATAGCTCTTACCACCACAGAGGCCAAAACAACCACTGAATCTGCCACATCCACTGAAGCTGCCACAACCACCATAGCTCCTACTAACACTGAGGTCCCAACAACCACTGAAGTTGCCACAACTACTGTAGCTCTTACCACCACTGAGGCGCCAACAACCACTGAAACTGCCACAACCACTGTAGCTCATACAACCACTGAGGCCCTAACAACCACTGAAGCTGCTACAACTACTATAGCTCCTACTACCACTGAGGCCCCAACAACCACTGAAGCTGCCACAACCACTGTACCTCCTACTACCACTCAGGCCCCAACAACAAATGAAGCTGCCACAACTACTCTAGCTCCTACTACCACTGAGGGCACAACTACCACTGAAACTGCCACAACCACTGTAGCTCATACTACCACTGAGGCCCTAACAACCACTGAAGCTGCCACAACTACTATAGCTCTTACCACCACTGAGGCCAAAACAACCACTGAATCTGCCACATCCACTGAAGCTGCCACAACCACCGTAGCTCCTACTAACACTAAGGTCCTAACAACCACTGAAGCTACCACAACCACTGTAGCTCTTTCTACTACTGAGGCCCCAACAACCACTGAAGCTGCCACAACTACTATGGCTCTTACTACCACTCAGGCCTCAACAACCACTGAAGCTGCCACAACTACTGTAGCTCTTATCACCACTAAGGCCCAAACAACCACTGAAACTGCCACAACCACTGTAGCTCCTACCACTGAAACCCCAACAACCGCTGAAGCTGCCACAACTACTGTAGCTCTTGCCACCACTGAGGCCCCAACAACCACTGAAGCTGAAACAACCACTGTAGCTCTTACTACCACTGAGGCCCCAACAACCACTGAAGCTGCCACAACCACTGTAGCTCTTACTACCACTAAGGCCCCAACAACCACTGAAGCTGCCACAACTACTATAGTTCCTACTACCACTGAGGCCCCAACAACCACTGAAGCTGCCACAACTACTGTAGCTCCTACTACCACTGAAGCCCACACAACTATTGAAGTTGCCACAACTACTATAGCTCTTACTACTACTGAGGCCCCAACAACCACTGAAGCTGCAACAACTACTGTAGCTCCTACTACCACTGAATCCCACACAACCACTGAAGTTCCAACAACTACTATAGCTCTTTCCACCACTGAGGCGCCAACAACCACTGAAACTGCCACAACCACTATAGCTCCTACTACCAAAGAGGCCCCAACAACCAGTGAAGCAGCCACAACCACTGTAGCTCATACTACCACTGAGGCCCTAACAACCACTGAAGCTGCTACAACTACTGTAGCTCCTACTACCACTGAGGCCCAAACAACCACTGAAGCTGCCACAACCACTGTAGCTCCTACTACCACTCAGGCCCCAACAACAAATGAAGCTGCCACAACTACTGTAGCTCCTACTACCACTGAGGGCACAACTACCACTGAAGGTGCCACAACTACTATAGCTCTTACCACCACTGAGGCCAAAACAACCACTGAATCTGCCACATCCACTGAAGCTGCCACAACCACCATAGCTCCTACTAACACTGAGGTCCCAACAACCACTGAAGTTGCCACAACTACTGTAGCTCTTATCACCACTAAGGCCCAAACAACCACTGAAACTGCCACAACCACTGTAGCTCCTACTATCACTGAAACCCCAATAACCACTGAAGCTGCCACAACCACTTTAGCTCATACTACCACTGAGGCCCCAACAACCACTGAAGCTGCCACAACTACTATAGCTCTTACCACCACTGAGGCCCCAACAACCACTGAAGCTGCCACAACCACTGTAGCTCTTACTACCACTGAGGCCCCAACAACCACTGAAGCTGCCACAACCACTGTAGCTCTTACTACCACTGAGGTCACAACAACCACTGAAACTGCCTCAACTACTATAGCTCCTACTACCACTGAGGCCATAACAACCACTGAAGCTGCCACAATTACTGTAACTCCTACTACCACTGAATCCCACACAACCACTGAAGTTGCAACAACTACTATAGCTCTTACCACCACTGAGGCGCCAACAACCACTGAAACTGCCACAACCACTGTAGCTCATACTACCACTGAGGCCCTAACAACCACTGAAGCTGCCACAACTACTATAGTTCCTACTACCACTGAGGCCCCAACAACCACTGAAGCTGCCACAACTACTGTAGCTCCTACTACCACTGAAGCCCACACAACTATTGAAGTTGCCACAACTACTATAGCTCTTACTACTACTGAGGCCCCAACAACCACTGAAGCTGCAACAACTACTGTAGCTCCTACTACCACTGAATCCCACACAACCACTGAAGTTCCAACAACTACTATAGCTCTTACCACCACTGAGGCGCCAACAACCACTGAAACTGCCACAACCACTATAGCTCCTACTACCAAAGAGGCCCAAACAACCAGTGAAGCAGCCACAACCACTGTAGCTCATACTACCACTGAGGCCCTAACAACCACTGAAGCTGCTACAACTACTGTAGCTCCTACTACCACTGAGGCCCAAACAACCACTGAAGCTGCCACAACCACTGTAGCTCCTACTACCACTCAGGCCCCAACAACAAATGAAGCTGCCACAACTACTGTAGCTCCTACTACCACTGAGGGCACAACTACCACTGAAGGTGCCACAACTACTATAGCTCTTACCACCACTGAGGCCAAAACAACCACTGAATCTGCCACATCCACTGAAGCTGCCACAACCACCATAGCTCCTACTAACACTGAGGTCCCAACAACCACTGAAGTTGCCACAACTACTGTAGCTCTTACCACCACTGAGGCGCCAACAACCACTGAAACTGCCACAACCACTGTAGCTCATACTACCACTGAGGCCCTAACAACCACTGAAGCTGCTACAACTACTATAGCTCCTACTACCACTGAGGCCCCAACAACCACTGAAGCTGCCACAACCACTGTACCTCCTATTACCACTCAGGCCCCAACAACAAATGAAGCTGCCACAACTACTCTAGCTCCTACTACAACTGAGGGCACAACTACCACTGAAATTGCCACAACCACTGTAGCTCATACTACCACTGAGGCCATAACAACCACTGAAGCTGCCACAACTACTGTAGCTCCTACTACCACTGAATCCCACACAACCACTGAAGTTGCAACAACTACTAAAGCTCTTACCACCACTGAGGCGCCAACAACCACTGAAACTGCCACAACCACTGTAGCTCATACTACCACTGAGGCCCTAACAACCACTGAAGCTGCCACAACTACTATAGTTCCTACTACCACTGAGGCCCCAAGAACCACTGAAGCTGCCACAACTACTGTAGCTCCTACTACCACTGAAGCCCACACAACTATTGAAGTTGCCACAACTACTATAGCTCTTACTACTACTGAGGCCCCAACAACCACTGAAGCTGCAACAACTACTGTAGCTCCTACTACCACTGAATCCCACACAACCACTGAAGTTGCAACAACTACTATAGCTCTTACCACCACTGAAACCCCAACAACCGCTGAAGCTGCCACAACTACTGTAGCTCTTACCACCACTGAGGCCCCAACAACCACTGAAGCTGAAAGAACCACTATAGCTCTTACTACCACTGAGGCCCCAACAACCACTGAAGCTGCCACAACCACTGTAGCTCTTACTACCACTGAGGCCCCAACAACCACTGAAGCTGCCACAACTACTATAGCTCCTACTACCACTGAGGCCCCAACAACCACTGAAGCTGCCACAACTACTATAGCTCTTACCACCACTGAGGCCCCAACAACCACTGAAGCTGCCACAACCACTGTAGCTCTTACTACCACTGAGGCCCCAACAACCACTGAAGCTGCCACAACCACTGTAGCTCTTACTACCACTGAGGTCACAACAACCACTGAAACTGCCTCAACTACTATAGCTCCTACTACCACTGAGGCTATAACAACCACTGAAGCTGCCACAACTACTGTAGCTCCTACTACCACTGAATCCCACACAACCACTGAAGTTGCCACAACCACTATAGCTCCTACTACCAAAGAGGCCCCAACAACCACTGAAACTGCCACAACCACTGTAGCTCATACTACCACTGAGGCCCTAACAACCACTGAAGCTGCTACAACTACTGTAGCTCCTACTACCACTGAGGCCCCAACAACCACTGAAGCTGCAACAACTACTGTAGCTCCTACTACCACTGAAGTCCACACAACCACTGAAGTTGCCACAACTACTATAGCTCTTACCACCACTGAGGCCCCAACAACCACTGAAGCTGCCACAACTACTATAGCTCCTACTACCACTGAGGCGCCAACAACCACTGAAGCTGCCACAACTACTATAGCGGTTACTACCACTGATGCCCTAACAACCAATGAAGCTGCCACAACTACTGTAGCTCCTACTACCACTGAGGCCCCAACGACCACTGAAGATACCACAACCACTGTGGAAGCTACCACAACCACTGTAGCTCCTACTACCACTGAGGCCCCAACAACAAATGAAGCTTCCACAACTACTATAGTGGTTACTACCACTGAGGCCCTAAGAACCACTGAAGCTGCAAGAGACACTGTAGCTCCTACTACCACTGAGGCCCCAAGAACCACTGAAGCTGCCACAACTACTATAGCTCCTACTACCACTGAGGCCCTAACAACCACTGAAGCTGCCACAACAACTGTAGCTCCTACTACCACTGAAGCCCACACAACTATTGAAGTTGCAACAACTACTATAGCTCTCACCACCACTGAGGCGCCAACAACCACTGAAACTGCCACAACCACTATAGCCCCTACTACCACTGAAACCCACACAACCACTGAAGTTGCCACAACTACTATAGCTCTTACTACCACTGAGGCGCCAACAACCACTGAAGATGCCACAACCACTGTAGCTCCTACTACCACTGAAACCCACACAACCACTGAAGTTGCCACAACTACTATAGCTCTTACTACCACTGAGGCGCCATCAACCACTGAAGCTGCCACAACTACTGTAGCTCCTACTACCACTGAAGCCCACACAACTATTGAAGTTGCAACAACTACTATAGCTCTCACCACCACTGAGGCGCCAACAACCACTGAAACTGCCACAACCACTATAGCTCCTACTACCACTGAAACCCACAGAACCACTGAAGTTGCCACAACTACTATATCTCTTACTACCATTGAGGCGCCAACAACCACTGAAGCTGCCACAACCACTGTAGCTCCTACTACCACTGAAACCCACACAACCACTGAAGTTGCCACAACTACTATAGCGGTTACTACCACTGAGGCCCTAACAACCAATGAAGCTGCCACAACTACTGTAGCTCCTACTACCACTGAGGCCCCAACAACCACTGAAGATACCACAACCACTGTGGAAGCTACCACAACCACTGTAGCTCCTACTACCACTGAGGCCCCAACAACAAATGAAGCTTCCACAACTACTATAGTGGTTACTACCACTGAGGCCCTAAGAACCACTGAAGCTGCAAGAGACACTGTAGCTCCTACTACCACTGAGGCCCCAACAACCACTGAAGCTGCCACAACCACTGTAGAAGCTGCCACAACCACTGTAGCTCCTACTACCACTGAGGACACAACTACCACTGAAGGTGCCACAACTACAATAGCTATTACCACCACTGAGGCCCAAACAACCACTGAATCTGCCACAACCACTGAAGCTGCCACAACCACCGTAGCTCCTACTAATACTGATGTCTCAACAACCACTGAAGCTACCACAACCACTGTAGCTCTTTCGACTACTGAGGCCCCAACAACCACTAAAGCTGCCACAACTACTATGGCTCTTACTACATCTGAGGCCTCAACAACCACTGAAGCTGCCACAACTACTGTAGCTCCTTCCACCACTGAGGCCCAAACAACCACTGGAACTGCCACAACTACTATATCTCTTACTACCACTGAGGCGCCAACAACCACTGAAGCTGCCACAACCACTGTAGCTCCTACTACCACTGAAACCCACACAACCACTGAAGTTGCCACAACTACTATAGCGGTTACTACCACTGAGGCCCTAACAACCAATGAAGCTGCCACAACTACTGTAGCTCCTACTACCACTGAGGCCCCAACAAACACTGAAGATACCACAACCACTGTGGAAGCTACCACAACCACTGTAGCTCCTACTACCACTGAGGCCCCAACAACAAATGAAGCTGCCACAACTACTATAGTGGTTACTACCACTGAGGCCCTAAGAACCACTGAAGCTGCAAGAGACACTGTAGCTCCTACTACCACTGAGGCCCCAACAACCACTGAAGCTGCCACAACCACTGTAGAAGCTGCCACAACCACTGTAGCTCCTACTACCACTGAGGACACAACTACCACTGAAGGTGCCACAACTACAATAGCTATTACCACCACTGAGGCCCAAACAACCACTGAATCTGCCACAACCACTGAAGCTGCCACAACCACCGTAGCTCCTACTAATACTGAGGTCTCAACAACCACTGAAGCTACCACAACCACTGTAGCTCTTTCGACTACTGAGGCCCCAACAACCACTAAAGCTGCCACAACTACTATGGCTCTTACTACATCTGAGGCCTCAACAACCACTGAAGCTGCCACAACTACTGTAGCTCCTTCCACCAATGAGGCCCAAACAACCACTGGAACTGCCACAACCACTGTAGCTCCTACTACCACTGAGGCGCCAACAACCACTAAAGCTGCCACAAATACTGTAGCATTTACTACTACTAAGGCCCCAACAACTACTGAAGCTGCCACAACTACTATAGTTCCTACCACCCCTGAGGCCCAAACAACCACTGAATCTGCCACAACCACTGAAGCTGCAACAACTACTATACCTCCCACTACCACTGAGATCCCAATAACCACTGAAGCTGCCACAACCACTGTAGCTCTTACTACCACTGAGGCCCCAACAACCAATGAAGCTGCAACAACTACTGTACCTCCTACTACCACTGAGGCCACAACAACCACTGAAGCTGCCACAACTACTGTAGCTCTTACTACCACTGAAGCCCACACAACTACTGAAGTTGCCACAACTACTATAGCTCTTACTACCACTGAGGCCCCAACGACCACTGAAGCTGCAACAACTACTGTAGCTCCTACTACCACTGAGGCCCCAACAACCACCGAAGCTGCCACAACCACTGTAGCTCTTACCACCACTGAAGCCCCAACAACCACTGAAGCTGCCACAACTACTATAGCTCTTTCTACCACTGAGGCCCAAACAACCACTGAAGCTGCCACAAATTCTGTACCTCCTACTACCATTAAAGACCACACAACTACTGAAGGTGCTACAACTACTATAGCTCTTACCACCACTGAGGCCTCAACAACCACTGAAACTGCCACAACCACTGTAGCTCCTACTACCACTGAAGCCCCAACAACCAGTGAAGCTGCCACAACCACTTTAGCTCATACTACTACTGAGGCCCCAACAACAACTGAAGCTGCCACAACTACTGTAGCATTTACTACTACTAAGGCCCCAACAACCACTGAAGCTGCCACAACTATTGTAGCTCTTGCCACCACTGAGGCCCAAACAACCAATGAAGCTGCCACAACTACTGTAGCATTTACTACTACTAAGGCCCCAACAACCACTGAAGCTGCCACAACTACTATAGCTCTTACTACCACTGAGGCCCCAACAACCACTGAAGCTGCCACAACTACTATAGCTCTTGCCACCACTGAGGCCCAAACAACCACTGAATCTGCCACAACCACTGTAGCTCTTACTACCACTGAGGTCACAACAACCAATGAAGCTGCCACAACCACTGAAGCTGCCACAACCACCGTAGCTCCTACTACCACTGAGGCCTCAACAACCACTGAAGCTGCCACAACCACTGTGGAAGCTGCCACAACAACTGTAGCTCATACTACCGCTGAGGCCCCAACAACAAATGAAGCTGCCACAAGTACTGTAGGTCCTACTCCCACTGATGCCCAAACAACTGAAGCTGCCACAACCACCGTAGTTCCTACTAATACTGAGGTCCCAACAACCACTGAAGCTACCACAACCACTGTAGCTCTTTCGACTACTGAAGCCACAACAACCACTAAAGCTGCCACAACTACTATAGCTCTTAATACCACTGAGGCCCCAACAACCACTGGAACTGCCACAACCACTGTAGGTCCTACTACCACTGAAACCCCAACAACCACTGAAGCTGCCACAACCACTTTAGCTCATACTACCACTGAAGCCCCAACAACCACTAAAGCTGCCACAACTACTGTAGCATTTACTACTACTAAGGCCCCAACAACCACTGAAGCTGCCACAACTACTATAGCTCCTACTACCACTGAGGCCCTAACAACCACTGACGCTGCCATAACCACTGTATCTCTTACCACCACTGAGGCCCAAACAACCACTGAATCTGCCACAACCACTGAAGCTGCAACAACTACTATACCTCCTACTACCACTGAGATCCCAATAACCACTGAAGCTACCATAACCACTGTAGCTCTTATTACCACTGAGGCCCCAACAACCACTGAAGCTGCCACAACCACTATAGCTCTTACTACCACTGAGGCCCAAATAACCACTGAAGCTGCCACAACTACTGTAGCTCCTACTACCACTGAGGCCACAACAACCACTGAAGCTGCCACAACTACTGTAGCTCCTACTACCACTGAAGCCCACACAACCACTGAAGTTGCCACAACTACTATAGCTCTTACTACCACTGAGGCCCCAACAACTACTGAAGCTGCAACAACTACTGTAGCTCCTACTACCACTGAAACCCACACAACCACTAACGTTGCCACAACTACTATAGCTCTTAACACCACTGAGGCGCCAATAACCACTGAAACTGCCACAACCACTATAGCTCCAACTACTAATGAGGCCCTAACAACCACTGTAGCTCTTGCCACCACTGAAGCCCCAACAACCACTGAAGCTGCCACAACTACTTTAGCTCTTTCTACCACTGAGGCCCAAACAACCACTGAAGCTGCCAGAACCACTGAAGCTGTCACAGCCACTGTAGCTTCTAAAACCACTGAAGCTGCCACAAGTACTGTAGTTCTTTCCACCACTGAGGCCCCAACAACCACTGTAACTACTAAAACCGCTGTAAGTCCTATTACAACTGAGGCCCCAACAACTACTGAGGCTTCAACAAATACTGAAGCTGCCAGAACCACTGTAGCTCCTACTACCACTGAGGCCCCAACAACCACTGAAGCTGCCACAACTACTGTAGCTCTTACCACCACTGAGGCCCTAACAACCACTAAAGCTGCAACAACCAGTGTAGCTCCTACTACCACTGAGGCCCCAACAACCACTGAAGCTGCTACAACCACTGTAGCTCCTACTACAACTGAGGCCCCAACAACTAATGAAGCTGCCACAACCACTGTAGCTCCTACTACAACTGAGGCCCCAACAACTACTGAGGCCACAACAACCACTGAAGCTGCCACAACTGCTGTAGCTCCTACTACCACTGAGGCCCCAACAACCACTGAAGCTGCCACAACTACCGTAGCTCCTACTACCACTGAGGCCCCAACAACCACTGAAGCTGCCACAACTACTGTAGCTCTTAGTACCACTGAGGCCCCAAGAGCCACTCCAGCTGCCACAACTACTGGAGCTTTTATCACTACTAAGGCCCCAATAACCACTGAAGCTGCCACAACCACTGTAGCTCTTATTACTACTAAGGCCCCAACAACCACTGAAGCTGCCACAAGTACTATAGCTCCTACTACCACTGAGGTCCCAACAACCACTGAAGCTGCTACAACTACTGTAGCTCCTACTACCACTGAGGCCCCGAGAACCACTGAAGCTGCCACAACCACTGCAGCTCTTATTACCACTGTGGCCCCAACAACCACTGAAGCTGCCACAACTGCTGTAGCTTTTACTACCACAAAGGCCCCAATATCCACTGAATCTGCCACAACCACTGCAGCTCTTACCACCACTGAGGCCCCAAGAACCAGAACCACAGAAGCTTCCACAAATACTGTAGCTACTACTACCACTGAAGCTGCAACAACCACTGTAGCTCTTACTACCACTAAGGCCCTAACAACCACTGAAACTGCCATTCTAGTTCTTACTACCACTGAGGCTCCACCAACCACTACTATTACTGAAGCCCCAAAAACTACAGAAGCTGCCACAACCACTTTAGCGCCTACTACCACTGAGTCCCTAACAACAAATGAAGCTGCCTCAACCAGTGTAGCTCCTACTACTGAGGCCACAACGACCACTGAAGCTCCCACATCTACTGTAGCTCTTACCACCACCAAGGCCCCAACACCCACTGAAATTGCCACAACCACTTTGGCTCCTACTACCACTGAGGCCTCAACAACCACTGAAACTATCACAACCACTGAAACTATCACAACCACTGTAGCTCCTATTACCACTGAGACCCTAACAACCACTGAAAGTATCACAACCACTGAAACTATCACAACCACTGTAGCTCCTATTACCACTGAGACCCCAATAACCACTGAAACTGCCACAACCACTGTAGCTCCTACTACCACTGAGACCCCAACAACCACTGAAACTATCACAATCACTGTAGCTCCTACTACCACTGAGACCCCAACAACCACTGAAACTATCACAACCACTGTAGATCTTACCACCACTGAGGCCCCAAGAACCACTGAAACATCCACAACCACTTTAGCTCCTACTACCACTGAAGCCCTAAGAACCACTGAAACTGCCACAACAACTGTAGCTCCTACTACCACTGAGACCCCAAGAACCACTGAAACTATCACAACCACTGTAGATCTCACCACCACTGAGACCCCAAGAACCACTGAAACTATCACAACCACTTTAGCTCCTACTACCACTGAAGCCCCAACAACCACTGAAACTATCACAACCACTGTAGATCTCACCACCACTGAGACCCCAAGAACCACTGAAACTGCCACAACCACTTTAGCTCCTACTACCACTGAAGCCCCAACAACCACTGAAACTGCCACAACAACTGTAGCTCCTACTACCACTGAGACCCCAAGAACCACTGAAACTATCACAACCACTTTAGCTCCTACCACCACTGAAGCCCCAACAACCACTGAAGCCCCAACAACCACTGAAACTGCCATAACTATTGCACTTTCTTCTACCACTGTGGTCCCAACAACCACTGAAACTGCCACAACCACTGTAGCTCCAATCACCACTGAAGCCCCAACAACCACTCAAGCTACCACAACCCCTCTACCTCCTACTACCACTGAAGTCCCAACAACCACTGAAGGTGCCACAATCACTTTAGCTCCTAATATCACTGAGGGACTAACAACCACTGTAGCTGCAACAATCACTGTAGCTCTTACTACAACTGACACCCCAACAACCAGTGAAGCTGCCACAACTATTATAGGTCCTACCACCACTGAGGCACCAACAACCAAAGAAGCTGCTACAACTCTTGTAGCTCCTAATACCACCGAGGCACCAATAACCACTACAGAAGCCTTGGCAATGACTGAACGCCTTACAAGTACAGTAGCTTCCACTTCCATTGAAGCACTATCAACGGTAGAATCTACTAGTACTGGTAAGTATGAGGATTGTTTTAAAGAATACACGAAATGCACCCTTTATTACATTTATTTGGATATGGTAACATCTGTTGTTTTTAGGGTGAGTAAAATAACTAATGAAGCACAGTCCTCTGATGTATTAAAAGGGAAAAAAGATCATGAGTCAGTGTATACTTTAGTTATCATGCAGAGCAACTGCAGGAGAAAACCAAGGAATGTTTTCACTTTTATATGAGGACATACTGGTATTTCATTTATGTACGTAAGCACCTGATGTATACACTGTAGTGCTAAATCTTTTATCAATTTACCTCAATTATAAATTTCTCCCCAGCTGCAAAACACTGTTCTTAGATAACCTGAATATTTGGAGTACTGGAATATCTTTTGGAGTGTAAAGCCTTTTCGGTCCATGTCCACAACACATGCATGATCAGGAAATAAATAACTGTAAAAGTAATATAGATGATGAAATATGAAAATAGCATTTAAGTTCAGAAAAAAAAAAATACATTCACTACATCAACTCCAATCACTACAGCCTTAACAAAAATTCCTTCCACTTCCCCATTCACTTTAGTCTCTAGTACAACTGAAGCACTTGAAACCACTACAGTTTCAATAACTATTCCACTCTACACAACCGCTGAAGCCAGAACATCTTTAGCCACCACTACCAATAAGGCCCCAACAACCTCTAGAACAGTGAGAACCACCTCAATCCCTACTAAAACTTTGGCCCCAACTACTGAGACAAAGACAACAACCACTTCCTCCCCACTTACTACCAAAGCCCTAACACCCACTTTAAGTTCTACAACCATTGATGCCCCAACAACAACTATCACTTCTACTACCATTGATGTTGTAACAATTGCTATCACATCTACTACCATTCAAAACCCAAGAACCACTGTATTTTCCTCAAACAACTATTGCTCCTACAACCACTGAGGCCACAACAACCACTGAAGCTGCCACAACCTATTTAGCTCCTACTACCACTGAGGTCCCAACAACAATTGAACCTGCCACAACCACTGTAGCTCCCACTACTACTACTGCCCCAACAATCACTAAAGCTGCAACAACCTCTGTAGCTTCTACTTCCACTGAGGCCCCAACAACCACTGTAGCCCCTACTACCAATGAGGAATCAACAACTGAAGCTGCCACAACCACCATAGCTCTTACTTCCACTAAGTTCCCAACCTCTGAAGCTGCAACAACCACTGTTGCTCTTACAACCACAGAAGAAGCCACAACCAATTTAGCTCCTACTACCACTGAGATCCCAACAACTAAAGCAGCAACCACTGAGGCCCCAACAACCATTAAAGCTGTCACAAACACTTTAGCTCCAGTTACCACTGAACAACCACAACTGAGGCCCCAACAACCACTGAAGCTGCCACAACTACTGTAGCTCCTACTACCATTGAAGCCAACACCACTGAAACTGCCACAGGAACTGTTGCTTCTACAACCACTGAGGCCCTAACAACCACTGAAGCTGCCTCAGCCACTGTTGCTTCTACAACCACTGAGGTCCCAATAACAACCACTATAGCTCCAACTACAACTAAAGCTGTAACTACCACTGAGGCCCCAACAACCACAAAAGTTGTCACAACCAATTTAACTCAACTGAGGTTCCAACAACCACTGAAGCTGCAACCACTGTTGCTTCTACTACCACTGCAGCTGCAACCACTGTATCTTCTACTACCACTGGGGCACCAACAACCACTAAAGCTGCCACAACCAATTTAGCTTCTACTGCCACTGAGGTCCCAACAACCACTGAAGTTGCAACAACCACTGTAGCTCTTACTACCATTGAAGCCCCAACAACCACTGTAGCTCCTACTTTTATTGAAACCTTAACAACCACTATAGCTCCTATTACCACTGAGGCCCCATCAACCACTGTAGCTTTTACTTCCACTGATAACCCAACAACCACTGAAGCTGCACAACCACAACCAATTTAGCTCCTACTGCTACTGAGGACACAACAACCACTGAAGCTGCAACAACCACTGTAGCTCTTACTTCCACTGAGTTCCCAACAAGTGAAGCTGCCACAACCACTGTTTCTCCTACTGCTGCTGAGGCTCCAACAACCACTGAAGCTGCCACAAAAAAAAATAGCTCCTGCTACCATTGAGGTCCCAATAACCACTGAAGCAGCAACAATCATTATAGCTCCTACTACCTTTAGGGCATCAATGACCACTGTAGCTCTTACTACTGCCATCTCAATAACTGAAGCAGCTACAATTACTGTAGCTCCTACCACTCAGGCACCAACAACCGCTGAAGATGTAACAACCACTGTAATTACAACCACTGAAGCCCCAACAGCAACTGAAGCTGCTACAATCACTGTAGCTCCTACAACCACTGAGGACACAACAACCACTGAAGCTGCAACAACCAGTGTAGCTCATCCTACAACTCAAACATCAACAACCACTGAAGCTACCATAACCACTGCAACTCTTACTTCCACTGAGGCCCCAACCACTGAAGCTGCCACAACCAATTTGATTCTTACTAACACTGAGGTCCCAAGAACCACTGAAACTGCCACAACCACTGTAGCTCTTACTACCACTGAAGCACCAACAACCACTGAAGCTGCCACAACCACTGTTGCTCTTAGTTCGACTGAGACCCAAACAACTGAAGCTGCCCCAACCAATTTTGCTTCTACTACCATGCAGGCCCCAACGACCACTTATGTTGCCACAACTAATTTAGCTCCTATTACCACTGAGGACCCAACAACCACTCTAGTTCCTACTACCACTGAAACCCCAACAACCACTGAAGCTACAACAACCATTTTAATTCCTACTACCACTGAAGCCCAAACAACCACTATAACTCCTACTACCTTTGAGGCACCAACGACAACCTTAGCTCTTACTACTGACGTCTCAGCAACTGAAGCTGCTACAACTACTGTAGATTTTACTACAACTGAGGCACCAAGAACTGAAGGTGTCACAACCACTGTAGTTCCTATTACCACTGAGGCCCCAACAACCACTGAAGCTGCAACAACCACTGTAGCTCCTAGCACCGCTGAGGCCCCAACAACCACTGAAGCTGCCACAACTAATTTAATTCTTACTACCACTGAGGTCCCAACAACCACTAAAGCTGCAACAAAAGCTGTTGCTTCAACTTCCAATGAGGCCCCAATAACAGAAACTGCCACAACCAATTTCGCCCCGATAACCACAGAAGTTACAACTACTTTAGCTCCTACTACCACTGAGGCTCCAACAATCGCTGAAACTGCAACAACCACTGTAGCTCCTACTACCACTGAGGCCCCAACAACCACTGATGCTGCCACAACCACTGTAGCTCCTACTACCACTGAAGCCCCAACAACCGATGAAGCTGCTGCAAACACTATAGCTCCTCCTCCTACAAAGGCCCCTACAACCATTAAAGCTGCAACAACCACTGTAGCTCTTATTACCGCTGAGGTCCCAACAACAACTGAATCTACCACTAAGGCCCTAACAACCACTCTAGCTGCAATAATTACTGAGTCCAAAACTACCGCTGAGGTTAAAACAACCACTGTAGCTTCTACTACCATTGACACCTCAACAACCACTCTAGCTGCCATAACAAATTTAACTCCTACTATCACTGAGGCCCCAACAGCCACTGTAGCTCCTTTTACCACTGAGGAACCAACAACGACTGAAGCTGCAACAACCATTTTTGCTTTTACTTCCACTGAGTTTTCAAAAACTGTAGCTATCATAACCAATTTAGCTTCTACTACCACCATCAACGTCTGCTCAGTTTTCTACAACTTCTGAAAGGCCAATTATATATCAATATATATATTGCAGATCTTGTCTCTGAAAAAATTTCAAAATTATCATTTATTTTCTTTAAAGATAGTATTTTTATCCAACAAATAAAAAGTACTATAAGTAAACCATGATAATGGTGGTTATAGCTCCTGCGGCCACCACTAGTGATCCAGCCACCACTACTGGGATCAGCTTTCACTGCAGAACCAATAAAAATCCAACCTCAGCTTTAACACTAGCACCTGCATCTACTTCTGTTTTCAGTAACATACCACCTGGCACCTGGCAGACTTCTACAGCTACTCCAACCTTCACTGAAGTGAATTTATACAAAAACTAAATCCCTATTCTGGAGATCACAAACATTCAATTACCCCTTTCTTCCCTAGTTTCTCTACTACTGTTTTGTTTTCTACTCCAGCTTCCACATTTGCCAACGCAAGCTCTACAAGTTTCATTACTTCTACAACGCTGGCAGCCTTTAGTACAACCACGCAATTTTCTACAGGTATTTAAGTTTGTTACTAAAGCATAATGGAATTATAATATATATATGTATATATATATAAGATTTTGATTGAGGTACCTTGGTTTTATAATTTAATGCATTAGGTATTCATGTAGGACTCATATACATGGTTCCTGAGTGCCAGAAGTACTTTGAAATGTTTTGATATCTGAAGATTTTTTGGTGTAGGATCATTCCCAGAAAATTACAAGAAGAAACAGGTATGTCTCTAAGAAATTACTTTGACAATCAGATCTTACAATGCAACATCTGCCTCGTCAGCCTCCAATGCAGCTTTTGTCTCCGGTACCACAATGGCCCTGTAATTTAGCATACTCAAGTAGTAAATTATCTGCCGTCTTGGTGTTCACAACAGTGAGCCCCCCCAACATACTCATATCGCCCATCGAAACCATTCTCCCATCCATACTTACCCCAGTCTCTGGTGTAATTTGATTTGGTAAACCCTTTTCAAATGGTTTGTATGCAGTAAAGTAGCCAGTACTAAACGTTTCCTTTTAGTACTTCAATTTCAGAACAAACTTCTCTACAGTGTCAAATGTCTCATTAATAATGTGACTAATTCATACTTTTTTTTATTCCAAGAATCAGTGTCAAGCATCTCACCAATAAAGTGAATAATTCATACTCAATAATAAGACTGAGAACATATTTTTGATTTCCTTTAAAATCTGGGAGGGACTTTAATTCATAGATGCAAATGGGGCATGAGGGGAAGACAAATTCCTAGGAAGCATGGTACTAGAAAGTTCAAGAACCACTGGTCTGTTTCGTTGAAAACAGTGAAACTTTTCATGTGTCAAATCCTTAGTTCCACTCTTGCGTTTTCAGACTGTGTCTTTGATGGAGTCATGTACGAAGAAGGATATCTAATCCCTGATCAGTGTTACGATATTGTTTGCTCAGGAGGACAATGGAAAGAAAAAGGATTAAACAGGGAGAGCTGTAAGCACATATATGTTTTATAAGTTTGTATGCAGAGAAATGCACATAAAACAATATTCAGATAGCTCTCATTTGAAAAGCTGCCCACCGTTAGTAATCGCTTATTTCGATTTCCCAGGTAGCATGTGTGCAATATTCATGGATCCTCACATTCAAACATTCGATAATGAGTTGCTTACATTGACCACAAAGTGTAACTACTCCCTTGTGCAACCCGGTTTTAGTTACTCTCCGGACTTTGCTGTTTATACGCAGTTTGAGTAAGTTCTAAGTTTTCATGTGTAATCATACAATTATAAGTCTACAAAAATAATTGGTACACCAGTGGCATGAAATGCTGATTCTGATTTTCTCAAAATTTCTTTGAATTCTAGAACTTGCTTTAATATCGGGTCTTGCGTAGGCCACATAACATATGTGGACAATGCCAACACCGTTATATCACGCGATATTGCTGGCTGGACAGACGATGAGACGGTAAATGACTGTTCTACATTATAATATCACTAGTACATTTTTGTGCCTATAAGCTTGAAATAGTGACCTACCAATTTCATGTATAAGTGTGTGTGCGTGTGTTGTACACCGATATACTTTGCTGATCGTAATCTATATCTCGTCCAGCTTAACGTGAACGGCGAGGACTACTCTCTCCTGAACTACCCGACCCCCGTGACATCAGGCAGCACCCCGCACCCTGTCCTGGCATGGAGCAAGGGCAACAGCATTCGCCTTGTCGGTTCCAGCAAAGTTGCAGTAAGTCGAAGGTCTTATTTTTTCAGGTTATTCTGCTGCTTGGAGAGCTTGCACTAATTAGGCTGTATAAAACATATAACACATTTCGAAGAGCATCTTAAAAATAGAAGATAGTTATTTTTCCCGTGTGCATCGCGAACATCTGACGACAGACTAAAGCCATTTATCTTGCAATGCAATGTGACTACAGATGCAGATATACAAGACCGTGACGTTTGTATTCATCCACGAGAGTGTAACAAACCTCCACGGCCTCTGCGGCACAGAAGACAGCTCCTCTGACTATGTTGATCGTTTAAATGCAACTTCCACACCTGACGCGTTCTACGATTCTTGGAAGGTAAGGTGCACCTAACTTTTTGGAGAGTGAGTGTGTGTGTGAGAAAGTGAATAAGTGTGTGTGTGATTGTTAGTGGGTGAGACAGAAAGTACGAAAGAGAGTGAGTGGGATAGGGAGAAAGTGAGAAAGAGGGTGAGTGATAAAATTAGAAAGAAAATGAGAGTGAGATTTTTTTTGTTTTGTTTTTAAAGTTTAGTTTGATTCCATTTGTTACAATGGATATTCTTGGTGTGACATACTGTCCGTTTCATTTTGCTTCTAAGTTATCCCCTGTGTGCAAGGAATGGCCGGGGTTACCATCCACTGGCTGCGAGGAATTTGAACGTTGGTCAGCAAGATTGCTAGACGAGATCGCTACCACTGCACCACACAGCACACAGAGAGAAAGAAAGAGAGAGAAAGAGAGAGAGAGATTTCAATACACTAAAAGAGAATTTTTCAATTGATATTTCCAAATCTTCCTTGAGGTGGACTGCTTCGACGTTTCCAGTGGATGAATTTGAATGTTTTTTTTTTCTTTCCTTCTTTCTGATATTCACTATTATTTCATATATCATTTACCTTTGTGTACTGATTCAGCAATACACATGCAATCTCTAAAATAAGGTCAAATGTTTTTTGTAAACAGCCAACTTACTTATTCATTTTACAGAAATCTTTCTTTTCCTGGATCATGATTTAGTGTGTAATGTATACATAATTGTTGTATTCATCTTCATACAGACACAAACACAACAGACTTCGTGCAATTCTCGTCGAAAGAAGAGGGCAACTACAGCGGTAAGTAAAAGCATGATGTGAGTGTGGTAGAGAGAGAGAGAGAGAGAGAGAGAGAGAGAGAGAGAGAGAGAGAAGAGAGAGAGAGAGAGAGAGAGAGAGAGAGAGAGAGAGAGAGAGAGAGAGAGAGAGCAACCTTAACTTTAAGTTTTGGCTATATAGTTTGCATATGAGAGAGGGAAAGAGAAAGATACAGAGTAAGGGGCAAAGGGAATGAGGGAAAGGGTAAAAGAGACTCAGAGACAGATGCAGATCTCTCTCGAACTTTCTTGTGATTTTTTTTCGATCAACGTCTTGTAGATAGGATTTTCTCCTGACAAATAATTATGTAAGTCACGTGCTATTTCCTCATCACTTATAGCCAGAAAAATAATGGTAATAGAATCTAATAAAATTAAAAGTCTACAAAATTGGCAGTTTTGTTAACAGTCGGCAATTGGCGCGCCATCAACTGACCACCGGAACTCGTGATCGCCACAAAGCTCTGTAGAATTTTGTTATCTAAGATAGATGAACCATGACCAAGATGTATAAGGGTTACTACTTGTTATATTATATTAGTATCTGTAAATTAGGAGACATGAAAAGTATTCGTTAAAGTTTATCGACAGACACGACTACACTGAAGTCGCTTTCATCAATATTGTTATTGCAATTGTTAGACATGCCATGATTTTGACACAACGTACTGAAAGGTTAGGACAGGCTTCGTGTGTAAGCACATACATTATCAGTAACTTAATACGATCATAAATTACATGAGTGCTTCATCATGTCATCTACAGGACATTTATATAAAGCTTATGAAAGGGCGCATTTTTGAGAACTTGTGTTTATTCTAGATTTATATGTAATAGTGCATTAAACGCATTTGTTTCGTGATCATAGAAACCGTTGCAAGAGAAGCGTAATGCTTTTGTCCAAAACGTGCAATTCATACGTGATTATGTTTTATTGGTCATTATTTCACTTTATAACACCTGGCGCAGTCCATATGTGTTGGATGTTATGTCGCTGAAAAAAAGGATCTTTACATTCTGACTTAACAATGTAACGATATGATACGGCGGTTGGAAAAAGTGCTGTAAGCTCGACCTGATACTGGCAGGGGCAGTATTTGGGGGCGGGGGTGCAGGGAGGCAGCTGTTCCCCAACAACAGCCACAATTTATAACGTTTACTAATTTCATCTATATATACCCTTAGAATTTTTTCTTTTTTTTTCTTTTTTCACTTAGCTCAGCTACATTAGAAAATATATGGTTTTGATATGTATAATATTATTATTTCGTGTTACCGCCACCCGCTGGCAAGTCTGCGTGGCATGGATGCCACTAACGCCATCATTAACTGGCGTCCGTTTGCAGAGCGCAATCACTTCTATTCCGTAGTTGCTTGGGCAACGACGATATGAAGATTGCGGGTATGATCTTGGGGGAAGTCAATAAGACTGAGATTTGACGATTTGGGTGGATATGGCATAGCGTGATATCGGGGTGTTGCCGAAATCACGCCTTCACGACATTGTTCGTGTGGATAAGGCTGTTATGATGGACCAGGTAAAATAACCCTAGCTCGGGGAACACTGGCCCTCGCTGATAGTAGAAACATCTGTCCAGGGTTTCCACGCAGATCTGCAAATCTGCCGGGCCCGACATCCGTCAACGCCACTCAAACTGCCTAGCAATTTCTGACAGTCTGAGTGCTGCTGTCAGTAGAGCAAAAGGGGTTTGCACTCCTTGTAATAGTTTTGGGTTGTTAAAAAAATAATAATCATGAAAATAAATAATTAAGAAGAAAAGGACTCACGGTAAGGGAACGTGGCACTATCGGCCACGCCACGTTTTTAAATTGGATGTAATGGTTTTCATTAGCTCATGATATCCATGCTTCCTATTTGCCTTACATATAGCACACTGATTTACAGTTTTGAATGACATTTACTTGATCATGTTCCTCCATCGTGTATCTAGGGCACCCACTTCTGGCCTTGTTTCTGGCAGATTCAGTTGCTTGGTGTCGCTGGATGCACAGAGACGCGGTTGACTTCGAAATTACTAATCTTGATATTTCGTCTCTTGATCGTCCCTTAGAGTAAGGCGTAACTATATAAATGGTCTGTGAGGTCTCGCATTAGCATGATACGAGACCCAAGCCATATCAACTCCAAAACACTATTCGAACACATTATGAAGCTTCATCTGTTCCCATATTTGAAAACAACAAGTACCAACTTCCCGGAATCAATTCCTAGCAATCGCTTCGGGTTCATCTACTCCCGAGTAAAGATACTTTTTTTTAGCAAGCGTACATATTCATACCCCTGGTGTGCAGAAGGATTCTACTTATACTTACTAAAATGCACCACTATTACTGCATAAGAAAAAATCTTTGTCTATCATTACCCAGTTCAGACGTAAACAAATGTAAATTGTTTGACAGGATAACGAGTGTACAGTCGACGCCAGCAAAAGGGAGGAATTTAACAGCAGCTGCACCACTGTCGTCCTTTCCACAACGCATCTAAACTATTCAGTCCCTGAAGTGTCCTCCGAGAATCTGATTAGTAAGTTCGTGGGACGATTGATCTCATGAGTGCTCTTAATACTGATGTTGCTATTGTTCCTAAGGTCTCAAACATTACTGACAGTGTTACTATTGCATTATTTTAATTATGATTATTATAATGGTAGTGGCAATACTATTGGTAATTGGTTATCATGGTAATATTCAAAATATTGTAATTACTGGTTCCATAATTCGTCATTACCACGGTTTTAGAATTTGTACTATTCAGCAATACAGTCTTGTAATCTTTATCAAAATCATTATCATCTTTGTTTTCCTTAATTATTTGTTTTAGAACTGTCATGCACCTGGCCTAAGCATAATATTAACAATCTCTCATTTTCAAGATGCCTGTGTGTTCGATCTGTGCATGGTGTACATGAACACGAGCGATAATCAAGCTGTTCTAGATTATTTGTACGCCGATGTTGTTGACACAGTGCAAGCCTTCATCTTAACGAGTAAGTCATTCATACTGTTGCAAAGTTAGTGAATTTGGTGAATAGATTTTGTCCTGTCATAATTTTAACGCGTCAACATTTGATTAAGTAAACACTGAAAATGAAACGCCCATTTCAGCTATAAATGTCACTACATCATCGACTGCCTCACCCACAACCACCTTAGAATCTACAAGTGCGCCCACGACCTCAGGTTCGTATTTTTCACAAAATATAATTTTCATTATTTTCTCAAACACACACATATATATATGCATATGTGTGTATTTATATACATATAACTATTTATACATGTAGCTACACACGCACACACATTTACAAACACACACATATATATAAACACACACACATATATATACTACAACAGCAGGTATAATTACGCCCGCAGTCCCATCAGCAACTACAGAAGTAGTTACTACTACATCCCAAGCTTCACCAGCAAATAAGAAAGTAGATGCTTCTGTATTGTCTTCTCCACCAACAGTTACAGAAACAGTTATCCTGATAACAACGGTTAGTTTTTCCCCAACCAATAGAACGTCCTCATCAATAAGCATTACTTTTCCAAGACACCCGCATACCTTTCAACAACTACAGAGGCAATGTACACTGTAGCCCCACCTCTCTCAAGTACAGCCTCAAGTATCATTGCATCCTCATTCCTATCAGCAGTACATCACCAATGACCAAATACTCAGTCCCATCAAGATGCAGTACAATTTAAGTAACATAATTAAATGCTGAAGCAGCTGCATTTGAAAGCCAACTAAAAATATAAAGGCAGCTGCCAGTACATTTTCAGTTCCATCAACAACTGCAGAGATAGCAACCACTTCAACACCAGTCCCATTATCAAGGACAGAGGTAGCTACCACAGCAACTAAAGCTACTAAAAAGCTACTACTGCTTCCCCAATCACATTATCAAGTACAGAGATATATCAGTACATCTTCAGTTCAATGTCCTATCAACAACTACTACTTCAGCTACCTTTATATCCCCAGTTCTACATACACCTTCATAAGTAGCTAATACTACACTCCAAGCTTCATTGACAACTACAGAAGCTGGTGCTACTACTAATGTTTCAGGTACATCAGTTACTGAAGCAAGTTGAACTTCAGTTTCTAGAATTACTATTTCAATTACCAAAAACAGCAATTCCTAAAACAAATACTATTTCAGGAAACACAACTTCAGTTCCTGAAACAAATATTGTTTCACTTACCACAATTCCTGAACTATTTTAGTATTAATTCAATTACTGAAACACGTATCACACCACTTTAATTGTATTTTCTGAAAAAAATATAACACATATTCCCACATATTAACACGACAATTCTACTCTCCCATTTACAGTAATGTCACAAAATGACAATTACGTTAGTTGGAATAACTACTATTTCAGGTAAAACAAGTACTATTTCAGCAACTCCTTTCAGCAGTGACCACAACTTCCTGAGACAAGTACTATTTCAGTTAGGTTAGGTCCTAAAAAAAGTTGTTTTAGGACATCCTTTACCGTAATTGCAGTTTCTGAACCAAGTTCAACTACCCTTACCACACCTTCACTTCCTGAAACTAGTACTATTTCAGTTACAACTTCAAGTCAAAGAAAATCTATTTAATTTGCCACAATAACACCAGTTCATGAAACAAACATTTCTTCAGTTACTATGACTCTACTTCTTAAAATGAGTACTGCTACAGTTACTATAACTCCAATTACTGTTTCAGATACTACGACCACTGAAGATGTCATAACAACCACTGAAGCTGCAACAACTACTGTAGCTCATACTACCCCTGAGGCCCCAACAACCACTGAAGCTGCCACAACTACTGTACCTGCTACTACCGCTGAGGCCCCAACAACCACTAAAGCTGCCACAACTACTGTAGCTCCTACTACCACTGAGGCCCCAACAACCACTAAAGCTGCCACAACTACTGTAGCTCCTACTACCACTGAGGCCCCAACAACCACTGAAGCTGCAACAACTACTGTAGCTCCTACTACCACTGAGGCCCCAACAACCACTGAAGCTGCCACAACTACTGTACCTGCTACTACCACTGAGGCCCCAACAACCACTAAAGCTGCCACGACTACTGTAGCTCCTACTACCACTGAGGCCCCAACAACCACTGAAGCTGCCACAACTACTGTAGCTCCTACTACCACTGAGGCCCCAACAACCACTGAAGCTGCCACAACTACTGTAGCTCCTACTACCACTGAGGCCCCAACAACCACTGAAGCTGCCACAACTACTGTAGCTCCTACTACCAGTGAGGCCCCAACAACCACTGAAGCTGCCACAACTACTGTAGCTCCTACTACCAGTGAGGCCCCAACAACCACAGAAACTGCCACAGCCACTGTAGCTCCTACTACCACTGAGGCCCCAACAACCACTGAAGCTGCCACAACTACTGTAGCTCCTACTACCACTGAGGCCCCAACAGCCACTGAAGCTGCAACAACTACTGTAGCTCCTACTACCACTGATGCCCCAACAACCACTGAAACTGCAACGACTATAGCTTCTACTACCACTGAGGCCCCAACAACCACTGAATCTGCCACAACTACTGTAGCTCCTACTACCACTGAGGCCCCAACAACCACTGAAGCTGCAACAACTACTGTAGCTCCTACTACCACTGAGGCTCCAACAACCACTGAAGCTGCAACAACTACTGTAGCTCCTACTACCACTGAGGCCCCAACAACTACTGAAGATGCCACAACTACTATAGCTCTTACTACCACTGAGGCCCCAACAACCACTGAAGCTGCCACAACCACTAGAGCTCCTACTACCACTAAGGCCCAAAAAACTACTGAAGTTGCCACAACTACTGTACTTCCTACTACCACTGAGGCCCCAACAACCACTGAAGCTCTCACAACTACTCTAGCTCCTACTACCAGTGAGGCCCCAACAACCACTGAAGCTGCCACAACTACTATAGCTCCCACTACCACTAAGGCCCCAACAACCACTGAAGCTGCAACAACTACTATAGCTCCTACTACCACCGAAGATGCCACAACTACCATAGCCCTTACTACTACTGAGGCCCCAACAACCACTGTAGCTCCTACTACCACTGAGGCCCCAACAACCACTGAAGCTGCAACAACTACTGTAGCTCCTACTACCACTGAGGCCCCAACAACCACTGAAACTGCAACGACTATAGCTTCTACTACCACTGAGGCCCCAACAATCACTGAAGCTGCCACAACTACTGTAGCTCCTACTATCACTGAGGCCCCAACAACCACTGAAACTGCCACAACTACTGTAGCTCCTACTACCACTGAGGCCCCAACAACCATTGAAGCTGCCACAACTACTGTAGCTCCTACTACCACTGAGGCCCCAACAACTACTGAAGCTGCCACAACTACTATAGCTCTTACAACCACTGAGGCCCCAACAACCACCGAAGCTGCAACAACTACTATAGCTCCCACTACCACTGAGGGCCCAACAACCACTGAAGCTGCAATAACTACTGTAGCTCCTACTACCACTGAGGCCCCAACAACCACTGAAGCTGTCACAACTACTGTAGCTCCTACTACCACTGAGGCCCCAACAACTACTGAAGCTGCCACAACTACTATAGCTCTTACTACCACTGAGGCCCCAACAACCACTGAAGCTGCCACAACCACTAGAGCTCCTACTACCACTAAGGCCCAAAAAACTACTGAAGCTGCCACAACTACTGTACCTCCTACTACCACTGAGGCCCCAACAACCACTGAAGCTGCAACAACTACTATAGCTCCCACTACCACTGAGGCCCCAACAACCACTGAAGCTGCAACAACTACTGTACCTCCTACTACCACTGAGGCCCCAACAACCACTGAAGCTGCCACAACTACTATAGCTCCTACTACCACTGAATTTGCCACAACTACCATAGCCCTTACTACTACTGAGGCCCCAACAACCACTGAAGCTCCTACTACTACTGAGACCCCAACAACCACTGAAGCTGCAACAACCACTGTAGCTCCTACTACCACTGAGGCCCCAACAACCACTGAAGCTGCCACAACTACTGTAGCTCCTACCGTCACTGAAGCTCCCACAACTACTACAGGTCCTACTACCACTGAAGTTGCCACAACCATTGGAGCTCCAACTACCACTAAGGCCCCAACAACAACTGAAGCTGCCACAACTGCTCTAGCTCCTACTACCACTGAGGCCCCAACAACCACAGAAACTGCCACAGCCACTGTAGCTCCTACTACCACAGAGGCCCCAACAGCCACTGAAGCTGCCACAACTACTGTAGCTCCTACTACCACTGAGGCCCCAACAACCACTGAAGCTGCCACAACTACTGTAGCTCCTACTACCACTGAGGCCCCAACAACCACTGAAGCTGCAACAACTACTGTAGCTCCTACTACCACTGAGGCTCCAACAACCACTGAAGCTGCAACAACTACTGTAGCTCCTACTACCACTGAGGCCCCAACAACTACTGAAGATGCCACAACTACTATAGCTCTTACTACCACTGAGGCCCCAACAACCACTGAAGCTGCCACAACCACTAGAGCTTCTACTACCACTAAGGCCCAAAAAACTACTGAAGATGCCACAACTACTGTACCTCCTACTACCACTGAGGCCCCAACAACCACTGAAGCTGTCACAACTACTCTAGCTCCTACTACCAGTGAGGCCCCAACAACCACTGAAGCTGCCACAACTACTATAGCTCCCACTACCACTGAGGCCCTAACAACCACTGAAGCTGCAACAACTGCTATAGCTCCTACTACCACCGAAGATGCCACAACTACCATAGCCCTTACTACTACTGAGGCCCCAACAACCACTGTAGCTCCTACTACCACTGAGGCCCCAACAACCACTGAAGCTGCCACAACTACTGTAGCTCCTACTACCACTGAGGCCCTAACAACCACTGAAACTACAACGACTATAGCTTCTACTACCACTGAGGCCCCAACAACCACTGAAGCTGCCACAACTACTGTAGCTCCTACTACCACTGAGGCCCCAACAACCACTGAAGCTGCAACAACTACTGTAGCTCCTACTACCACTGAGGCTCCAACAACCACTGAAGCTGCAACAACTACTGTAGCTCCTACTACCACTGAGGCCCCAAGAACTACTGAAGATGCCACAACTACTATAGCTCTTACTACCACTGAGGCCCCAACAACCACTGAAGCTGCCACAACCACTAGAGCTCCTACTACCACTAAGGCCCAAAAAACTACTGAAGATGCCACAACTACTGTACCTCCTACTACCACTGAGGCCCCAACAACCACTGAAGCTGTCACAACTACTCTAGCTCCTACTACCACTGAGGCCCCAACAACCACTGAAGCTGCCACAACTACTATAGCTCCCACTACCACTGAGGCCCCAACAACCACTGAAGCTGCAACAACTACTATAGCTCCTACTACCACTGAGGCCCCAACAACCACAGAAACTGCCACCGCCACTGTAGCTCCTACTACCACAGAGGCCCCAACAGCCACTGAAGCTGCCACAACTACTGTAGCTCCTACTACCACTGAGGCCCCAACAACCACTGAAGCTGCCACAACTACTGTAGCTCCTACTACCACTGAGGCCCCAACAACCACTGAAACTGCAACGACTATAGCTTCTACTGCCACTGAAGCCCCAACAACCACTGAAGCTGCCACAACTACTGTAGCTCCTACCACCACTGAGGCCACAGCAACCACTGAAGCTGCAACAACTACTGTAGCTCCTACTACCACTGAGGCCCCAACAACCACTGAAGCTCCCACAACTACTACAGGTCCTACTACCACTGAAGTTGCCACAACCATTGGAGCTCCAACTACCACTAAGGCCCCAACAACCACTGAAGCTGCCACAACTACTGTAGCTCCAACTACCACTGAGGCCCCAACAACCACTGAAGCTGCCACAACTACTGTAGCTCCTACTACCACTGAGGCCCCAACAACCACTGAAGCTGCAACAACTACTGTAGCTCCTACTACCACTGAGGCTCCAACAACCACTGAAGCTGCAACAACTACTGTAGCTCCTACTACCACTGAGGCCCCAAGAACTACTGAAGATGCCACAACTACTATAGCTCTTACTACCACTGAGGCCCCAACAACCACTGAAGCTGCCACAACCACTAGAGCTCCTACTACCACTAAGGCCCAAAAAACTACTGAAGCTCCCACAACTACTACAGGTCCTACTACCACTGAAGTTGCCACAACCATTGGAGATCCAACTACCACTAAGGCCCCAACAACCACTGAAGCTGCCACAACTACTGTAGCTCCAACTACCACTAAGGCCCCAACAACCACTGAAGTTGCCACAGCCACTGTAGCTCCTACTACCACAGAGGCCCCAACAGCCACTGAAGCTGCCACAACTACTGTATCTCCTACTACCACTGAGGCCCCAACAATCACTGAAGCTGCCACAACTACTATAGCTCCTACTACCACTGAGACCCCAACAATCACTGAAGCTGCCACAACTACTGTAGCTCCCACTACCACTAAAGACCAAACAACCACTGAAGCTGCAACGACTACTGTAGTTCTTACTACCACTGAGGCCCCAACAACCACTGAAGCTGGCACAACCACTGAAGCTGCCACTACTATTATAGCTCCTACTACCACTGAGGCCCCAACAACCACTGAAACTGCAACGACTATAGTTTCTACTACCACTGAGGCCCCAACAGCCACTGAAGCTGCCACATCTACTGTAGCTCCTACTGCCACTGAGGCCCCAACAACCACTGAAACTGCAACGACTATAGCTTCTACTACCACTGAGGCCCCAACAACCACTGAAGCTGCCACAACTACTGTAGCTCCTACTACCACTGAGGCCCCAACAACCACTGAAGCTACAACAACTACTGTAGCTCCTACTACCACTGAGGCCCCAACAACTACTGAAGCTGCCACAACTACTATAGCTCTTACTACCACTGAGGCCCCAACAACCACTGAAGCTGCAACAACTACTGTAGCTCCTACTACCACTGAGGCTCCAACAACCACTGAAGCTGCAACAACTACTGTAGCTCCTACTACCACTGAGGCCCCAACAACTACTGAAGATGCCACAACTACTATAGCTCTTACTACCACTGAGGCCCCAACAACCACTGAAGCTGCCACAACCACTAGAGCTCCTACTACCACTAAGGCCCAAAAAACTACTGAAGATGCCACAACTACTGTACCTCCTACTACCACTGAGGCCCCAACAACCACTGAAGCTGTCACAACTACTCTAGCTCCTACTACCACTGAGGCCCCAACAACCACTGAAGCTGCCACAACTACTATAGCTCCCACTACCACTGAGGCCCCAACAACCACTGAAGCTGCAACAACTACTATAGCTCCTACTACCACTGAGGCCCCAACAACCACAGAAACTGCCACAGCCACTGTAGCTCCTACTACCACAGAGGCCCCAACAGCCACTGAAGCTGCCACAACTACTGTAGCTCCTACTACCACTGAGGCCCCAACAACCACTGAAGCTGCCACAACTACTGTAGCTCCTACTACCACTGAGGCCCCAACAACCACTGAAACTGCAACGACTATAGCTTCTACTGCCACTGAAGCCCCAACAACCACTGAAGCTGCCACAACTACTGTAGCTCCTACCACCACTGAGGCCACAGCAACCACTGAAGCTGCAACAACTACTGTAGCTCCTACTACCACTGAGGCCCCAACAACCACTGAAGCTCCCACAACTACTACAGGTCCTACTACCACTGAAGTTGCCACAACCATTGGAGCTCCAACTACCACTAAGGCCCCAACAACCACTGAAGCTGCCACAACTACTGTAGCTCCTACTACCACTGAGGCCCCAACAACCACTGAAGCTGCCACAACTACTGTAGCTCCTACTACCACTGAGGCCCCAACAACCACTGAAGCTGCAACAACTACTGTAGCTCCTACTACCACTGAGGCTCCAACAACCACTGAAGCTGCAACAACTACTGTAGCTCCTACTACCACTGAGGCCCCAAGAACTACTGAAGATGCCACAACTACTATAGCTCTTACTACCACTGAGGCCCCAACAACCACTGAAGCTGCCACAACCACTAGAGCTCCTACTACCACTAAGGCCCAAAAAACTACTGAAGATGCCACAACTACTGTACCTCCTACTACCACTGAGGCCCCAACAACCACTGAAGCTGTCACAACTACTCTAGCTCCTACTACCACTGAGGCCCCAACAACCACTGAAGCTGCCACAACTACTATAGCTCCCACTACCACTGAGGCCCCAACAGCCACTGAAGCTGCAACAACTACTATAGCTCCTACTACCACTGAGGCCCCAACAACCACAGAAACTGCCACAGCCACTGTAGCTCCTACTACCACAGAGGCCCCAACAGCCACTGAAGCTGCCACAACTACTGTAGCTCCTACTACCACTGAGGCCCCAACAACCACTGAAGCTGCCACAACTACTGTAGCTCCTACTACCACTGAGGCCCCAACAACCACTGAAACTGCAACGACTATAGCTTCTACTGCCACTGAAGCCCCAACAACCACTGAAGCTGCCACAACTACTGTAGCTCCTACCACCACTGAGGCCACAGCAACCACTGAAGCTGCAACAACTACTGTAGCTCCTACTACCACTGAGGCCCCAACAACCACTGAAGCTCCCACAACTACTACAGGTCCTACTACCACTGAAGTTGCCACAACCATTGGAGCTCCAACTACCACTAAGGCCCCAACAACCACTGAAGCTGCCACAACTACTGTAGCTCCAACTACCACTAAGGCCCTAACAACCACTGAAGTTGCCACAGCCACTGTAGCTCCTACTACCACAGAGGCCCCAACACCCACTGAAGCTGCCACAACTACTGTATCTCCTACTACCACTGAGGCCCCAACAATCACTGAAGCTGCCACAACTACTATAGCTCCTACTACCACTGAGACCCCAACAATCACTGAAGCTGCCACAACTACTGTAGCTCCCACTACCACTAAAGACCAAACAACCACTGAAGCTGCAACGACTACTGTAGCTCCTACTACCACTAAGGCCCCAACAACCACTGAAGCTGCCACAACTACAATAGCTCCTACTACCATTGAGGTCCCAACAACCACAAAAGCTGCAACGACTACTGTAGTTCTTACTACCACTGAGGCCCCAACAACCACTGAAGCTGGCACAACCACTGAAGCTGCCACTACTCTTATAGCTCCTACTACCACTGAGGCCCCAACAACCACTGAAACTGCAACGACTATAGCTTCTACTACCACTGAGGCCCCAACAACCACTGAAGCTGCCACAACTACTGTAGCTCCTACTACCACTGAGGCCCCAACAACCACTGAAGCTACAACAACTACTGTAGCTCCTACTACCACTGAGGCCCCAACAACTACTGAAGCTGCCACAACTACTATAGCTCTTACTACCACTGAGGCCCCAACAACCACTGAAGCTGCCACAACCACCCTAGCTCCTACTACCACTAATGCCCCAAAAACTACTGAAGCTGCCACAACTACTGTAGCTCCTACTACCACTGAGGCCCCAACAACCACTGAAGCTGCCACAACTACTGTAGCTCCTACTACCACTGAGGCCCCAACAACCACTGAAACTGCGACGACTATAGTTTCTACTACCACTGAGGCCCCAACAGCCACTGAAGCTGCCACAACTACTGTAGCTCCTACTACCACTGAGGCCCCAACAACCACTGAAGCTGCCACAACTACTGTAGCTCCTACTACCACTGAGGCCCCAACAACCACTGAAACTGCAACGACTATAGATTCTACTACCACTGAGGCCCCAGCAACCACTGAAGCTGCCACAACTACTGTAGCTCCTACCACCACTGAGGCCACAGCAACCACTGAAGCTGCAACAACTACTGTAGCTCCTACTACCACTGAGGCCCCAACAACCACTGAAGCTGCCACAACTACTGTAGCTCGTACTACCACTGAGGCCCCAACAACCACTGAAGCTGCCACAACCACCCTAGCTCCTACTACCACTAATGCCAAAAAAACTACTGAAGCTGCCACAACTACTGTAGCTCCTACTACCACTGAGGCCCCAACAACCACTGAAGCTGCCACAACTACTGTAGCTCCTACTACCACTGAGGCCCCAACAACCACTGAAGCTGCCACCACTGTAGCTCCTACTACCACTGAGGCCCCAACAACCACTGAAGCTGCCACAACTACTATAGCTCTTACTACCACTGAGGCCCCAACAACCACTGAAGCTGCCACAACCAGTAGAGCTCCTACTACCACTGAGGCCCTAACAACCACTGAAGCTGCCACAACTACTATACCTCCTACTACCACTGAAGATACCACAACTACCATAGCCCTTACTACTACTGAGGCCCCAACAACCACTGAAGCTCCTACTACCACCGAGGCCACAACTGTAGCTCCTACTTCAACTGAGGCCCCAACAACTACTAAAGCTGCAACAACTACTGTGGCTTCTATTACCACTGAGGCCCCAACAACCACTGAAGCTGCCCCAACCACAGAAGCTGCAACAACCACTGTAGCTGCTACTACCACTAAGGCCCCAACAACCACTAAAGCTGCCACAACCACAGAAGCTGCAACAACCATTGTAGCTCCTACTACCACTGTGGCCCCAACTACTACTGAAACTGCAACGACTGTAGCTTCTACTATCACTGAGGCCCCAGCAACCACTGAAGCTGCCACAACTACTTTAGCTCCTACTACCACTGAGGTCCTAACAACCACTGAAGCTGCAGCAACTACTGTAGCTCCTACTACCACTGAGGCCCCAACAACCACTGAAGCTGCAATAACTACTGTAGCTCCTACTACCACTGATGCCCCAACAACCACTGAAGCTGCCACAATTACTATAGCTCCCACTACCACTGAGGCCCCAACAACCACTGAAGCTGCCACAACTACTATAGCTCCGACTACCACTGAAGCTGCCACAACTACCATAGCCCTTACTACTACTGAGGCCCCAACAACCACTGAAGCTCCTACTACCACTGAGGCCCCAACAACCACTGTAGCTCCTACTACCACTAAGGCCCCAACAACCACTGAAGCTCCTACTACCACTGAGGCTTCAACAACTACTGTAGCTCCTACTACCACTGAGGCCCTAACAACCACTGAAGCTGCCACAACTACTATAGCTCCGACTACCACTGAAGCTGCCACAACTACCATAGCCCTTACTACTACTGAGGCCCCAACAACCACTGAAGCTCCTACTACCACTGAGGCCCCAACAACCACTGTAGCTCCTACTACCACTAACGCCCCAACAACCACTGAAGCTCCTACTACCACTGAGGCTTCAACAACTACTGTAGCTCCTACTACCACTGAGGCCCTAACAACCACTGTAGCTCCAACTACCACTGAGGCCCCAACAACCACTGAAGCTGCAACAACTACTATAGCTCCTACTACCACTGAGGCCAGAACAACCACTGAAGCTGCCACAACTACTGTAGCTCCTACTACCACTAAGGGCCCAACAACCACTGAAGCTGCCACAACCACTGTAGCTCCTACTGCCACTAAGGCCCCAACAACCACTGAAGCTGCCACAACTACTGTAGTTCCTACTACCACAGAGGCCCTAACAACTACTGTAGCTCCAACTACTACTGAGGCCCCAACAACCACTGAAGCTGCCACAACTACTATTGCTTCTATTACCACTGAGGCCCCAACAACCACTGAAGCTGCCACAACCACAGAAGCTGCAACAACCACTGTAGCTGCTACTACCACTAAGGCCCCAACAACCACTGAAGCTGCAACAACTACTATAGCTCCTACTACCACTGAGGCCAGAACAACCACTGAAGCTGCCACAACTACTGTAGCTCCTACTACCACTAAGGCCCCAACAACCACTGAAGCTGCCACAACCACTGTAGCTCCTACTACCACTAAGGCCCCAACAACCACTGAAGCTGCAACAACTACTATAGCTCCTACTACCACTGAGGCCAGAACAACCACTGAAGCTGCCACAACTACTGTAGCTCCTACTACCACTAAGGCCCCAACAACCACTGAAGCTGCCACAATCACTGTAGCTCCTACTACCACTAAGGCCCCAACAACCACTGAAGCTGCCACAACCACTGTAGCTCCTACTACCACTAAGGCCCCAACAACCACTGAAGCTGCCACAACCACTGTAGCTCCTACTGCCACTAAGGCCCCAACAACCACTGAAGCTGCCACAACTACTGTAGCTCCTACTACCACTGAGGCCCTAACAACCACTGTAGCTCCAACTACCACTGAGGCCCCAACAACCACTGAAGCTGCCACAACCACAGAAGCTGCAACAACCACTGTAGCTGTTACTACCACTAAGGCCCCAACAACCACTAAAGCTGCCACAACCACTAAAGCTGCAACAACCATTGTAGCTCCTACTACCACTGTGGCCCCAACAACCACTGAAGGTACCATAACCACTGAAGCTGCCACAGCTACTATAGCTCCTACTACCACTGAGGCCCCAACAACCACTGAAGCTGCCACAACTACTATAGCAGTTACTACCACTGAACGCCTGACAAGTACAGTAGCTTCTACTTCCATTGAAGCACTATCAACAGTAGAATCTACTAGTACTGGTAAGTATGAGGATAGTTTTAAACGAAATGTTTTTACACGAAATGCATTCTTTATTACACTTATTTGTATATGATAGCATCTGTTGTTTTTAGTGTGAGTAAAATAACTAATGAATCACAGCCCTCTGATGTGTTTAAAGAAAAGAAGAAGAAAAAAAAGAACATGAGTCTGTGTACACTTTAGTTATCATGCAGAGCAACTACAGGAGAAAATCAAGGAATGTTTTCAATTTTATAAGAGAACATACTGGTATTTCATTTATCTACGTAAGCACCTGATGTATACACTGTACTGATAAATCTTTCATCAGTTTACCTCAATCTAAATTTCTCCCCAGCTGCAAAACACTGTTCTTAAATTACCTGAATATTCAGTGTTGGAGGACTGGAATATCTTTAGGAGCCTAAAGCCTTTTCGGTCCATGTCCACAACACATGCATGATCAGGAAATAAATAACTGTAAAAGTAATATTGATGATAAATATAAAAATAGTGCTGAGGTTGAGAGAAAAAAAAAAACTTACTTACACTTCATCACTACATCCAATTACTGCAACCTTTACAGAAACTTCTTCACCTTCCTCATCCACTTCAGTCTCTACTACAAATGAAGCACTAGAAACTCTTCCACTCTACACAACCACTGAAGCCAAAACAACAACTTTAGCCACCACTACCAACAAGGCCCCAGCAACCTCTAGAGCAGTGAGAACCACCTCAGTCCCTACTAAAACCTCTATCACTTCTACTACCACTGATGTAACAATTACTATCACCTCTACCATTGAGACCCCAACAACCACTGTATTTTCCTCTACCACCGAGACCCCAACAACCACTGAAGCTGCCACAATCACTGTAGCTCCTACTACCACTGAGGCCGCAACAACCAATGAAACTGCCATAACCATTGACACCCCAACAACCAATGAAACTGCCACAACCACTGTATCTCCTACTACCATTGAAGCACCAACATCCACTGAAGCTGCAACAACTACTGTATATCCTATTACCACTGAAGCCTCAAAAACCTCTGAAATTGCAACAACCACTGTAGCTTCTACTACCACTGAAACCCCAGCAACTGAAGCTGCCACACATACATTACCTCCTACTACCACAGTCACTGAAGCCCCAATATCCCTAACAGCAACTGAAGCTGCAACAAGCACTAATTCAGGTACTACGACTCCACCTGAAACAAGCATTGTTTCAATTACTACAACTCCACTTCCTCAAACAAGTACGTCTTCTGGGATTATGACTCGACTTCCTGAAACAAGTACTACGACACCACTTCCTGAAACAAGTACTACGACTCCACTTCCAGAAACAAACACTGCTTCAGGTACTACAAATCCACCTCCTGAAACAAGCACTGCATCAGTTACTAAAACAAGCACGTCTTCAGTAACTACGACTCCACTTCCTGAAACAAGCACTGATTCAGATACTACAACTCCACTTCCTGAAACAAGTACTACGACTCCACTTCCTGAAACAAGCACTGATTCAGATACTACAACTCCACTTCCTGAAACAAGCACTGCATCAGTTACTAAAACAAGTACGTCTTCAGTAACTACAACTCCACTTCCGGAAACCAGCACTGCTTCAGTTACTACAACTCCTCTTCCTGAAACAAGCAGTGATTCAGTTACTACAACTCCACTTCCTGAAACAAGCACTGTTTCAGTTACTACACCTCCACTTTCTGAAACAAGCACTGCTTCAGATACTACAACTAAACCTCCTGAAACAAGCACGGCTTCAGGTACTACAACTACACCTCCTGAAACAAGCACTTCTTCAGGTACTACAACTACACCTCCTGAAACAAGCACTGCTTCAGGTACAACAACTACACCTCCTGAAACAAGCACTGCTTCAGGTACAACAACTACACCTCCTGAAACAAGCACAACTCCACTTCCTGAAACAAGCACTGCTTCAGGTAATACAATTCCACTTTATGAAACAAGCACTGATTCAGATACTACAACTCCACATCTGGAAATAAGCACTGCTTCAGTTACTACAACTCCACTTCCTAAAACAAGCACTGTTACAGGTACTACGACTCCAGGTCCTGAAGCAAGCACTCCATCAGTTACTACAACTCCACTTCCCAAAACAAGCACTGTTTCAGGTACTACAACTCAAATAAATTCACCTTCGCTTACTACAACTACTGTACCTCCTACTACCACTGAGGCCCAAACAACCACTGAAGCTGCCACAACTACTATACCTCATACTACCACGGAGGCCCCAACAACCACTGAAGCTGCAACTACTACTGTAGCTCCTACTACCACTGAGGCCCCAACAACCACTGAAGTTGACACAACCACTGAAACTGCCACAACTACTGTAGCTCCTACTACCACTAAGGCCCCAACAACCACTCAAGCTCCTACTACCACTAAGGCCCCAACAACCACTCAAGCTCCTACTACCAATGAGGCCCAAACAACTACTCAAGCTGCAACAACTACTGTAGCTCCTACTACCACTGAGGCCCCAACAACCACTGAAGCTGCCACAACTACTAAAGCTCTTACTACCACTGAAGCTGCCACAACTACCATAGCCCTTACTACCACTAAGGCCCCAACAACCACTGAAGCTGCCACAACTACTGTAGCTCCTACTACCACTGAAGCTGCCACAACCATTGGAGCTCCAACTACCACTGAAGCTGCTACAACCACAAAAGTTGCCTCAACTACTCTAACTCCTACTTCCACTGAGGCCCCAACAACCACTAAAGCTGCAACAACTACTATAGCTCCTACTACCACTAAGGCCAGAACAACCCCCGAAGCTGCCACAACCACTAAAGCTGCAACAACTACTGTAGCTCCTACTACCACTGAGGCCCCAACAACCACTGAAGCTGCAACTACTATAGCTCCTACTACCACTGAGGCCCCAACAACCACTGAAACTGCAACAACTACTATAGCTCTCACTACCACTGAGGCCCCAACAACCAATGAAGCTGCCACAACTAATGTAGTTCCTACTACCACTGAGACCCCAACAACCACTGAAGCTGCCACAACTATAACTCCTACTACCACTGAGGCCCCAACAACCACTGAAGCTGCCACAACTACTATAGCTCCTACTACCACTGAGGCCCCAACAACCACTGAAGCTCCTACTACCACTAATTCCCCAACAACCACTAAAGCTCCTACTACCACTGAGCCCCCAATAACCACTGAAGCTGCAACAACTACTGTAGCTCCTACTGCCACTGAGGCTCCAACAACCACTGAAGCTGCCACAACTACTGTAGCTCCTACTACCACTGAGGCCCCAACAACCACTGAAGCTGCAACTACTATAGCTCCTACTACCACTGAGGCCCTAACAACCACTGAAGCTGTAATAACTACTGTAGCTCCTACTTCCACTGAGGCCCCACCAACTACTGAAGCTGCCACAACTACCATAGCCCTTACTACCATTGAGGCCCCAACAACCACTGAAGCTGCCACAACTACTGTAGCTCCTACTACCACTGAGGCCCCAACAACCACTAAAGCTCCTACTACCACTGAGGCCCCACCAACAACTGAAGCTGCAACAACTGCTGTAGCTCCTACTACCACTGAGGCCCCAACAACCACTAAAGCTCCTACTACCACTGAGGCCCCAACAACCACTGAAGCTCCTACTGCCACTGAGGCCCCAACAACCACTGAAACTACTACAACTACTGTAGCTCCTACTACCACTGAGGCCCCAACAACTACTAAAGCTGCAACAACTACTGTAGTTCCTACTGCCACTGAGGCCCCAACAACCACTGAAGCTGCAACAACTACTATAGCTCTCACTACCACTGAGGCCCCAACAACCAATGAAGCTGCCACAACTATAGCTCCTACTACCACTGAGACCCCAACAACCACTGAAGCTGCCACAATTATAACTCATACTACCACTGAGGCCCCAACAACCAATGAAGCTGCCACAACCACAGAAGCTGCAACAACTACTGTAGCTCCTCCTACCACTGAGGCTCTAATAAGCACTGAAGCTGCAACAACTACTGTAGCTCCTACTTCCACTGAGGCTACAACAACCACTGAAGCTACCACAACTACTATATCTCGTACTACTACCGAGGCCACAACAACCACTGAAGCTGCCACAACTACTGTAGCTCCTACTGCCACTGAGGCCCCAACAACAACTGAAGCTGCAACAACTGCTGTAGCTCCTACTACCACTGAGGCCCCAACAACCACTGAAGCTCCTACTACCACTAAGGCCCCAACAACCACTAAAGCTCCTACTACCACTGAGGCCCCAACAACCACTGAAGCTGCCACAACTACTGTAGCTCCTACTACCAGTGAGGCCCCAACAACCACTAAAGCTGCAACAACTGCTGTAGCTGCTACTACCACTGAGGCCCCAACAACAACTGAAGCTGCTACAACTACTGTAGCTCCTACTACCACTGATGCCCCAACAACCACTAAAGCTGCAACAACTGCTGTAGCTCCTACTACCACTGAGGCCCTAACAACAACTGAAGCTGCTACAACTACTGTAGCTCCTACTACCACTGAGGCCCCAACAACAACTGAAGCTGCTACAACTTCTGTAGCTCCTACTACCACTGAGGCCTCAACAACCACTGAAGCTGCCACAACTACTGTAGCTCCTACTACCACTGAGGCCACAACAACAACTGAAGCTGCTACAACTTCTGTAGCTCCTACTACCACTGAGGCCTCAACAACCACTGAAGCTGCCACAACTACTGTAGTTCCTACTACCACTAAGGCCCCAACAACCATAGAAGCTGCCACAACTACTATAGCTCCTACTACCACTGAGGCCCCAACAACCACAGAAGCTGCCACAACTACTATAGCTCCTACTACCACTGAGGCCCCAACAACCACTGAAGCTTCTACTACCACTAATGTCCCAACAACCACTAAAGCTCCTACTACCACTGAGGCCCCAACAACCACTGAAGCTGCAACAACTACTGTATCTCCTACTGCCACTGAGGCTCCAACAACCACTGAAGCTACCACAACTACTGTAGCTCCTACTACCACTGAGGCCCCAACAACCACTGAAGCTGCCACAACTACCATAACCCTTACTACCATTGAGGCCCCAACAACCACTGAAGCTGCCACAACTACTGTAGCTCCTACTACCACTGAGGCCCCAACAACCACTGTAGCTCCTACTACCACTGAGGCCCCAACAACCACTGAAGCTCCTACTACCACTAAGGCCCCAACAACCACTAAAGCTCCTACTACCACTGAGGCCCCAACAACCACTGAAGCTGCCACAACAACTGTAGCTCCTACTACCACTGAGGCCCCAACAACTACTAAAGCTGCAACAACTGCTGTAGCTCCTACTACCACTGAGGCCCCAACAACCACTGAATCTGCTACAACTACTGTAGCTCCTACTACCACTGAGGCGCCAACAACCACTAAAGCTGCCACAACTACTGTAGCTCCTACTGCCACTGAGGCCCCAACAACCACTGAAGCTACCACAACTACTGTAGTTCCTACTGCCACTGAGGCCCCAACAACCACTGAAGCTGCAACAACTAATATAGCTTTCACTACCACTGAGGCCCCAACAACCAATGAAGCTGCCACAACTACTATAGCTCCTACTACCACTGAGACCCCAACAACCACTGAGGCTGCCACAACCACAGAAGCTGCAACAACTACTGTAGCTCCTACTACCACTGAGGCTCTAATAACCACTGAAGCTGCAGCAACTACTGCAGCTCCTACTTCCACTGAGGCCACAACAACCACTGAAGCTACACAACTTCTGTAGCTCCTACTACCACTGAGGCCTCAACAACCACTGAAGCTGGCCACAACTACTGTAGTTCCTACTACCACTAAGGCCCCAACAACCATAGAAGCTGCCACAACTACTATAGCTCCTACTACCACTGAGGGCCCCAACAACCACAGAAGCTGCCACAACTACTATAGCTCCTACTACCACTGAGGCCCCAACAACCACTGAAGCTTCTACTACCACTAATGTCCCAACAACCACTAAAAGCTCCTACTACCACTGAGGCCCCAACAACCACTGGAAGCTGCAACCAACTACTGTATCTCCTACTGCCACTGAGGCTCCAACAACCACTGAAGCTACCACAACTACTGTAGCTCCTACTACCACTGAGGCCCCAACAACCACTGAAGCTGCCACAACTACCATAACCCTTACTACCATTGAGGCCCCAACACCACTGAAGCTGCCACAACTACTGTAGCTCCTACTACCACTGAGGCCCCAACAACCACTGTAGCTCCTACTACCACTGAGGCCCCAACAACCACTGAAGCTCCTACTACCACTAAGGCCCCAACAACCACTAAAGCTCCTACTACCACTGAGGCCCCAACAACCACTGAAGCTGCCACAACAACTGTAGCTCCTACTACCACTGAGGCCCCAACAACTACTAAAGCTGCAACAACTGCTGTAGCTCCTACTACCACTGAGGCCCCAACAACCACTGAATCTGCTACAACTACTGTAGCTCCTACTACCACTGAGGCGCCAACAACCACTAAAGCTGCCACAACTACTGTAGCTCCTACTGCCACTGAGGCCCCAACAACCACTGAAGCTACCACAACTACTGTAGTTCCTACTGCCACTGAGGCCCCAACAACCACTGAAGCTGCAACAACTAATATAGCTTTCACTACCACTGAGGCCCCAACAACCAATGAAGCTGCCACAACTACTATAGCTCCTACTACCACTGAGACCCCAACAACCACTGAGGCTGCCACAACCACAGAAGCTGCAACAACTACTGTAGCTCCTACTACCACTGAGGCTCTAATAACCACTGAAGCTGCAGCAACTACTGCAGCTCCTACTTCCACTGAGGCCACAACAACCACTGAAGCTACCACAACTACTATATCTCGTACTACTACCAAGGCCACAACAACCACTGAAGCTGCCACAACTACTGTAGCTCCTACTGCCACTGAGGCCCCAACAACCACTAAAGCTGCAACAACTGCTGTAGCTCTTACTACCACTGAGGCCCCAACAACCACTGAAGCTGCCACAACTACTGTAGCTCCTACAACCACTGAGGCCCCAACAACCACTGAAGCTGCAACAACTGCTGTAGCTCCTACTACCACTGAGGCCCCAACAACCACTGAAGCTCCTACTACCACTAATGTCCCAACAACCACTAAAGCTCCTACTACCACTGAGGCCCCAACAACCACTGAAGCTGCAACTACTGTAGCTCCTACTGCCACTGAGGCTCCAACAACCACTGAAGCTGCCACAACTACTGTAGCTCCTACTACCACTGAGGCCCCAACAACCACTGAAGCTGCAACAATTGCTGTAGCTCCTACTACCATTGAGGCCCCAACAACCACTGAAGCTGCCACAACTACTGTAGCTCCTACTACCACTGAAGCTGCCACAACTACCATAGCCCTTACTACCATTGAGGCCCCAACAACCACTGAAGCTGCCACAACTACTGTAGCTCCTACTACCACTGAGGCCCCAACAACCACTGTAGCTCCTACTACCACTGAGGCCCCAACAACCACTGAAGCTCCTACTACCACTAAGGCCCCAACAACCACTAAAGCTCCTACTACCACTGAGGCCCCAACAACAACTGAAGCTGCAACAACTACTGTAGCTCCTACTGCCACTGAGGCCCCAGCAACCACTGAAGCTGCAACAACTGCTGTAGCTCCTACTACCACTGAGGCCCCAACAACCACTGAAGCTGCTACAACTACTGTAGTTCCTACTGCCACTGAGGCCCCAACAACCACTGAAGCTGCAACAACTACTATAGCTCTCACTACCACTGAGGCCCCAACAACCAATGAAGCTGCCACAACTACTATAGCTCCTACTACCACTGAGACCCCAACAACCACTGAAGCTGCCACAACTATAACTCATACTACCACTGAGGCCCCAACAACCACTGAAGCTGCCACAACTATAACTCATACTACCACTGAGGCCCCAACAACCACTGAAGCTGCCACAACCACAAAAGCTGCAACAACTACTGTAGCTCCTACTGCCACTGAGGCCCCAACAACCACTGAAGCTGCAACAACTGCTGTAGCTCCTACTACCACTGAGGCCCCAACAACCACTGAAGCTGCTACAACTACTGTAGTTCCTACTGCCACTGAGGCCCCAACAACCACTGAAGCTGCAACAACTACTATAGCTCTCACTACCACTGAGGCCCCAACAACCAATGAAGCTGCCACAACTACTATAGCTCCTACTACCACTGCGACCCCAACAACCACTGAAGCTGCCACAACTATAACTCATACTACCACTGAGGCCCCAACAACCACTGAAGCTGCCACAACTATAACTCATACTACCACTGAGGCCCCAACAACCACAGAAGCTGCAACAACTACTGTAGCTCCTCCTACCACTGACGCTATATCTCGTACTACTACCGAGGCCACAACAACCACTGAAGCTGCCACAACTACTGTAGCTCCTACTGCCACTGAGGCCCCAACAACCACTGAAGCTGCAACAACTGCTGTAGCTCCTTCTACCACTGAGGCCCCAACAACCACTGAAGCTGCCACAACTACTGTAGCTCCTACTACCACTGAGGCCCCAACAACCACTGAAGCTCCTACTACCACTAAGGCCCCAAGAACCACTAAAGCTCCTACTACCACTGAGGCCCCAACAACTACTGAAGCTGCCACAACTACTGTAGCTCCTACTACCAGTGAGGCCCCAACAACCACTAAAGCTGCAACAACTGCTGTAGCTGCTACTACCACTGAGGCCCCAACAACAACTGAAGCTGCTACAACTACTGTAGCTCCTACTACCACTGATGCCCCAACAACCACTAAAGCTGCAACAACTGCTGTAGCTCCTACTACCACTGAGGCCCCAACAACCACTGAAGCTGCTACAACTACTGTAGCTCCTACTACCACTGAGTCCCCAACAACAACTGAAGCTGATACAACTACAGTAGCTCCTACTACCACTGAGGCCTCAACAACCACTGAAGCTGCCACAACTACTGTAGCTCCTACTACCACTGAGGCCACAACAACAACTGAAGCTGCTACAACTACTGTAGTTCCTACTACCACTAAGGCCCCAACAACCACCGAAGCTCCTACTACCACTAAGGCCCCAACAACCACTTTAGCTCATACTACCACTGAGGCCCCAACAACAACTGAAGCTGCAACAACGACTGTAGCTCCTACTGCCACTGAGGCCCCAACAACCACTGAAGCTGCCACAACTACTGTAGCTCCTACTACCACTGAGGCCCCAACAACAACTGAAGCTGCAACAACGACTGTAGCTCCTACTGCCACTGTGGCCCCAACAACCACTGAAGCTGCCACAACTACTGTAGCTCCTACTACCACTGAGGTCCCACCAGCCACTGAAGCTGCCACAACTACTGTAGCTCCTACTACCACTGAAGCTGCCACAACTACATTAGCTCCTACTACCACTGAAGCTGCCACAACTACCATAGCCATTACTACCACTGAGGCCCCAACAACCACTGTAGCTCCTACTACCACTGAGGCCCCTACATCCACTGAAGCTGCCACAACTATAACTCATACTACCACTGAGGCCCCAACAACCACTGAAGCTGCCACAACTATAACTCATACTACCACTGAGGCCCCAACAACCACTGAAGCTGCCACAACCACAGAAGCTGCAACAACTACTGTAGCTCCTCCTACCACTGAAGCTCTAATAACGACTGAAGCTGCAACAACTACTGTAGCTCCTACTTCCACTGAGGCCACAACAACCACTGAAGCTACCACAACTACTATATCTCGTACTACTACCGACGCCACAACAACCACTGAAGCTGCCACAACTACTGTAGCTCCTACTACCACTGAGGCCCCAACAACCACTGAAGCTGCAACAACTGCTGTAGCTCCTTCTACCACTGAGGCCCCAACAACCACTGAAGCTGCCACAACTACTGTAGCTCCTACTACCACTGAGGCCCCAACAACCACTGAAGCTGCAACAACTGCTGTAGCTCCTACTACGACTGAGGCCCCAGCAACCACTGAAGCTCCTACTACTACTAAGGCCCCAACAACCACTAAAGCTCCTACTACCACTGAGGCCCCAACAACCACTGAAGCTGCCACAACTACTGTAGCTCCTACTACCAGTGAGGCCCCAACAACCACTAAAGCTGCAACAACTGCTGTAGCTCCTACTACCACTGAGGCCCCAACAACAACTGAAGCTGCTACAACTACTGTAGCTCCTACTACCACTGATGCCCCAACAACCACTAAAGCTGCAACAACTGCTGTAGCTCCTACTACCACTGAGGCCCTAACAACAACTGAAGCTGCTACAACTACTGTAGCTCCTACTACCACTGAGGCCCCAACAACAACTGAAGCTGCTACAACTTCTGTAGCTCCTACTACCACTGAGGCCTCAAGAACCACTGAAGCTGCCACAACTACTGTAGCTCCTACTACCACTGAGGCCACAACAACAACTGAAGCTACCACAACTACTGTAGTTCCTACTACCACTAAGGCCCCAACAACCACTGAAGCTCCTACTACCACTAAGGCCCCAACAACCACTTTAGCTCATACTACCACTGAGGCCCCAACAACAACTGAAGCTGCAACAACGACTGTAGCTCCTACTGCCACTGAGGCCCCAACAACCACTGAAGCTGCCACAACTACTGTAGCTCCTACTACCACTGAGGTCCCACCAGCCACTGAAGCTGCTACAACTACTGTAGCTCCTACTACCACTAAGGCCCCAACAACCACTGAAGCTGCCACAACTATATTAGCTCCTACTACCACTGAAGCTGCCACAACTACATTAGCTCCTACTACCACTGAAGCTGCCACAACTACCATAGCCCATACTACCACTGAGGCCCCAATAACCACTGTAGCTCCTACTACCACTGAGGCCCCGCGAGCTACTACAGCTGTTACAACTACTGTAGCTCCTACTACCACTAAGGCCCCAACAACCACTGAAGCTGCCACAACTACATTAGCTCCTACTACCACTGAAGCTGCCACAACTACCATAGCCCTTACTACCACTGAGGCCCCAATAACCACTGTAGCTCCTACTACCACTGAGGCCCCAATAAACACTGAAGCCCCTACTACCACTAAGGCCCCAACAACCACTAAAGCTCCTACTACCACTGAGGCCCCAACAACAACTGAAGCTACAACAACGACTGTAGTTCCTACTACCACTGAGGTCCCAACAACCACTGAAGCTGCTACAACTACTGTAGCTCCTACTACCACTGATGCCCCAACAACCACTAAAGCTGCCACAACTACTGTAGTTCCTACTGCCACTGAGGCCCCAACAACAACTGAAGCTGCAACAACGACTGTAGCTCCTACTGCCACTGTGGCCCTAACAACCACTGAAGCTGCCACAACTACTATAGCTCCTACTACCACTGAGGCCCCAACAACCACTGAAGCTGCAACAACTGCTGTAGCTCCTACTACCACTGAGGCCCCAACAACCACTGAGGCCCCAACAACCACTGAAGCTGCTACAACTACTGTAGCTCCTACTACCACTGAGGCCCCAACAACCACTAAAGCTGCCACAACTACTGTAGTTCCTACTGCCACTGAGGCCCCAACAACCACTGAAGCTGCCACAACTACCATAGCCCTTACTACTACTGAGGCCCCAACAACCACTGAAGCTGCAACAACTACTATAGCTCCTACTTCAACTGAGGCCCCAACAACCACTAAAGCTGCAACAACTACTGTAGCTCCTACTACCACTGAGGCCACAACAACCACTGAAGCTGCCACAACTACTGTAGCTCCTACTACCACTGATGCCCCAAGAACCACTGAAGCTGCAACAACTACTGTAGCTCCTACTGCCACTGAGGCCCCAACAACCACTGAAGCTGCCACAACTACTGTAGCTCCTACTACCACTGACGCCCCAACAACCACTGAAGCTGCAACAACTACTGTAGCTCCTACTACCACTGAGGCCCCACCAGCTACTGAAGCTGCTACAACTACTGTAGCTCCTACTACCACTGAGGCCCCAACAACCACTGAAGCTGCCACAACTATCATAGCCCTTTCTACCATTGAGGCCCCAACAACCACTGCAGCTCCTACTACCACTGAGGCCCCAACAACCACTGAAGCTCTTACTACCACTAAGGCCCCAACAACCACTAAAGCTCCTACTACCACTGAGGCCCCAACAACCACTGAAGCTGCCACCACCACTTTAGCTCATACTACCACTGAGGCCCCAACAACCACTGAAGCTGCACCAACTACTGTAGCTCCTACTGCCACTGAGGCCCCAACAGCCACTGAAGCTGCCAGAACTACTGTAGCTCCTACTACCACTGAGGCCCCAACAACCACTGAAGCTGCCACAACTACTGTAGTTCCTAGTGTCACTGAGGCCCCAACAACCACTGAAACTGCCATAACTACATTAGCTCCTACTACCACTGAAGCTGCCACAACTACCATAGCCCTTACTACCACTGAGGCCCCAACAACCACTGAAGCTGCCACAACTACTGTAGCTCCTACTTCCACTGAGGCCCCAACAACCACTGTAGCTCCAACTACCACTGAGGCCCCAACAACCACTGAAACTGCAACAACTACTATAGCTCTTACTACCACTGAGGCCAGAACAACCACTGAAGCTGCCACAACTACTGTACCTTCTACTACCACTGAGGCCCCAACAACCACTGAAGCTGCCACAACCACAGAAGCTGTAACAACCAATGTAGCTCCTACTACCACTGAGGCCCCAACAACCACTGAAAGGACCATAACCACTGAAGCTGCCACAGCTACTATAGCTCCTTCTACCAATGAGGCCTCAACAATCATTGAAGCTGCCACAACTACTATAGCTCTTTCTACCACTGAGGCCCCAACAGCCACTGAAGCTGCCACAATTACTATAGTACTTACTACCACCGAGGCCCCACCAACCATTGAAGCTGCCACAACTATAACTTCTACTACCACTGAGGCCCCAACAACCACTGAAGTTGCCGCAACTACTATAGCTCCTACTACCATTGAGGTCCCAACAACCACTGAAGCTGGAACAACTACTATAGGTCCTACTACCACTGAGGCCCCAATAACCACCCAAGCTCCTACTACCAATAAGGCCCCAATAACCACTCAAGCTGCAACAACTACTGTAGCTCCTACTATCACTGACGCCCCAACTACCACTGAAGCTGCCACAGCCACTGAGGCTCCAACAAACAATGAAGGTCCTACTACAACTGAGGCCCCAACAACCACTGAATCTGCAACAACTACTGTAGCTCCTACTACCACTGAGGCCCCAACAACCACTGAAGCTGCCACAACTACTGTAGCTCCTACTACCACTGAGGCCCCAACAATCACTGAAGCTGTCACAACTACTGTAGATTCTACTACCACTGAGGCCCCAACAACCACTGAAGCTGCCACAACTACTATAGCTCCTATTACTACTGAAGTTGCCACAACTACCATAGCCCTTAGTACCACTGAGGCCCCAACAACCACTGAGGCTGCCAGAACTACTATAGCTCCTACTACTACTGAGGCCCTAACAACCACTGTAGCTCCAATTACCACTGAGGCCCCAACAACCACTAAGGCTGCCACAACTAGTGTAGCTGCTACTACCACTGAGGCCCAAACAACCATTAAAGCTGCCACAACTGCTGTAGCTGCTACTACCACTGAGGCCCCAACAACTACTGAAGCTGCCACAACCACTATAGCTCTTACTACCACTAAGGCCCCAACAACCACTGATGCTGCCACAACTACTGTAGCTCCTACTACCACTGAGACCCCAACAACCACTGAAGCTGCCACAACCACTGGAGCTCTAACTACCACTGAGGCCCAAACTTCAGTTCTTGAAACAAGTACTTCTCCATTTACCACAACCACTTCAATTCCTGAAACAAGTACTATTTCAGGTACGACATCAGGTCTTGAAACAAATATTAGATTCAGCTTTTGTTTCTAAATTAAGTACTAATTTAGTAACCGTGCCTGTAACAACTTCATTAACTCAAACAATAACACAACTTCAACACATGAAACAAAGGTATTAGTTCAGTAACCATAAGTCCACGTTCTGAAGTAAGTACTACTTCAGTTTCCATTACCAATTTAATACCTAAAACTGATGCAGTTATCGCAGTTTTAGTTCCTGAAAGAAGTAGTACAGTTACCACAGATTCAGATCCTAGAACAAGTACTTCAATAACAACTTCAATTCCTTAAATAAACTTTGCTACACTTGCCACAACTATTAAAGGAAGTACTCATTTCATTTACTACGATGTCCTTTTTTCCTGAAACAAATCTGAAACGGCTACTTTAATTGCAACTTGATTTTCTGAAACAAATACAAAATTTACAACACATGTTCCTGAAGCATCTACTCCCTCAGTTAGCACGACTCTCCCAATCACAGCAGTTTCACAAACAAGTCTTTCAACGCTAGTGAAACTACTACTATTTTAGGTATAACAATGTTAGTTAAAGTAACTATTATTTCAGGTATAACAACGACGTCAGTTCCTGAAACAAGTAGTACTTCAGTTACCAGAACTTCAGTTCCTGAGACAAGCACTATTTCAGGTACGTCAGTTACAAAAATAACTTCCTTCACTAGACTTTAGCACACCTCCACTTCCTGAAACAAGTACTATTTCAGATACAACATCAGCTCAATAACCACTACTTCATTTACCACGACATCAGTTCCTGAAACAAATACTACTTCACTTACTGCGTCTCCACTTCCTGAAACAAGCACTGCTTCAGTTACAATTCCACTTCAATCACCACGACCATATTTCCTAAAACAAGTACTGCTTCGGGTACTAAAACTCCGTTTCCTGAAATGTACTTGTTTCATAACCAAATACTTCTTCAGTTACCACAACTTCATTTTCTGAAATGAGCACTGAAACAAGTACTTCAATTACTACAATTCCACATCCTGAAATAAGCACTACAGTTATTACGACTCCACTTCCTGAAACTGCTTCAGTTACTGCGACTCCATTTTCTGAAACAAGTACTTCAGTTACTACAACTACAATTCCTGAAACAAGTACTGTTTCAGTTACAGCGTCTCCATTTCCTAAAACAAACACTGCTTTAGTTACTACAACTCCACTTCCTGAAACAAGTATTATTTCAGTTACTATAAGTTCAATTCTTGAAACAAGTACTTCTTCAGTTACTAATACTACACTTCTTGAAACTAACATATCTTCAGTTACTACAAGTCCACTTCCTAAAGCAACTACTGTTTCAATTACCACAACTCCTGAAATAAACACTACTTCAGAAACCACGACTTCAGTTCCTGAATTTCAATTCAAGTGATGTTTCCTTTACTACAACGACTTTTGTTTCTGGAAGTCTTTGTACGTCATAAGTTTCCGAAACAACTACTTCAGTTACCACATCTTTATTTGCTAAAATAAATGCTTCACTTATTACAACTTTAGTCTCCGAAATAAGTACAGCAACAGTTGCCAGAACTTCAGTTGCTGAAACAAGCACAAATTTAGAAACAAGTGTAATACCTGAAGCAAATCCTGCAGTTACCACAACTTCAGTTATTCATTTACTACAATTACTTTAGTTCCTGCAACAAGTACCATGCAGTCCCTAAAACAACTACCTTATTTAGGACAACTTCAGTTCCTGAAACAACTACTATTATACTTACTACACCTTCATTTCCTGAAACTAATATTACAACATCAGATCATGAAACAACTATATTTAGTTCCTGAATCAACTATATCTTTAGTTCCTGAATCAACTATATGTTTAGTTCCTGAATCAACCATATCTTTAGTTCTTGAAACAATTATATTTTTTATCCTGAAACAACTACTACTACTGTAATACCCATACCTGAAACAAATACTATTTCATTTACGATAAGAAATTACACTTAAGTAAATACTATTTCAGTTACTACAGCTTCTTTTCCTGAGAAAAGAACGCTGTCTCACGTCAATACCTAAAACCAACGTTGTCACTGCAGCTTTAATTCCTAAAACAGAATAATATTTGAATACCACAACTTCAGTTCTTGAAACAAGTAGTACGTCAGTACCAAAACCTTAGTTTCTGAAACAATTAGTACATCAGTAACACCAACTTCAGTTACTGAAACAAATACTACTACACTTGCTACAACTTTAATTCCTGAAACAAACACTACATTTACCATGACTTCGGTTCGTGGAACTAGTACTTTTTCAGGCACAGCGGCAGTTCCTGAAACAATTTCATTTACTATATCTTCAGCTTCTGAAACAAGTACATCATTTACCAGTGCTTCGGGTCCTGAACTACTCTTCCAATTGTAACTTCATTTAAACAAGCATCTACATCTACACCTACTACCTCTGCTCCTGAATCAATTACTACTTCTACTATCCCAATCATAACGACTTCACAAACAATTTCTCTTTTAACGGCAGTTGAAACTACTAATATTTTGGGTACAGCAACGACGTCAGTTAAAACAACTTCTATTTCAGGTACAACATCGACGTCAGTTCCTGAAACGAGTACCATTTCAGTAACTACTTCAGTTACCACAACTTCAGTTCCTGAAACTACTACTTCAGCTACGACAACTTCAGTTCCTGAAACTACTACTTCAGCTACAACTTCAGTTCCTGAAACTACTACTTCAGCTACGACAACTTCTGTTCCTGAAACTACTACTTCAGCTACAACTTCAGTTCCTGAAACTACTACTTCAGCTACGACAACTTCAGTTCCTGAAACTACTACTTCAGCTACGACAACTTCAGTTCCTGAAACTACTACTTCAGCTACCACAACTTCAGCATCTGGACTAACTACTTCAGTTACTACAACTTCAGTCCCTGAAACAACTACTTCAGTTACCACAACAGTTCCTGAAACAACTACTCCAGTTACTACAACTTCAATTCCTGAAATAACTACTTCAGTTCCTGAAACAAGTACTTCAGTTACCACAACTTCGGTTCCTGAAACAACTACTTCCGTTACTACAACTTCAGTGGTAGAAACAACTAATTCAGTTACCACAACGTCAGTCACTGATACAAATACTTCAGCTGCCACAACTTCAGTTCCTGAAATAAGTACAATTTTAGAAACCACAACTTCAGTTCCTGAAACAAGTACTGCTTCAGGTACAACGTCAACTCCTAAATCAACTACTTCAGTTCCTAAAACAAGTACTACTTCAGTTACCACTTCAGTTCTTGGGACAACTACTGTTTTAGAAACTACAACTTTAGCTCTTGAGACAAGTACCGTTTCATTTACCACAACTTCATTTCCTAAAACTACCTCTTTTACCACAACTTCAGTTCCTGAAACAACTTCAATTACACAAGCTTCAGCTCCTGAAACAACTACTTCAGCCTTTACAAATCCACTTTCAAAAACAAGCACTACTTTAGAAACTACAACTTCGATTCCTGAGAGAAGCTCAAATAAATTAAACTCAAGTTTATTTCCTGAAACAAGTACTACTTTAGGTACCACTGCATCAGCTCCTGAGACAAGTACTATTTTAGGTACCACTGCATCAGCTCTTGAGACAAGTACTGTTCCAATTACCACAACTAGAGTTTTAGAAATGAGTACATCAGCTACCACAATTACAACACCAAAAACGAGTACTGCAGTTATTGCAACTTCATTTCCTGAAAGTTTAGAAACCACAACTGCTATTCCAAGTAGTACTTCATTTACCACTGCCACTTCATATCCTGAAACAAGTACTATTCAGTACCAGTATACGTCGATTCCTGAGAGAAGCTCAATAAATTAAACTCAAGTTTATTTCCTGAAACAAAGTACTACTTTAGGTACCACTGCATCAGCTCCTGAGACAAGTACTATTTTAGGTACCACTGCATCAGCTCTTGAGACAAGTACTGTTCCAATTACCACAACTAGAGTTTTAGAAATGAGTACATCAGCTACCACAATTACAACACCAAAAACGAGTACTGCAGTTATTGCAACTTCATTTCCTGAAAGTTTAGAAACCACAACTGCTATTCCAAGTAGTACTTCATTTACCACTGCCACTTCATATCCTGAAAAAAGTACTATTCCAGGTACAGCATCAGTTCCTGAAACAACTACTACTTATGTTACCACAACCCCAGTTCTTGAAAAAACTACAGCTTTAGGAACTACAACTTCGATTCATGAAACAAATACTACATCAGTTACCACAACTTCAATTCCAGTTACAAATACCGTTTCCTTTACTACGACAACTTTAGTTCCTGAAACAAGTACTAATTCTGCTACTACAACCACATCTGTTTCTCAAACAAGTAATACTTAATTTGCCACAAGTTCAATTTCAGTTACTTTAACCACATCAGAACCACAGATAAGTACTACTTCTGCTGCTGCTACGATTCCACTACTTATAAGTACTACTACTTCAGGTACCACAACGACTTCAGTTCCTGAAACAAGCATTACTTCGGTTCCCACAACGACTTCAGTTCCTGAAACAAGTACTACTTCAGCTCCCACAACGACTTCAGTCTCTGAAACAAGTACTATTGTGACTCCCAGAACAACTTTGGCTCCTGAAACAAGTATTTCTTTAGCTTTTACAACTTCAGGTCCTGCCACAAGTACTACTTCAGCTCCCCTAACCAGTATTACTCTCCCTACCAAAACGACCTCAGACGAACCAACAGGAAATGTTTCAGCTACGAGCACGACTATAGTGCCAATATTTACTACAACTACAGCTACGACTCCCAGTATAGGTTTGTTTTTTATGGGAATATTTGAAGTTTTATATACGACTTTATATTTTCAACAATTAGATTATCATCTCTATCACTACTTTCATTGCAGTGATTATCATTCTTACTCCTCTGAGAATGATGTTCAAGCTTATTTCCAAATGAAATCTACATAATATAAAATCGACAGAATACTTTGCTATAAGGATATGAAAGAAAAAATTATATATTTTTTAATCGTATGCGATCGATTTTCCTTGTTATGTTTTTCTTAAGAGTTAATGCAAGTTATTCTGGTGAGGATATGATATATCTTGCACTCCTGCGTTATTTTGTTCTCATGCATAACTATTCCACATTTATCTTAGTGAGCTTTGATCGTCAGAATACCTTCCAAATTCTCTACCAAGAAAACGTATTTTGCCATTGCCATCCCCCAGTGTCAGCCCTCCTATTACCAAAACTTTATAACCTCACCTGGGGCAGTACCACAATACGATTTTTCTATAAGCTACAAACGCTCGAGCCTTCTCCAGCAATGCAGTGGCAATGTCGACTATTACGGAATAACAATATAGATAATAGTAAGGGCTCAACTTTCAGGATCTACAGGACATAGGACGTACATAGGTCATAGAACAAATTATATTTTTGTCTAATCGTTTCTTAAGTAGCAATTGGAAGTTGCTCACATCTTGTTAGTAATACTTCTTAACATTTCTTATTCTATTTGAACTTTAGGTTGTTCCTTTTCATACATCATATTTTTTGAAGGCCAGCATTGCACATTATGAGTAGCTTCTTTTTTTTGTAAGATAGCCAAACTTCTGAGTAAAATATGTTGATGCCATTATTTCTAGATTTTAATGCCCCCCTCCCCGCCCCCTACAGGCATCCACGTGGGTAAAACCCTCCAGAACCATAGCCATGGCTCTGACGATCCCACTATGAACCAAGGGATGATCTCAAGGGATACCCCTCCCTTCTTGTCTAATTTTATTAAAATCATCCCATATAGGACTAAACTGTCTTAGTACTCTCAGCTTCCGAAAGGAAGAATGTGGTAGAGTCGCTGTCTGCTGTAAAGAATTGACCTATTGCACTGCCTCTGCAAAGATAACATCCTTACTCAATATTTCAATTTTCTCCAAATTAGTATTTGTTACACTGTGAATTCGCTTATTTGTAGTGATAACGTGACCCTGAAGAAGAGTTATTAGCATGCCACACACGATG